CCTTTAAAGGATTCCTTTCCAAAGTTAAACAGCACAACGCCGACATTCCCTCTGTAATCTTCATCAATCACCCCAGCTGCAAATAAACAGCACAATTTAGAAATTTTAGCAAAGTGGATGACTTTCATTAAATTTAGGTCACATATCAAAGGACGCAACTTCTTCTACGCTATCAGAAACACATGACTAGTGAAATGAAACTTATGTTGAGATCTTATTTAATGCTAGATAAGGGGTTATAAAAGTAATGAAGTTCACCTTTCAGTCAATGAAAAAACGGCAGGGTTGAGATGGAGCTGTTTTGCTATTGTGCAAAACGTTTGAAAATATTGTATGAGAATAAATCCTTGATAATATTCCTAAAAGGCATCATAAGCCACCAAAAGGATCCTGGCCGCATCACACTACACAGCCATGGACTCTGGACTGACATTTTTGGAAAGGCATGACCTTTTAGAGACCAAAACCTTTTGGAAAACTAGGAATATCCATAGCTTTTTGGAAGTGTGGCCCTTTTGGAGATTAATTGGCATTCACACTATTTGAAATAATCATGACCTTTGAAATAATCATGACCATACTATTTGAATTAATCATGACCTCAGGAAGTATGATCTTCCTGAGAAGAGCTAAATACTTGTTTGAGTAAATCTTCTCCTAAGTGGTAGATATCCACTAGTTTTCATGCAAGGCAAATTAGGTTTCTCAGTTGTTAGACTGATATACCTGGTGATCTCTCTGAACTGTTAGGAACAAAGATATGCCAATAAACAAAATATATAGATCTTCAGAAGTGTTATTTCAATTGCCCAAAAAAATCTACTCCCCCATGAAATAGATTGGTTTTAAATCATGCTTTCCAGAAACCAAAAATAAGTAGTCTTCATTAAAAGTAACAATGCTGATTTACTTACAAACCTCATGTATTCAGCATACAGGTATATTTCTTATTGGTTGAAAGTATAAACAGTAATCCGTATATAAACCCTATTTTCCTAGTTCCAACAGACCTCACAACTTCTGAGGATGCTTGCCATAGATGCAGGCAAAACGTCAGGAGAGAATGCTTCTAGAACATGGCCATATAACCCGAAAAACCTACAACAACCCAGTGATTCCAGCCATAAAAGCCTTCGACAATACATATAAAGAGTAAGTTCTCTAAAGCATTCTGTTTTAGTCTCTTCTTTGTTGCATACAGACTAACACTCTTCAGCCTAATACATAACTGAACATTGACTCAATAAATACACAGCAGCATACTGACACTGACTTTACACTAATACTGACAATTGCATACTGTACTGACTTCTAAACTGTACTGCTTCTAAAAATGGAGTCTCATTCTGAATAGTCCCTGATCTGCTCTCATGGTCTGTAGTCCCTCCCACAACCTCAAACAACATAGAATTAAGGGAAAACTGCCTATCAAAATATAAATACAATATACTAAGCAATCACAACAATATACATAACAAATAACTAGTATATGAGGCTTGTAGAAGATTGCTATTTCCAACAGACATTGAGGTTCTAGCAAAAAGCAAAATAAAAACAAATGAACTCCAGATAGACGGAGAGCAATGACTTAATGTCAAATGATAAACCAGGATCTTAAAACAGGAAGGACGTGTATGTATATTTTGATATGCAGATTTTCCTTGAACTCTATGTTTTTGAGGTTGTGGGAGGGATTACAGACCATGTGACCAGATCTGAGACTATGTATCATCAATGGCTTTCATGGCCGGAATCACTGGGTTGTTGTAGGTTGTTTTTGGGCTATATGGCCATGGTCTAGAGGCATTCTCTCCTGACGTTTCGCCTGCATCTATGGCAAGCATCCTCAGAGGTAGTGAGGTCTGTTGGAACTAGGAAAGTGGGTTTATATATCTGTGGAATGACAAAGGACTCTTGTCTGCTGGAGCTAGGTGTGAATGTTTCAACTGACCACCTTGATTAGCATACAATGGGCTGACTGTGCCTAGAACAAACTTTTGTTGAGAGGTAATTCGATGTCCCTGCCTGTTTCCTCTCTGTTGTTGTGCTGTTGCAATTTTAGAGTTTTTTAATACTGGTAGCCAGATTTTGTTCATTTTCATGGTTTCCTCCTTTCTGTTGAAATTGTCCACATGCTTGTGGATTTCAATGGCTTCTCTGTGTGGCTTCTCATGGTGGTTGTGAGAGTGGTCCAGCATTTCTGTGTTCTCAAATAATATGCTGTGTCCAGGTTGGTTCATCAGGTGCTCTGCTATGGCTGACTTCTCTGGTTGAAGTAGTCTGCAGTGCCTTCCATGTCCCTTGATTCGTGTCTGGGCAATGCTGCTGCGTTTGGTGGTCCCCATGTAGACTTGTCCACAGCTGCATGGTACACAGTAGACTCCTGCAGAAGTGAGAGGATCCCTCTTGTCCTTTGCTGAACGTAGCATTTGTTGGATTTTCTTGGTGGGTCTGGAGATAGTTTGTATGTTGTGTTCCTCTACAGCTTGTTCTTCGTCTTGCTCTTGATCTGAGACTATTCAGACTGAAACTCCAATTTTAGAAATTGTTTGCATCAGAAGCAATACAGTTTCATTACGCCAGCATGAACAGAACAATTAGATTCAAAGGAATTGCAATCCAATATCTACACTGATAGCCTGATAAAGGTAATATAAAAGTGCAGAAGTGCCATAGAAATGTTTTCTAAATGATGAAAGACCAAAGAGGAGGCACTGCTACTCTCTGGCAACACATAATGAGCAAGAAAGTACAATTTACAGAAGATGCAGGAAGGAAACCTAAAGACGTGTAAGTCAAAAGCAGAAAGCTGTCCCAGTTGTCAAGCACAATACGCTGCATTTGCACAGAGCAAGCCTCTATTTGTATCACAGCACTTAAAGTAGGAGGAATACTGGGATGGGTAAACAATTTTAAAGGAAGCCAAAAAGAACCAGACAGCAGAATACAAGGCAGTCATTGTCTGGTCTCGGTATAGGATATTAAGCAACACAAACACTGCATTCCAGAGGCAAACACAGGAGATCATTATGGAGATTTCTCCAACTGCTTTTTCAGAACCAAGATCATTTTAAACATACTAGAGTCAAGGTTATTTATTATGTTTCTCTATTTATTATTATTACATTCCCATTATTTTTCTCTATTGTTATATTTATTATTTTTCTCTATTATTATTATTACATTTATTATTTTACTATTATTATTGGAAGGATACGTAAGCACAATTAAAATGAAGAAAGTTGGAATAATAGTTTAATCAGAGTTGGTCAGTCTTATCTGAAATTACAGTTTTATGTAAATATTCAAAAATGTTTAACCCCCGATGCCTCAATTAATGTAATTTTATTGATATCTATTTTTATTTTGAAATTTACCAGCAGCGGCTGCATTTCCCACCCTCTGCTTATACTCAGATCAATACGTTTTCCCAGTTTTTTGTGGTAAAATTAGGTGCCTCGACTTATATTCGGGTTGGCTTATACTCAAATATATGGGGCAACTTTTAAATTATTTCTCCAACATGTGAGAACACACTTCTTCAGAATGTCAGAATATTAATTTTCATTTACTGAAACTCATGTTGTTCTTAGCTAAGGAATATCCATAAAGCATAGAGAGGAAGAAAGAACCTCTGTTCTCAGGCTGTATTCTTTATCTAAATCACTACCATATCTAAGCTACCTGTTGTAAATATAATGAATGCAGCAATGATTGCAATGCCTGTGCGTTTTATCTATAAATGATGTAAGCGGGTTGAGTACTTACAAGTAAATCTTTTATGGAGTAATATAAGATGTAGAATAACTAGATGAAAGTAAATGATAATCAATATGCCTAGATAATGGAGAATCTATGATCCTCCCAAAGGGAAATGTGTACAGCTGCATCTGTATGTATGTGTGTATGTATGTGTATATATATATATATACACACACACACACAACATGACCAATATCTAAACTTTAAGTACTTAAAGGCAAAACACTCTCAGGTTTGCTGAAGCTAATAAAACCCTATACCAGGGGTCCTCAAACTAAGGTCCGGGGGGGGGGGGGGGAGCCCTCCAAGGTCATTTACCTGGCCCTCACTCAGGTCAGCCTAAGTCTGAAATGACTTGAAAGCACACAACAATCCTGTCTCATCAGCCAAAAGCAGGCCCGCACTTCCCATTGAAATGCTAGTAAGTTTATATTTATTAAAATTGTTCTTCATTTTAATTATTGCATTGTTTTTAAGTGTTTTTTGCACTACAAATAAGATATGTGCAGTGTGCATAGGAATTCATTAATGTTTTTTTTTCAAATTATAATCCAGCAGATAATAATCCATACAGTATGGATTATAATCCATACAGCTGGTATGGCTGTACCAGGAGCTCCAACTTTTATTTTCTTTTTGTTATCTGTTTTGCAGTCATAGGACAGGCCTCCTGTCCATCATAATTAAGCTTTGGTTCCGCCCCTTGTTCTGGGCTCTGGGAGGGAAAGGGGCCATTTTTTGGGCAGTCTCACACAAGGTAGCTAAACTATAGGACGTAGACCAGCTCATCCCATAGAAAAGCTTCCTTTCTCAATAACGATCCAGGGAAAAATAACATCCGGGGATACAGAAGCAGAAATTCCTGGAGAAAGGTCCCAAAATCTCTGGCTGAGAGCTCACAGCCTCACAGCATCAGAGGGAACAGCCCTGAAGTTTCTAAGAATTCTCGAAGGGAGAACAGCATTCCAGATCCACGGAACTCCAGCTGAAATATCTTCAAGCCTCAGCTGGTAGGTCTACTCGATACCCAGATGCATTTGGAGTCGGTAGTAGGTCCCACACTGATGAGGCATAGATAGAAAACAGCCTGGGAGAGGTTATAAACGGGTTTTTTCCTACAGAGAAAGTTTAGTTAATCAAAGTCAGGTACCAGTCCATTGAGGACTAGACTAAGAAAGCCTTGAAGTGTTGTTTGAACCATTGAAGATTTGTTATTTGTTCAATAAAGACTTTGTTGTATCTTTAAAGACTCTAAAGACCATCACTTCAGAAAAATCCCTGACAACCTCTCTTTGAGGCACCCCTGGCTTCCCGCTGGGCTTAAAGTATACGTCCTACAGAAAAGTACAGCTGTTACAGGCCCAGCGCGCGACAAAGCACCAGCCCTCCAACAGTTTGAAGGATTGCAACCTGGCCCTCTATTTAAAATGTTTGAGGACCCCTGTCCTGTACCATGAGTAAACCAGGAAGGTTTTCCTCTCATGGTTGGTAGATTTCTACACAGCCTGAGTCTTGGTGAAGGGAAAGAATTAACAAAGATGAAACAATTGTATGACTTCATACGAGGCGGTTCATTATCTTTTAGTAAAATATAGAGGCTTATAATGATCTATCCTTCCTGGACAACCAATGTAACCTGATTTGGATCTAAGAGATTTCAACCTCATCCTGCTGCAAATAAATTTACAGGTATCACAGCATGCAGAAATAACAATAACAAAACTTTATTTATTCCACACCACAATCTTCCCAAAGTGACTTGAGGCATCTCATAAAAGCGCTGTGGCCCTCCGACTTTGGAACTCATTGCCCGGTGAGATTACGCAAGCCCCCTCCTTAGAAACGTTTCAGAAGGACCTCAAAACCTGGCTCTTCCGCTGTGCCTTCGGAGAGTAACCGCACAACTAGACACTGCTCCTCCTCCTCAATGTTTATTCCCACGCTTGTATAAAAGCCTGTTTCTACGCTCCCATTTGTATGTGCTCTCTCTTACAAATAATCTGCTCCATTCCTATCTCACCCTGAGTTTTTAGTATTTTATTCTGTACATTTGCCCTGCTTATTGCTACTGGGATTGTGAATGTATTGTATACTGTATTGTATATTGTTTACTGCATTCTCATGTTTTATGTATTTCATTGTGTTGTCATTTCATGCCTTGGTTTTGTTTTATTTTATTGTAATGTGTTGTTGGGCTTGGCCTCATGTAAGCCACCCCAGGTCCCCGTTGGGGAGATGATGGTGGGGTATAAATAAAGATTATTATGATTATTATCAAACTACAAGAAAGGAGATTCCATCTGAACATGAGGAAGAACTTCCTGACTGTGAGAGCCGTTCAGCTGTGGAACTCTCTGCCCCGGAGTGTGGTGGAGGCTCCTTCTTTGGAAGCTTTTAAACAGAGGCTGGATGGCCATCTGTCAGGGGTGCTTTGAATGCAATATTCCTGCTTCTTGGCAGGGGGTTGGACTGGATGGCCAATGAGGTCTCTTCCAACTCTTTGATTCTATGATTATTATGATTATTAATGCAAACACACAAAATTCAACAAGTCCATAAACAATGCAACAATAGCAATAACAAACGGCATAACATCATAAAAACCTCATTAGTTAAAAATTCTGCAGTTATAAAACAAATGCAATCAATATCTAAATAAATAACTTACCACCAACATCTATGAAATGTTTCGCAGCTAGTCCAGATCGAGGAGCTGGAACACAGGAGAAAATTACAGCTCTAGTGTAACTCCACCTCATATTTTGGAAAATGCACAAATAATAATAATATCCAAGACAATTTGTTTAACTATGGCAGTATTTCTCAAACTCTGCTCCTCCAGGTCTTTTGGACTTCAGCTCCCTGAAATCCCAGCTATTTTACCAACTGTTAGAAATTGTGGGAGCTGAAGCCCAAAACACCTGGAGGAGCAGAGTTTGAGAAATACTGAACAATGGGAATAATGTAACAGAAAGCGGGCCCAGATTTTTTGTTATCCTCTCTGCAGTAAACAATCCGGCACTGGAGTGTCCTGATTTGTTTAGTTATCTCCATTAAAGGACCAAGCAGAGAAGACACACACAGCATGATTTCCATTAACCAAGAAAGCAGCATGATTCCTGTTACCAATAATCCAGATTTTACAGTTATATACAAAGCAGCAAAAGCTATTGGTTTTTTTTTTTGGCTGCAACATAATGAGCACTACAAAACTGACATTTATGGACATAGCTAATCTGATTAAGTTAACTAAAGTTGAAGATAATGATATAATGTTTCTTGAACCTGACTTGAGGCCTTGCTGTAAGATATGATGTAGGTTTTATGATACGTGCCTATATAAGGTAAAGGTAAGTTCCTCTGACATTAAATCTAGCTGTGTCCGACTCTGGGGGTTGGTGTTCATCTCCATTTCTAAGCCACAGAGCCAGCATTGTCCATAGACACCTCCAAGGTCATGTGGCCAGCATGACTGCATGAAGCGGTGTTACCTTCCCGCCAAGGCAGTACCTATTGATCTACTCACAATTGCATGTTTTCGAACTGTTAGGTTAACAGAAGCTAGGGCTAACAACGGAAGCTCACACCATTCCCCGGATACGAACCGCCGACTTTTCAGTCAGCAATTTCAGCAGCTCAGTGGTTTAACCCACTGCGCCACTGGAGGCTCCGTGCCTAGCTATATAAATACAAATTTAATGTTATTGTAGGTTTTTCTGGGTTATATGGCCATGTTCTGGAGGCATTTTCTCCTGACGTTTCGCCTGCATCTATGGCAAGCATCCTCAGAGGTAGTAAGGATGCTTGCCATAGATGCAGGCGAAACGTCAGGAGAAAATGCCTCCAGAACATGGCCATATAACCCAGAAAAACCTACAACAACCCAGTGATTCCGGCCATGAAAGCTTTCAACAATACAAATGTAATGTTAGTTTGTGGGATTAACATAACTCAAAAAACCACTGGACGAATTGACATGAAATTTGGACACAATAAACCTATCAGGCCAACAAGTGACGATCACTCATAAAAACACTGAAAAACACAGTGGAAGAGGCTTAAAAAGCCAAAAAAATACATTACAATGCATGCACAAAACCACCTATATACACACACAAAACACATATACACAGACTGGGCCACAAGGTATGGCAGGGGACATCTAGTCTATATAAATAAAAATGTAATGTTCGTTTGTGGGATTAACGTAACTCAAAAACCACTGGATGAATTGACACCAAACTTGGACACAAGACATCTCTCAGGCCAACGAGTGACCATCACCCATAAAAACACTGAAAAACATAACAGAAGATACTTAAAAAGCAAAAAGAAAAACATTACAATGCACGCGCAAAACCACACACATACATGCAAACGCACATATATACACATATACACAAATATATACACACATATACACAAATATATACACACATATACACACACAAAACACATATACACAGACTGGGCCACAGCAACACATGGCAGGGGACGGCTAGTATAAAATACTGCCAATGATATAAACCTATATCATAACAGATATGAAATACATATTCAAGATTTCTTTATGTCTGAAAATGCAAGTGATTCATTTAAACATGAATCAATCTACACAAGAATTTAGAATTCACTTTGGAAGGAAAAGCACATTTGGAATTATTCAAACTTAAAATCCTATTGTCTGTTTTCATGTTAGGTAAAAAAAAACAAACAGCTTCCTATCTGTGAACTTACCTACTCGACCATAGCATCCAGCAGGAAGAGCAATCTGAATGTCTGTTTTCACTATAGCCTTTCCTGAAGCAGGGATCTCATAGTCATAGGCACTAGGAAAGCAAACAAAGCAGGCCATTTACAGTTATCTATATAAATAAAAATGTAATGTTCGTTTGTGGGATTAACAGAACTCAAAAACAACTGGACGTATTGACACCAAATTCGGACACAAGACACCTAACAACCCAATATATGTCCTTCACTCGAAAAATTTGATTTGGTCATTTGGGAGTTGTAGTTGCAGGGATTTATAGTTCACTTACAATCAAAGAGCATTCTGAACCTCACCAGCGATGGAATTGAACCAAACTTGGCACACTGGACTCCCTTGACCAACAGAAAATACTGGAAGGGTTTGGTGGGTATTGACCTTGAGTTTGGGAGTTGTAGTTCACCTACATCCAGAGATCACTGTGGACTCAAACAATGATGGATCTGGACCAAACTCTACACGAATATTCAATGTGCCCAAATGTGAACACTGGTGGAGTTTGGGGAAAACAGAATCTTGACATTTGGGAGTTGTACTTGCTTGGACTTATAGTTCACCTACAATCACAGAACATTCTGAACCCACCAATGATAGAATTGGGCCAAACCTCCCACACAGAACCCCCATGTGGGCCACAGCAATGCGTGGCAGGGGACGGCTAGTGAATTAATAATTTTCTTTTTGAAACGGTGACGGAGTTTCTTAACAAGTATCCACACATTTGTGTGGCATTTAGAAGTCACACAACACTCATAAATATACACACAAAAACAAAAATAAAATTACCTTCAGATTATGCATCTATGCCATTATATTGTAATATTATAAGTAATATTACATGCAATATAAAATATATAATTATAATATCACATTGTATCGAATATATAATTATAATATCACATCGAAGGCTTTCATGGCTGGAATCACTCAGTTCTTGTGGGTTTTTTCAGGCTATATGGCCATGTTCTAGAGGCATTCTCTCCTGACGTTTCACCTGCATCTATGGCAAGCATCCTCAGAGGTAGTGAGGTCTGTTGGAACTAGGAAAATGGGTTTATATATCTGTGGAATGGCTGGGGTGGGGCAAAGAGCTCTTCTCTGCTGGAGCTAGGTGTGAATGTTTCAACTGACCCCCTTTATTAGCATTTGAAGGCCTGGCTGAGCCTGGGGGAATCTTTTGTTGAGAGGTGTTAAGATGTGCCTGGTTGTTTCCTCTCTGTTGTTTTGCTGTTGTAATTTTAGAGTTTTTTAATACTGGTAGCCAGATTTTGTTCATTTTCATGGTTTCCTCCTTTCTGTTGAAATTGTCCACATGCTTGTGGATTTCAATGGCTTCTCTGTGTAGCCTGACATGGTGGTTGTTGGAGTGGTCCAGCATTTCTGTGTTCTCAAATAATATGCTGTGTCCAGGCTGGTTCATCAGGTGCTCTGCTATGGCTGACTTCTCTGGTTGAAGTAGTCTGCAGTGCCTTTCATGTTCCTTGATTCGTGTTTGGGCAATGCTGCTGCGTTTGGTGGTCCCTATGTAGACTTGTCCACAGCTGCATAGTATACGGTAGACTCCTGCAGAGGTGAGAGGATCCCTCTTGTCCTTTGCTGAACATAGGATTTGTTGGATTTTCTTGGTGGGTCTGTAGTTGGTTTGTATGTTGTGTTTCCTCATCAGCTTCCTGGCTACCAGTATTAAAAAACTCTAAAATTACAACAGCAAAGTAGCAGAGAAGAAACAACCAGGCACATCTTAACACCTCTCAACAAAAGATTCCCCCAGGCTCAGCCAGGCTTTCAAATGCTAATGAAGGGGGTCAGTTGAAACATTCACACCTAGCTCCAGCAGAGAAGAGCCCTTTGTCTCACCCTGGTCATTCCACAGATATATAAACCCTTTTTCCTATTTCCAGCAGACCTCACTACCTCTCAGGATGCTTGCCATAGATACAGGCGAAACGTCAGGAGAAAATGCCTCTAGAACATGGCCATATAGCCCGAAAAAACCCTCAAGAACCTAATAATATCACATTATTAGTATTATATTGCATTACATAATATTATATTATTAGCCTTGCACAGGAGACAAGGTGGAACTGTCTTCTGATCCCCTCCTTTCACTCTGGTTCAGCACTGCTGTTAATTAAAAGCAAATTAAGCGGAGAACTGTTAGAATAAATAGATACAATCACTCCATATATTAAAAACGCCCTTCCACACAGCCATATACCACCCCCCCAAAAATCCTTTGAACTGGATTATCTGAGTCCACACTGTCATATATTCCACTACAAAGCAGATGATGTAGGACAGTGTTTCTCAACCTGGGGGTCGGGACCCCTGAGGGGATCGCGAAGGGGTGTCAAAGGGGTCGCCAAAGACCATCAGAAAACACTGTATTTTCTGTTGGTCATGGGGGTTCTGTGTGGGAAGTTTGGCCCAATTCTATCATTGGCGGGGTTCAGAACGCTCCTTGATTGTAGGTGAACTATAAATCCCAGTATCTACAAGTCCCAAATGTCAAAGTCTATTTTCCCCAAACCCCATCAGTGTTCACATTTGGGCATATTGAGTATCCGTGCCATGTCTGGTCCAGATCCATCATTTTTTGTGCCCACAGTGCTCTCTGGATGTAGGCGAACTACAACTCCCAAACTCAAGGTCAATGCCCACCAAACCTTTCCAATATTTTCTGTTGATCATGGGAGTTCTCTGTGCCAACTTTGGTTCAATTCCATTGTTGGTGGGGTTCAGAATGCTCTTTGTTTGCAGGTTAACTGTAAGTCCCAGCAACTACAACTCCCAAATGGCAAAATCAACCCCTCTGCCAACCCCACCATTATTCACATTTCGGCATACTGAACTCCCTGTTGTGTCTCCCAGCTCTGTCTCCCACCCTGCCTGGCCTCCTGACCTGTACAAATCGTATCCGGCGGCCTTGGAGGAGCCCCTGGAGGGGGCGAGGGCGTTTTCGGAGAGCTTGGCGAAGCGGAGCCTTTGGGAGGGCTCCTCGGGGCCCGAGGCCTTGAGCCTCTTGCTGGGGGACGAGGCGGGGTCTTCGGTGGAGCAAGGCATGGCTGCAGGAGGAGAGGCCAAGGCAGAGCGGATCCCGCCGAAATCTGAGGGAAGAGGAGAAGAGGAGAAAAGCGCGCCAAATTCAGATTCCCGCGCTTTCTGGGGACCCTTTGAAGGCAACAGCCAATGGGAGCGCTGCGGGGGGAAAGGGGGCGTGGCTCCAAACCCAAAAGGACCCCGAAGACTTTTGTCTTGAAGCCAAAGAGTCTCACAGAGATAGGGAAAGAGAAAATTATAGAGTGACCTATTTTAGGGATGGAAGGCCATCTTCCGAGTTCAACTCCAAAATCCCGTCCTATAAATGGCATATAAATGACGTAAATAAATAAATAGATGGTCGGCGGGGGGGGGGGGGGTGGAGTTGGAGTTTATATGCCGTCCTAGGAGCCCCCGGTGGCGCAGTGGGTAAAACCCCTGTGTCAGCAGGACTGAAGACCGACAGGTTGCAGGTTCAATTCCCTCTTTCAGCTCCAGCTCCTCATGCGGGGAATTTCACACACACCCCCTTTAGAAGAATGGTATCTCCTGATTGCTGTTTCTCCTCAAGGACGTTCAGCCCTTGTGGATTGAACCATTCACCTCAAGGGGGGATTCCACTCCTCCCACCGAAAAAATAGATTGGGAGTTCCCGATTGTTATTTCTCAAGGGCCTTGGGGGGAGGGGGGGCTTATGGATGAAACCATTCACTTCAAGGGAGAATTCCACTCCTTCCCCCTCAAAAAAAGAGGTGATTTTACTCCTCCCCCCCCCCAAAAGAAAGAATGGTAGTTCCCGATTGCCATTTCTCAAAGGCTAATGGATGAAACCATTCACTTCAAGGGGGGATTCCACTCCTCCCACAGAAAATAAAAAAGAGTTCCCGATTGTTATTTCTCAAGGGCCTTCGGGGCTTGTGGATGAAACCATTCACTTCAAGGGGGATTGTGGATGAAACCATTTACTTCAAGGAGAATTCTACTCCTTCCCCCCCCTAAAAAGAATGGTAGTTCCCGATTGTTATTTCTCAAGGGCTAATGGATGAAACCATTCACTTCAAGGGGGGTTGTGGGTGAAACCATTTACTTCAAGGCGGTTCCACTCCTTCCCCTCCTAAAAAGAATGGTAGTTCCCGATTGTTATTTCTCAAGGGCTTGTGGATGAAACCATTCACTTCAAACGGGGAATCCACTCCCCCCTCCAAAAAAAGAATGGTAGTTCCCGATATTTATTTCTCAAGGGCTTATGGATGAAACCATTCACTTCAAGGGGGATTCTACTACTTCCCCTCCTAAAAAAGAATGGTAGTTCCCGATTGTTATTTCTCAAGGGCTAATGGATGAAACCATTCACTTCAAACGGGGAATCCACTCCCCCCCCCCAAAAAAGAATGGTAGTTCCCGATTGTTATTTCTCAAGGGCTTATGGATGAAACCATTCACTTCAAACGGGGAATCCACTCCCCCCTCCAAAAAAAGAATGGTAGTTCCCGATATTTATTTCTCAAGGGCTTATGGATGAAACCATTCACTTCAAGGGGGATTCTACTACTTCCCCTCCTAAAAAAGAATGGTAGTTCCCGATTGTTATTTCTCAAGAGCTAGTGGATGAAACCATTCACTTCAAACGGGGAATCCACTCCCCCCTCCAAAAAAAGAATGGTAGTTCCCGATATTTATTTCTCAAGGGCTTATGGATGAAACCATTCACTTCAAGGGGGATTCTACTACTTCCCCTCCTAAAAAAGAATGGTAGTTCCCGATTGTTATTTCTCAAGGGCTAATGGATGAAACCATTCACTTCAAACGGGGAATCCACTCCCCCCCCCCAAAAAAGAATGGTAGTTCCCGATTGTTATTTCTCAAGGGCTTATGGATGAAACCATTCACTTCAAACGGGGAATCCACTCCCCCTCAAAAAAAAAGAATGGTAGTTCCCGATTGTTGTTTCTCAAGGGCTTATGGATGAAACCATTCACTTCAAGGGGGATTCTACTACTTCCCCTCCTAAAAAAGAATGGTAGTTCCCGATTGTTATTCCTCAAGGGCTAATGGATGAAACCATTCACTTCAAGGGTGGGAGAAAGGGTGTTTGTCCCCTTTATACCCGGGTGGGAGAGCAATGGAATCAGCCGCCATTCGGGGCCTCCCTCCCTGCCTCCCTCCCTCTCCTTCCCCGCCTTTCTCCTTAACTGTTTCCGAAGAGCCGACTCAGGGAGCGAGCAGCCATTGCCAATCTCGTTTGTCCTCACGAGAAGAAGAAACACGAAGGCCTTTCTGAAGGGCCTGATGGGAGGAACGCCCAAACGGAGACTCAAAGCGGCTTACAACAGCAGCAATTCGATTCCGACAACATACAAAGCACATTACAACAACATTATACAAGAGAGTTACCTCTTGTATAATGGTTTTCTAAGATCTACAGAGACACTCGCCGGAACACCTCAGCAAGCAAGAGTCCAAAAGTGGCAGGCTCAAACCCAGAACCTCTGAGGATGACCTGGGAAGGAATCCCACTGGAGCATTGCAGCGCACCCAAATACCTGGGAGTCACTCTGGACCGTGCTCTTACCTACAAGAAGCACTGCCTGAACATCAAGCAAAAAGTGCGTGCTAGAAACAATATCATACGAAAGCTGACTGGCACAACCTGGGGATCACAACCAGGCACAATTTAGTTATTTATTTATTTGTTTATTTGCTGTGCTTATATACCACTGTTCTCAGCCCGGGGGCGACTCACAGTGGTGTACAACATAGAGAGGACAGGGTGCAAATTGCAAGACACAATCTAAAATCAATCTAGCAATAACAAAAGCATCGTCATCAACAATATCAATATCAATAATGCAAAAGACACCTGCCCTTGCGCTATGCTACTCTGCTGCTGGGTACGCATGCCCAGTGTGGAACACATCTCACCACACTAAAACAGTGGATGTGGCTCTTAATGAGACATGCCGCATTATCACAGGGTGTCTGCGCCCTACACCACTGGAGAAATTACACTGCTTAGCCGGTATTGCACCACCTGACATCTGCCGGGAAGTAGCAGCCAATAGTGAAAGGACCAAGGCAGAGACATCTCCAGCTCATCCCCTGTTTGGGTATCAGCCAGCATGACGACTTAAATCAAGAAATAGTTTTCTAAGATCTACAGAGACACTCGCTGGAACACCTCAGCAAGTGAGAGTCCAAAAGTGGCAGGCTCAAACCCAGAACCTCAATCAATGGCTGATACCAAATGAGAGACTCCCCCTGGGCACACAGAAGACTGGGCGACTTGGAAGGCGCTGAACAGACTGCGCTCTGGCACCACGAGATGCAGAGCCAACCTTCAGAAATGGGGCCACAAAGTGGAATCCTCGACATGTGAGTGTGGAGAAGAGCAAACCACAGACCACCTGCTGCAATGCAACCTGAGCCTGCCACATGCACAATGGAGGACCTTCTTGCAGCAACACCAGAGGCACTCCAATAATAATCATAATAATAATAAAACGTTATTTATACTTCTCCCCATCTCCTCCTCACTGCGTCTTCTGCTCCCAGCCTTGGAGGCATCTTGAGCACTGTTGATGGCACTGCCAGGCTGGGCTGAGGCCTGATCTAAGACCTCAGTCCAGCCTGGCAGTAGCAGAGGCAGTGAGTGAGGAGCAGGAGGCTGCCACCAAGTGGGTGGAGCGCCCCTACTTCGCAGCGGCCTCCTCCTCCTAGCCGCCTCTGCTGCTCCCTGCCTCAGAGGCCCTTGTGCACCATTGATGGCACTGCCAGGCTGGGCTGAGGCCTTAGACTGTCCATCTCCTCATTAAAAAAAAGAGGGGATATGGTTTGCTTCACAAACAGTCACACATTTGCATCCGATACTAAATGCAATGAGCAAAATCAGTCATTGTTGGCCAAAAGTTGACTATGCTGGCAATAGTATACATTTTAAAAAATGCTATGCAGTGTTCCTTCGCGGTTCGCTTTTTGCGGACTCGCTGTTTCACGGGGTTTTGTCTCCCAGTTTATGAATGGTTGCCGTTGCCCAGAGTTGCGTTCTAATCCCGCCTCCTGGCAACAATAGAATGAAAGGGGTTTCACCCTCCCCCTCGGGAGAGAGGCAGCCAATCAAGAGAGATTGCAAAGCAAAGCAGTGATACTGGGTTGTTGTAGGTTTTTCCGGGTTATATGGCCATGTTCTAGAGCAGTGTTTCTCAACCTTTCTAATGCCGCGACCCCTTAGTACAGTTCCTCATGTTGTGGGGACCCCCGACCATAACATTATTTTCATTGGTACTTCATAACTGTAATTTTGCTACTGTTATGAATTGTAATGTAAATATCTTCAAATTCCAAATACCCAATATGCCCAAATTTGAATACTGGTGGGGTTGGGAGGGGATTGATTTTGTCACTTGGGAGCTGTAGTGGCTGGGATTTATAGTTCACCTACAATTAAAGAGCATTCTGAACACCACCAATAATGAAATTGAACCAAACTTGGCACACAGAACTCCCATGACCAAGAGAAAATACTGGGAGGATCTGGTGGACACTGATATTGAATTTTTGGAGTTGTAGTTCACCTCCATCCAGAGAGCACTGTGGACTCAAACTATGATGGATCTGGACCAAACCTGGCACCAAAACTCAATATGCCAAAATGTAAACACTGGTGGAGTTTGAGGAAAATAGACCTTAACATTTGGGAGTTGTAGTTGCTGGGATTTATAGTTCACCTACAATGAAATAACATTCTGAACCCCACCAACGATAGAATTGGACCAGACTTCCCACACAGAACCCCCATGACCAACAGAAAATACTATGTATTCTGATGGTCTTTGGTGACCCCTCTGACACCCCCTCGCGACCCCTACAGGGGTCCCGACCCCCAGGTTGAGAAACACTGTTCTAGAGGTATTTTCTCCTGATGATTCGCCTGCATCTATGGCAAGCATCCTCAGAGGTAGTGAGGTCTGTTGGAACTAGGAAAATGGGTTTATATATCTGTGGAATGACCAGGGTGGGACAAAGGACTCTTGTCTGCTGGAGCTAGGTGTGAATGTTTCACCTGACCACCTTGATTAGCATTTGATAGCCTGGCAGTGCCTGGAGCAAGCTTTTGTTGAGAGGTGATTAGATGTCCTTGTTTGTTTCCTCTCTGTTGTTGTGCTGTTCTGATTTTAGAGTTTTTAAATACTGCTAGCCAGATTTTGTTCATTTTGTTCATTTTCATGGTTTCCTGGTTCATTTTCATGAACCAACCTGGACACAGCATATTATTTGAGAACACAGAAATGTTGGACCACTCCACCAACCACGATGTCAGACTACACAGAGAAGCCATTGAAATCCACAAGCATGTGGACAATTTCAACAGAAAGGAGGAAACCATGAAAATGAACAAAATCTACATATATATATCTGTGGAATGACCAGGGTGGGACAAAGGACTCTTGTCTGCTGGAGCTAGGTGTGAATGTTTCAACTGACCACCTTAATTAGCATTTGATGGCTTGGCAGTGCCTGGGGGAATCTTTTGTTGAGAGGTAATTAGATGTGCCATGAAAGCCTTCGACAATACAAAGCAGAGTTAGGTAGGGGGGAAAGGTTTGCGGTGCTTTCAATGCTCTCCTCGCTTCTGCCTCACCCTCAGAACACAATATACATATATAGCATCCCTACTTTGTGGATTTTCACTTTTTGCTGGTGATCCTGGAACGTAACACCCGTGATAAGTGAGGGAACACTGTACAGTGCAACCTCTGTATTCATGTCCGACAAAATATATCTTAGACATTTTCTAACTTCTCTAGCAGTATTCTTGGGCCAGGAATCCGTCATTTCAGTGCAGTTTGCTATTATCCATGGTTTTACATATTCATGTAAATACTAGGAACATATTCCCATCAGGTACAGGGAGTTGTACTGGGTTCTTAAGATTCATTATTCAAATCTGTAGGTTTGTATTACCTAATAACGCTGATTAAAAGTATGATAGGAAATGTTATCATTCCTGGAGGCAAGACTGAAGGCATGCGATTTTGGTAAATCGGAAAAGCTCAGTATGAGATGCTGGAGGCGATAATTGATGACGATGGTGTGATGGTGATGATTGCATCTGGAGTCTTTTCAGTACCTGAAAGAAATCTGAATTTCTTACCTAGCAGCATGCAATTGATGATTAGAGATCATTTATGGTAAAGCTCAGTATGAGATTGGAAACGGAGATTGCTCCTAACAGAGTTCAGATGGAATATTTGTGAGTAAACAAAGCACTTTGCCAAGTCATTACAGAAATGGATGCTGTTGTCTCTGGAAGTCTAGCAACATATTTCCTCCCTACAATAAGTTTATAAATAAGCTCTCAAGATATTGCACAACTTTTTGAAGTTTTGTTGAACACATAGCTTTCCCCTGGAACTTAAATGTTAATAGGAAAATAACAACAATCAAAACCCCTGTACATGTAGTAAAAAAATAATACTGTAGAACATTTACTTGAATTCAATTTAATTTATTTGTTGTCAATATAATCCACATTTTCATTCCAATATTTTATAATAAGAAGAAATATAACATGTGTATTAAAGTAATATTATATATATTTGAAGGCCCTATGACCAGTTGCCAAAATAAATTTGAAAACATTCCTTAAGGTTATAAATCTAGATAAATCATGACATTCATATCAAATCTTGTAAAAATTTAGATCGGCATTATTAATTTTGCTTTGTACTTCTCTAAAGATGTGATGGTTTAATATGATTGCAGTTAACTCCATCAAATACTTGATAATTCATTTAAATCGCTTGTGATTTGTGTTGGGTTCCCTTCCCTGAATTAACTTTTGTGGCACAGGAGTGATTATAATACCATATTACATTCTACTGATGCAACCCCAGATCGATGCAGTTATACGCAGAGATGTGAAGATCTGAAAAAAATGGAACAATTTGGAGAGAGGAAAAACTATTTTTCTCATTTTTTTTTCATAAAGAGGCTTATATTCCCTTAGAAAAATGAAGGAAATGAATGATCTCTGTTTAAGGAGCCACCGGTCGCGCAGGGGCCGGCAGGACTGCTGACCCTGGGAGTGGGGTGAGCTCCCATCTGTCAGCTCCAACTTCTCATGCAGGGACATGAGAGAAGCCTCTCACAGGATGATAAAACATCTAGGCGTCTCCTGGGCAATGTCCTTACAGATGGCCAATTCTCTCACACCAGAAGCGACTTGCAGTTTCTCAAGTTGCCCCCGACACAGAAAATTGCATTTTTTGCACCTAAAAAGTACTGTGTGGAGCAGTCATAACACAAGACCTGTTGGTGCCAATGCACAATATTGTTTTTTGTTAGGATTGTTGAATCTTGCCTAAAATCTTAGGACAAGATCCTCCCATTCTTATTTACAGGGTAAGGTCCTCCTGTCCTCATATATGTAAGAAGAAAGGCACTATGGCAGTGGTTCTCAACCTGGAGTCCCCAGATGTTTTTGGCCTTCAACTCTCAGAAATCCTAACAGCTGGTCAACTGGCTGGGATTTCTGGGAGTTGTAGGCCAAAACATCTGGGGACCCCAGGTTGAAAACCACTGCACTATGGTGTAGTGGTTTGAGTGGTTTGCCCTCGGTGGAGCAATGGGTTAAACCCTTGTGCCAGCAGGACTGCTGACCAAAAGGTTGACGGTTTGAATCCAAGGGATGGGGTGAGCTCCCATCTGTCAGCTCTAGCTTCTCATGCAGGGACATGAGAGAAGCCTCCCACAGGGTGGTAAAACATCTAGGCGTCCCCTGGGCAATGTCCTTGCAGATGGCCAATTCTCTCACACCAGAAGCGACTTGCAGTTTCTCAAGTCGCTCCTGACATGGAAAAAAAAAATCACAATTTAGAATGATGACTATATTTTTCAAGGTAAAACATGAATATATTTTTTTAAAAACTTACAACAACCCAGTGATTCTGGCAATGAAAGCCTTTGACAATACATGAATATATTTATTCTACCCCTACTCCCATGATTTCTAAGAACTCTGTACTAAGTAGACTTTTTATATAGGACTGTGTCGAGCACTCCTTCTCCCAGCTTTAAAACTTTTGAAAGTTTAGTTTTCTAATTATATGTTTCTAAAAGGGGGAAAAATCAATGAGGTTGGACATGGGGGCATCAACGGAGTGGCCTTTGTAGCTGGAACCTGATGCCCTCTCGTATGCTGGATCCCACCATTATAGTGTTAGTGATAAATCATTCTTAACAATTAGGCAATCTGAATCCTTTGCAAAGACGATTTCTTCTTGAAAATGGCCATACAATAAAAATCTTAAAAAATATTATTTTTGTGGCATATATTATGGGATATAAGTAAGATCTGCAACTAAATCCTATAATGCATACTGCTGCTGTTCAATGTTTTTTTAAGGATATCCCTTTCCATATCATTCCTCTTCCCCGCCTCTGTGTTTTCTCTTTCCCATTTATCAAATAAATGGGTTCTGCGTTTTGTACTTCTGTAAACCTTCAGGTTTTCAGAGCACGCTGATAATGTTCCATTTATGTGATAACATTTTGACTACAGAAGGGCCAGCATTTGAGATCTGTGTGTAATTCAGCTTTGCACTGTTCGATGATAACACTGAAGTGATTTTTTTACACTATATAGGGAAGTAAATTCAAATATGTCAGATATCGAGATGCGGTTGCTTTTTAGCATTTCCTCCCAATAATTTCATCTTAATACAGAATGCATATAATGGATTCCATATTCCATGTGTTAAGAGTAAAACGTTAGCACATTTTTGTGGTTCCCTCGGACAAGCAAAACTGGAGGCAGATTCTTTGACAGGATTTCTAACCAAGCCATATAGAGGTAATCAGATATGATTCCTTTTCTTGCCACTGGTAAGCTCCTGTTGAGTGAAATAGAATGGCAATGTTAGCAATGCTCAGTAATGCAGCTTAATGGTATAACATTATTTATTTTTTTATTTATTTACAACATTTATATGCCACCCTTCTCACCCCGAAGGGGACTCAGAGCAGCTTACAAGATATATATACATACAATATATTGAATTATTTATTTATTTGTTTATTTACTTTGCTTATATACCGCTGTATCTCAAGCCCGAAGGCGACTCACAGCGGTTCACAAACAGTAAAAACAGTAGAAACAGCAGTGGTTCCATACAACATATAACAATTGACTTAACACATTATCCATAAATTACCAATAAGCAATTACAATGCACAATTATTACGAAAAACAACCGTACCCAATCTTCTCATCATCCAAGCGTAGTCCAGGTTCGTCGTCCATTGTTCCATTCCTATGTTCCATTACCAGATTGCACTAAATTACTCAAAAGCCTGCACAAACATCCAGGTCTTCACCTTTTTGCGGAATACCATTAGAGATGGTGCTCTGGTCACATCCCGCCTTGACTACTGCAACGCTCTCTACGTGGGGCTGCCCTTGAAGACGGCCCGGAAGCTTCAGCTAGTCCAGCGCGCGGCAGCCATGTTACTAACAGGAGCGGGACGCAGGGAGCACACAACGCCCTTGTTGTCCCAGCTCCACTGGCTGCCGATCTGCTACCGGGCCCAATTTAAGGTGCTGGTGTTATCCTACAAAGCCCTAAACGGTTCCGGCCCAAAATACCTTTCGGACCGCATCTCGGCCTATGAGCCCACGAGGGCCTTGAGATCGTCTGGGGAGGCCCTTCTCTCGATCCCGCCTGCCTCACAGGCACGTCTGGCGGGGACGAGAGAGAGGGCCTTCTCGGTGGTGGCCCCCCGGCTGTGGAACACCCTCCCTGTTGACATCAGACAGGCGCCCTCCCCTATGGCTTTCCGTAAGAGCCTAAAGACCTGGCTATTTGAGAAGGCATTTAACTGAGTGCTACATTAACTGGTAATGACAACTGGAACGGAATACGGATTATGAGATTGGCTATGATTCTATGTTGTGACGGTGCGGATTAGTTAGTGTAATTTAGATTAGTGTGTATTATTGATATGTTGATTTCTTGTTGTGCTTTATTGTAAACTGTTTTTATATGTTGTACACCGCCGCGAGTCGCCCTAGGGCTGAGAGCGGCGGTCAACAAATGCAGCAAATAAATAAATAAATAAATAAATAAATAGTCTAATGTCCGTAGGAAGGGCGTTCCACAGCCCTAATTATATGATTAGCATACTACAATATCAGTATTAAATATTACTATATTGTACTATACCATTATATTGTAATATTATTAGTAATATTACATGTAACATAAATATATAATTATAATATCATAGGGTTGTTGTAGATTTTTTCGGGCTATATGGCCATGGTCTAGAGGCATTTTCTCCTGACGTTTCGCCTGCATCTATGGCAAGCATCCTCAGAGGTAGTGAGGTCTGTTGGAAGTAGGAAAATGGGTTTATATATCTGTGGAATGACCAGGGTGGGGGCAAAGGACTCTTGTCTGCTGGACCTAGGTGTGAATGTTTCAACTGACTACCTTGATTAGCATTTAATGGCTTGGAAGTGCCTGGGGGAATATTTTGTTGAGAGGTGATTTGATGTGCCTGATGGTTTACTCTCTGGTTTTTTTGCTGTTGTAATTTTTGAGTTTTTTTAATACTGGTAGCCAGATTTTGTTCATTTTCATGGTTTCTTCCTTTCTGTTGAAATTGTCCACAAGCTTGTGGATTTCAATGGCTTCTCTGTGTAGTCTGACATGGTGGTTGTGAGAGTGGTCCAGCATTTCTGTATAATATATTATATTATATTGCATTACATTAGAAAATGTTGACCATTTCTGTTCCCTTGGCAGCCACGACTCCACAAAAGTCAACATTGACACTGAAATACAACACCGCCTGAGCCCTGCGAGTGCAGCATTTTTCCGAAAGAAGCAGAGACTGTTTGAGGATCGGGACATCTGTAGGGATACCAAGGTGCTTGTCTATAAAGCTATTGTCTTCCCAACACTGTTATAAGCTTGTGAAACGTGGACTGTCTATAGACATCACACTCAACTCCTGGAACAATTCCATCAGTGTTGCCTCTGAAAAATACTGCAAATTTCTTGGGGAGACAGGTGGACAAATGTCAGCATGCTGGAAGAAGCAAAGACCACCAGCATTGAAGAGATGCTCCTACACCATTAACTCTGCTGAACTGGCCATGTTGTCCGAATGCCCAGTCACCATCTCCCAAAGCAGTTACTTTACTCCCAACTCAAGAACGGAAAATGGAATTTTGGTGGACAGGTAAAGAGATTTAAAGATGGGCTCAAAGCTAATATTAAAGCCTATGGCATAGACACCGAAAACTGGGAAGCCCTGGCCCTTGAGTACTTGAGGTCAGCTGTGACCAGCAGTGTTGTGGAATTTGAGAGACATGAATGAAGGGCAAAAGGGGGAAACGTACCAAGAGGAAGGCACGTCAAGCTGGGACCGCCTTCCACCTGGAAACCGATTCCCTCACCGTGGAAGAACATGCAGGTCAAGAATGCGGGCTCCACAGTCACCTATGTATCCACCACCAAGACACTATACTGGGAAGGCCATCATACTCCGACAATGAGGGATTGCCTAAGTAAGTAAGCTCAGTAATCCAGTTAGTTTTCCGCATTCACTAGAGTGCAATGCCATGATCAACTTCCAGCAGCTGACAATAGAGTTTTGTTGGAGGACCTAAACACAATACATTACACAAATCCACAAATAATCAAATCGATGCAACTTACAGAACTATCAGATTAGCAGCTCTAGAGTGTTCCTGCAAAAGTTCATTCAAACGGACTTGGCGGTAGCTCTGTTTAAAACAAAAAGCAATATGTTTAACAATGGATTGTTTCAAATTTGAGAAAGAAGGTAATAGCATGTTTGAAATCCCAGTAGTTCTTCCCAACTAGAACACACCTATTAATCGCCCTCTATAGTAGGCATGGGCAAATTTGGGCCCTCCAGGTGTTTTGGACTTCAACTCCCAAAATTCCTAGCAGCCTCAAGCCCCTTTCTTTTCCTCCTCAGCTGCTTAAGCAGCCCGGGGGCCCCAAATTTGCCCATGCCTGCTGTATACGAGGGTTATCCGGAAAGTAAGGTTACAATAATTTTTTAAAATACAAAGAATGAATACATTTTAATAAAACTTACATGAATTGTAGCATAGGTATTATGTTATTTTTTCCACATAATCACTATTCAATTAGATTTGATGCGGATGACTAGGACGGTTTTAAATGGTGTATTTTAATATTTTGATAAAAAAATTAATATAAATTTTTATTGATCGTTTTAAACACATACACATGGAAAGAGGGGGAACATTCAGAAGAGGATAGAAAAGTAAGAAACCCCGTCACTGAAAGAGAGAGAAAAAATAAGAGAAAAAATACAAAAAAATTTACTAAAAATACGAAAAAATACAAAAATACAAAAAGCAAAACCTAAACTAAAATGACTTCCACTCCAATCCCCGGATCGTCTTCAGTTATTTCTTTATCTTATTTATATCTTCTTAGTCTCTGGTATTTTTCTATTTTTTTTTCATAGTCATAACAACTGGCACTGGTCATTCGCTTCTGCTGGCTTCCCGCTACACAGCAGTGATACCAACTTCCCCCACGAAAATTTCCCGCAAGAGCTACGTGCCTTGTAACCTTATTTCAGGATAACCCTCGCAGAATGCTTTTCTCTACAACTACCAGACATTTAATACTGTCTGGAATTAGAAATAAAGCCTAGTACCAAAAATTCCCAGGTTGAGCTAAGAACATTGGATCCACCATTGCTGGATATTAACTTTTAATTTTGTTTTTCAGATTAAGCATAATCTCTAATTAAGTATAATTCTCTAAGTCCAGTTCTGGGCACCACAGTTGAAGAGAGATATTGACAAACTGGAATGTGTCCAGAGGAGGGCGACTAAAATGATCAAGGGTCTGGAGAGCAAGCCCTATGAGGAGCGGCTTAAAGAGCTGGGCATGTTTAGCCTGAAGAAGAGAAGGCTGAGAGGAGACATGATAGCTATGTATAAATATGTGAGAGGAAGCCGCAGGGAGGAGGGAGCAGGCTTGTTTTCTGCTTCCCTGGACACAATGGAGCAATGGCTTCAAACTATAAGAAAGGAGATTCCATCTGTACATTAGGAAGAACTTCCTGACTGTGAGAGCCGTTCAGCAGTGGAACTCCCTGCCCCGGAGTGTGGTGGAGGCTCCTTCTTTGGAAGCTTTTAAACAGAGGCTGGATGGCCATCTGTCAGGGGTGCTTTGAATGCAATTTTCCTGCTTCTTGGCAGAATGGGGTTGGACTGGATAATGGCCCAGGAGGTCTCGTCCAACTCTTTGATTCTATGATTCTATGTTTCTATCCCCTCTATTTACCATTTCTATTCACAGATGCTTTGCGTCTTAATGTCTTTTTCAACTGACCATCCCACTGTGTTGCAGGTAACGCAGGTATAACTTTTTACCTTCTCCTTGAACGCTTCTAGTTCTGCATCGGTGATTTTCCACGGTGCCTCTCTCTTTAATTTCTCAGCAATTGTTAAATCTTTGCAGCTCTCATGGAGGCGATATGGTTCAATCATCTCTTCAAAGAATTTCCAGCTGGAACAGAAATTATAAAAGAGGCTTGACAGCAGGACTTCAACTCATTATTTCGCAGATTTTCTAAGGGAGGACATATTGTTGGCTATGGAGCGCTCGCCGAATTGCATTCCAGATCTTTAAACTGCAAGGATCAATTTTATGCTCCATTATAACTGTGCATTTTCACTATGGATACACATTGCCTAGACAGGTCTACATTATCTGCTGCATTGTTTATGCCTTACCTTATTTCTATTACAAAATAATAAACCTGACACAAGAACAAAAGAAGATGTTTAAAAACCCTGCTCTATATAATACAACACATTGGTAGATTTGATTCCAGTTTCTATAATTATGTAAGCTACAATTCAGGCTACGGTCCAGTGTTTAAATCGGCTATGCTGCAGTCCTATTATGACATATTTGGAAATAAGTCAACTAAACAGTAGAATTTACTTCAAGTTTATGAAAATGAAAATCGCAATTTACCTCTCTTTGCTGGGTTTCATATTGATGTCACCAATTATGTTAATGTCAGCAAACTTTATTCTGAATTTACTTAAAAGTGAAGCCATCCTGAAAATAAAAGTAAAACTGTTTTAAGTATCATCTATATAAGTGGTTCTCAACCTGGGGGTCAGGACCCCTGGGAGGGTCACGAGGGGGTGTCAGAGGGGTCGCCAAAGACCATCAGAAAACACAATATTTTCTGTTGGTCATGTGGGTTCTGTGTGGGAAGTTTGGCTCAGTTCTATGGTTGGTGGGGTTCAGAATGCTCTTTGATTGTAGGTGAACTATAAATCCCAGCAACTACACCTCCCAAATGTCAAGGTCTGTTTCCCCCCAAACTCCAATAGTGTTCACATTTGGGCATACTGAATGTTCATGCCTACCATCAAGGCAAAGGATTTCTATTTCCATGTTCCATGTTTCCTTTTGTTCATGTCTCATGATTCCAAGTTTTAAAGACTGTTCCTAATTCTCATGTTTTGGATTTATTCTGCTTTTGTATTCCTGGTTTTTGATGCTACTCCCGTACTAGGATTTCTGTGGATTATTCTTGATATTTGGACTTTGGTTTTTTTTAATACTTCTTGCTGAATTGCTTTTCATATGTATTCTGCAATAAACCGCTTTGCTATTTTACCTTGGACTGGAGCGTGTGTTAAGTACAGAGGTGGTTCCCAGCCTTGGAGTGCAACAGAGAGGATAGAAAGCATATTTACCTTAGCTTCTCCTCTTCGAGGCGAGTGACTTTTCCTCCAGTAAAGATCCTTAGTTTACAATCCTTCCACTTTTTCCGTAGAGTGAGAATGTAGGGAATCAGGAGTATTAGCCCTGTGTGAATAATATAGATCAGATTAGTTACGTATATATTTGTTGCACCCAACTTTTACACTTTACTTTTACACTTTACATGGTCTTCTCTGTTTTCATTCTTAGAGCAGCCCTGTGTTTTAAAACAGAACTGGTTCATAGACCCTTTACTTTAATTATGCAGTTTATGTTTCTGAATACTTTATAACTGTACCCTCAATTCGCTTCTGACACGATAAATAAATAAATAAAATCCACAGCATGTTTGCCAAGGAAGAAAGGGTTTGTAGTGTTCACATCTATTATTTGTGCCATCTATAGTGCACCTAACCAATATTATACAGATTTATAAATCTTTTGTCTAGATCTATATAAATAAAAATGTAGTGTTCGTTTGTGGGATTAACATAACTCAAAAACCACTGGACGAACTGACACCAAATTTGGACAATATACCCCTAACAGACCAACAAGTAGAATTTACTTCAACAAGTGACCATCACCCTTAAACACACACACACACACAAAACCCCAGCGTAACAGACTTAAACCCCCCCAAAATACACAATAAATGCATATACACATACACTCATATACATGCACACATTCATACACACATGTATATATATATGCACAAACACACACAAATACACACACACACATATATACACATGCGTACACATATACACACAAATATGTATATAGATAAGCACACACATATACACAATATGCATGTACATATATAAACACACAAATACACAAATATACACACACATATATACACCCACCCACCAACACACAAACAAACATACATACATATATATACACACACACAAACACATATACACAGACTGGGCCACAGCAACGTGTGGCAGGGAACGGTTAGGATATATATATATATAGAGAGAGAGAGAGAGAGAGAAAGAGAGAGAGAGAGTTAATGTGATTGGCAACTCTGTACAAATTTGAATTACATATACACAATATGCATGTACACATATAAACACACAAATACACAAATATACACACACATATATATACACACATACATATATATACACACCCACACACACACACAAACATACATATATACACAAATACACACACACACACAAACACACACATATATATACACACAAAACATATATACACAGACTGGGCCACAGCAATGTGTGGCAGGGGATGGCTAGTGTGTGTGTGTGTGTGTGTATTGAAAGAGAGAGAGAGTGTGTGTGTTAATGTGATTGGCACTGCACAAATTTGAATTTTTAAAAAAGGAAACAAAGCAATTGCTTTTATTATTTCTGCAAATCCTGCATTGCTTATCCAGCGTCCCCTTCCCAAACTCCCTTGTCTGTGCGGCTTACCTCCATCATCAAACAGCCACCACACATCAATAGTTCCTTTCCCTTGCTTCTTTTTAAACTGAGTGCTGGCTTCAAGCAGTCGCTGATTGAATTCACCCATATGCATGGAAGAGATTGTGTTAATGCTGCTCTCTGAAATGATAGAGGGTACACTCCGCATCTTACTCTGCAAGCACGGAAAGGACTCCATAATTGCTAGCTGTAAATAGCATTATTCATTTTCACTTATCTATATAAATAAAAATGTAATGTTCATTTGTGGGATTAACATAATTGAAAAACCACTGGACTAATTGACACCAAATTTGGACACAAGACACCTATCAGGCCAACAAGTGACTACCACTCATAAAAACACTGAAAAACACAACAGAAGGGACTTTAAAAAAAACCAAAAAAGTAAAAAGACAGTACAGCGCATGCGCAAAAACGACTCCTCCAGCAAACAAAACTCATATTAGCATATCCACACTCTTTTCTGGACTACAGCTCCCAGCATCCCCTAGACCAGGCCCTTTAGGAGAGGAGGAGGATCCAAATGGATCCAAATGCATTGCTTCCAAGATGCAAGTTTTCTTCTTGGATTTCTTTGAGAGCATCCCAATCCCTGCATATTTCCAATTTCCTATTCCTGGACTGTAACTCCAAGGAATCCTCCAGATAGATAAGATAAGATAGATAGATTAGATAGAGATAGATAGGAAGGTAGATAGATAGAAAGATAGACAGACAGAAGGTAGGTAGGTAGGTAGATAAATTCGATAGAGATGGATAGGAAGGTAGGTAGGTAGGTAGGTAGGTAGACAGATCGATAGATTAGATAGATAGGAAGATAGATAGATAGATAGATAGATAGATAGATAGATAGATAGATAGGAAGGTAGATAGATAGATTAGATAGAGATAGGAAGGTAGGTAGATAGATTAGATAGAGATAGGAAGGTAGGTAGATAGATAGATAGATTAGAGAGAGATAGGAAGGTAGGAAGGTAGGTAGATAGAAATAGGAAGGTAGGTAGGTAGGTAGATAGATTAGATAGAGATAGATAGGAAGGTAGATAGATGGATAGTGATAGGTAGGTAGGTAGATTAGATAGAGATAGGAAGATAGGTAGGTAGGTAGGTAGATTAGATAGAGGTAGGAAGGTAAATAGGTAGGTAGATAGATTAGATAGAGAAAGGAAGGTAGCTAGCTAGATAGCTTAGGTAGAGATAGGAAGCTAGGTAGGTAGCTAGAGATAGGTAGGTAGGTAGGTAGGTAGGTAGGCAGATAGATTAGATAGAGATAGGAAGGAAGGTAGATAGATAGATGGATAGATAGGTTAGATAGAGATAGGAAGGTAAGTAGGTAGGTAGATAGATAGATTAGATAAGAGATAGGTAGATAGATAGATAGATAGATAGATAGATAGAGATAGGAAGAAAGGTAGATAGGTAGGTAGATAGATTAGATAGAGATAGGAAGAAAGGTAGATAGGTAGATTAGATAGAGATAGGAAGGTAAGTAGGTAGGTAGGCAGGCAGGTAAATAGATAGATAGATAGATAGATAGATAGATAGATAAGATAGAGATAGATAGGAAGGTAGTTAGGTAGGTAGATACATAGATTAGATAGAGATAGGAAGGAAGGAAGATAGGTAGATGGATTAGATAGAGACAGATAGGAAGGTAGGTAGGTAGATAGATTAGATATAGATAGGAAGATAGATAGATCTACCTTCCTATCTATCTCCCAAAAGATTAGGTAGAGATAGATAGGAAGGTAGATAGGTAGATCGGGAGGACTGCTGGGAGTTGCAGTCCAAGAATAGGTAGAAAAGAAAGGGGAGAAAGAGGAAGGGAAAGAAAAAAGGGGGGGCGAAGGAAGGGAAGAGGAAGAGAAGGAAGGAAGGAGAGAAAGAAAGAAAAAGGGAAGGAAGGAAGGAAAGAGGGAGGAAAGGGAGGAGAGAAAGAAAAGAGGAGAGAAAGAGGGAGGGAAGGTTGGCCACAGCAACGCGTGGCAGGTACAGCTAGTGACTTGCATAATGGAGGACTGGTTTTACTTGTCTTGAATCTCTAATTGTTCAAATTCAGCAGATGATCCAGGTTTCTAATATTATGAGAAAGGAATAAAAATTCTTGCTATTCACTTCTCCCACAGCTGTTAGGAATTGTGGGAGTTGAAGTCCAAAACACCTGGAGGGCCCAAGTTTGTCCATGCCTGCTTTATAAGCTTTTCCGATGCTGTTATTTCCTCTGCTCTGAGAATACTCTTCCAATGACTAGTTTTCTTCCATTTAGTTAAATGTATATATTCTAATAGCTTTTTAAAAAAAATCTGTAACCTGATTGTGATTTTTGAGGGTAATTTAATGTTTACAAAGAGTTCCAGACAAATGGTGCTTTCTGACATTATATGTCTCACTTGGGTTCCTGCTCCATCATGCAGACAGGATTTCTGAAAAAATAATAATTTCACCTGACAACTTAGAAAAGAAGGATGAGGTTTTAAAAGAAATTGGAAATCTTTCTGCCAAGGAAGGCTGCATTGAACCTCATTAAATAGTCATTTAAACTACCATAATCCTTTGAGTTATGTATAGAGGAAAAGGGGATGAAAACACTTTTACATCCATGGTTCATTTCCTATAATGCGTTCCTGCTTGGTTAAACTGCTAGTTAAAGATATGAAAAAGTGCTTCCAGATAAAGGTGTGACAAAGTTGTGTCCATCACTCCAAAGAGTGATCAGCAGTGAAATTCAGAGTGGGCCTGGCTTCCCAATTACTAATTTTAGGGACTCAGTATTTAACCTTTTTTTAAAATTAGTGCATTGAAAATTAGTGTATTAAAAATTTTAGAAACAATGCAATTTGCAGTATTTTTCCTTGGATTCCTCCTGTTAGTGCTACATCTATTCTAAATAAACCAGAATACAGTTCCGTAGCACTCCAGGTCAGGAAGAAGCCCTCTGACTTTAAACACACCACACTAAAAGTGAAGAAACAAATCTTCTTTCATTGAAGCTTAGTAAATAGTCAGAAGAAATAAATGCTTGTAAGAAAATAAGAAGGTTCCAAAAAGTAATAAGTCCATAAAAAGCAGTAACACAAAGCAATGTCCACACAAGAAAGAAAAGCAATCCAAGACAGCATTAATCCAGACAGGAATCAAACAGGATGCAAAGACAACCCAAAAGCATAAAAAACTTAACAGAAACTAGACCCCTTGAACAGGATTTCCATGGCACATGAACTTGGTTTCCAAATGATGCCTGATCTAACAGGTTTTCCCTTGAAGCAAACATTATATCCCAAAACTCAGAAATTGGTTTCGCTTCCCCCAACATTTACCCCTTATCAGACGAAGCCTTTCAGAGCAATGTAAACACTGAGTTTGGTGTCTATCCTGGCTAATCTCCAGTTGCCTATTCTTCAGCTCCCTATCTGGCTGCTCATTAAAATTCCCAGGAGTCAGGTTGTTTTCCAAACGCAAATCTTGAGAGCTCACAGAGAGAGGGCGTGAACTATCATTGCTAGGCCCAGCAGGGATATTCTCATGAGAAACTGCCCTTTGCACAGGGGCATCTCTGTCATTGTCTGTATGAAAATCATTGACCAATCATCTCCATCTTGTACCTCAGCCTCGGCACCATCATTTCCCTCATCATTTCCCACATCAGGATCCTGAAACACAAACACAGGCTGATTCCCAATAAGTTCTGTCACAAAACCATAGAATAATAGAGTTGGAAGAGACCGCATGGGCCATCTAGTCCAACCGCTTTCCATGCATGAAAAGCACAATCAAAGTATCCCTGACACATGGCCATCCAGCTGTTGCACTCCAGGACTGAAAAGCCCTCTGATTTTAAAACACCACACCGTTGAATAGAAAACAATCCTTTTATTGAAGATAATTAGAAAGCAGCAAGTAAAAAGCACTTAGAAGAGATAGGTAAATCCAATTAGGTAAGAAGATAAGCAGGAGCAAAAATAGTCCAGGGTAAAGTTCAGCAAAGTCCATAAAAACAAAGTCCACACTTCTCTAATATAATTCAGGAAAACAGGAAACATTAATCCAAGGCATGAGTAGGCATTCATACACTCCAAGAGTCCAAACCATGAACAAGAAATACTTAGACAAGAATCCTCCAAGCAAAGCTTCCATGAAACAAAGGGCGAGAACTATACTTGATTCCAACAATGCTTCATCTGACTATATTCCCCAAACCTGGAACTTTTATCCCCTCGTTAAGCTATTCCATGCACTCTGGAATTGGTTTTGTTTTACTTGAGATCCCCTTATCTTTTGCTGCCGAAGCCTGGCAGACCGCCGAAGGCACTGTTCGGCCTGCCTGTTTTGACTAATTTTCTCTCGCCTATCTATTTGCTCATTAAGTCTTGCAGCTGGGCCAGGTGCCCAGTTGTTTTCAAGCCCCAAATCCTGGAAACCCTCTGGTGACAATTCAGGGAGTATACTATCTATTGCACTCCCTTCAGGGACATTCTCATGGGAAACTACACTTTGCAAAGGGGTCTCCTGGTTCTTCTCTGCATCAGTATAATTGACCAAACCATTGCCATCTTGAAATTCATTGGCATCACTTCCCACATCCAAAGCACCCTGATCCTGAAACACAATCACAGGCTGAACTTCAACACCAGCCTCCATTTTAAAGTTTACAAGAAAATAGCTTCTACCAGACTCTGAGGTAGAGAGTTCCACTGCTGAACAGCTCTTCTTATGGTCAGGAAGTTCTTCCTAATGTTCAGGTGGAATTTCCTTTTCCGGAGTTTGAACCCATTCACCTAGCCTGAGTTTCTTTGATAGGGAAGCTACTGCCATGCCCAAATTAGAATTGTTAGACACTTTTTTTTTTACTTAACATGTATGAACCTATCAACAATAGCCTTAATGTCAGGGGAAACCTTTACCTTTACTTAAATCGATGCCACTTCAGTAGGAAAAGGGAAAGAGATGCTACAAGAAATCTTGCAGGCCACACAATCAGGAGATGACAAAGCAGGCTCCCTGGATTGAAAAATGGAGGAAAGCACCTCCCTGGAGCCAGAGATGAAGCTCCGACTTCAGAAGCCGGAAATGAAAGGAGAAGCCTTTGCCTTTGTTTGTGTTTGTGTGCCTCATTTGTATATGAATCCTAGAATCAAAGAGTTGGAAGAGACCTCGTGGGCCATCCAGTCCAACCCCATTCTGCCAAGAAGCAGGAATATTGCATTCAAATCACCCCTGACAGATGGCCATCCAGCCTCTGTTTAAAAGCTTCCAGAGAAGGAGCCTCCACCACACTCTGGGGCAGAGAGTTCCACTGCTGAATGGCTCTCACAGTCAGGAAGTTCTTCCTCATGTTCAGGTTGCATCTCCCCTCTTGTAGTTTGAAGCCATTGTTCCACTGTGTCCTAGTCTCCAAGGAAGCAGAAAACAAGCTTGCTCCATCCTCCTCCCTGTGGCTTCCTCTCACATATTTATACATGGCTATCATATCTCCTCTCAGCCTTCTTTCTTCAGGCTAAGCATGCCCAGCTCCTTAAGCCGCTCCTCATAGGGCTTGTTCTCCATACTCTTGATCATTTTAGTCGCCCTCCTCTGGACACATTCCAGCTTGTCAATATTTCTCTTGAATTGTGGTGCCCAGAATTGGACACAATATTCCAGGTGTGGTCTAATAATGGCAAATTTATTATTTATTTATTTACAGTATTTATATTCTGCCCTTCTCACCCCGCAGGGGACTCAGGGCGGATTGCAATGTACACATATATGGCAAACATCCAATGCTAAAGACACACAACACATATAGACAGACAGTCAGAGGCTATTTAACTTTCTGGCCGCCAGGGGAGTTGTCATTTTCATCGTCCATCTGCGACACTGATGAAATAATTCCGCATTCCCCGCATGCTTTGCTGGAGTGCTTTGCTGGAGTCTTTTTTATGGCCTTGTAAATTAGTTAAATTAGCCTCCCCACACATAGGTGGTACCTAATTTTCCTACTTGAGAGATGCAACTGTCTTTCGGGTTGCAAAGGTCGACAACAAGCTACATAATTGGTCGGAAGCTCACTAGAGGACTGAATAGAGTGTATTATTATTATTATTATTTTATGAAACTTGCCTTTTGGGGGCATGGTCTTGGTAATGTGAAGCTTGGTGGCTCTTCTGAAGAATCCACGAATGCCCCCATTCCCTTCTTCAAATTCACTGTCTTTAATGGTCGCTTCAAGAGCTTGCCTCTCCTGCTCCAGCCTCTTCAGTTCCTCTGTTGACGGGGGAAGACAAAGAAGGAATGAGTTAGGTCAAACGTTTTAAAAACGGATCAAAATCCCGTTCCCTTCTGGTATTTGCATCTCTGTGCACCAAAAATATATTTACGCCTAAACATTTCATTTTCACTAAACAGATAAGGAGTTTGTGTCATCAAAGGCTTTCATAGCTGGAATCACTGGGTTGCTGTGAGTTTTCTGGGCTGTATGGCCATGTTCCAGAAGCATTCTCTCCTGACGTTTCACCCACATCTATGGCAGGCATCCTCTGAGATGTTATTAGGTTCTGTTGGAAACTAGGAAAATGGGGTTTATAAATCTGTGGAATAATAATAATAATAATAATAATAATAATAATAATAATAATACCTTTATTTATACCACACTACCATCTCCCGAAGGACTTGGTGTGGCTTACAAGAGGCCGAGCCCAAGTACATCAGTAAAAACAACAACAACAGCAATACAGACAATAAATAAACTCATAAACAAAGCAATAAACAGTAACAATAACACCACGACGCATTAAAAACCTATGGCAGGGCCAAATATAATAATTATTTTTTTTTAAAAAAAATGCTGGGCATGACCAGGTGACATATAACTAGGATAGGTATTTGGAGAAAGATGAAGCGAGCAGACAATCCTAGATCATTAGTAAAGTGCAATTAGGGACATGTTGCTTAGGGCTTCCTTATTCTGGGAAGGCACACTGGAACGACGACGTTTTCAGTCTCCTCTTAAAGACTACCAGAGTTGTGGCATGCCTAACGTCCTTGGGAAGCGAGTTTCAGAGTTGAGGGGCCACCACCGAGAAGGCCCTGTCCCTCATCCCCACCAATTGCGCTTGCGATGGAAGTGGGATCGCGAGTAGGGCCTCTCCAGATGAACGAAGAGATCGTGTGGATTCGTACACAGAAATGCGGTCACGCAGGTAGGCAGGTCCCAAACCATTTAGGGCTTTGTAGGTAAGCACCTGCACCTTGAATTGGGACCGGAAAATGAACGGCAGCCAATGGAGCTCCTTAAACAGGAGGGTTGACCTCTCCCTGTAAGGAGCACCAGTTAACAACCTGGCTACCGCCCGTTGGACCAGTTGAAATTTCCGGGCCGTTTTCTAGGGCAGCTCCACATAGAGTCCATTACAGTAATATAATCTAGAGGTGACTAAGGCATGGACCACCCTGGCCAGATCCGCCTTCAAGAGGTATGGTCGCAGTTGGCGCATGGGTCTTAGTTGTGCAAAGGCCCTCCCGGCCACTGCCGACGCCTGAGCCTCAGGAGGACACCCAAACTGCGGACCTGTGACTTCCGGGGGGAGTGCAACCAGTGTCCAGTGTGGGAGAAAGAACCCTTGTCTGTTGGAGGTAGGTGTGAATGTTTCAATTGGCCACCTTGATTAGCATTTAATGGCCTAGCATTTTCAAGGCGTGGCTTCTTACTGCCTGGGGAAATTTATTTATTTATTTATTGACAACATTTATATGCTGCCGTTCTCACCTTGAAGGGGTCTCACAGCGGCTTACAAGATATATATGCATACAATATATTATGTTATTAGCATAATACAATCTCTGTATTAAATATATTGTACTATACCATTATATTGTAATATTATTAGTAATATTACATATAATATACATATATAATTATAATATATTGTTATTATTAGTATTATATTGATTACATTATAATATTATAAATATTAACCCATCCCTCTCCAATGCCAGAGATAAAGCTTAATGGTGTAACATTAGAAAATGTTGACTATTTCCACTCCCTTGGCAGCTACCTCCCCACCAAAATCAACATCGAAACCGAAATACAACACCACCTGAGCTCTGCGAGTGCAGCATTTTTCCGAATGAAGCAGAAAGTGTTTGAGGACCGGGACATCCGTAGGGATACCAAGGTGCTTGTTTATAAAGCTATTGTCCTCCCAACCCTGCTATATGCATGCGAAACATGAACTGTCTACAGACGTCACATGCAACTCCTGGAACAATTCCATCAGCGTTGCCGCCAAAAAATCCTGCAAATCTCTTGGGAAGACAGGTGGACAAATGTCAGCATGCTGGAAGAAGCAAAGACCACCAGCATTGAAGCGATGGTCCTCCGCCATCAGCTCCATTGGACCAGCCATGTTGTCCAGATGCCTGACCACCGTCCCCCAAACCAGTTGCTCTACTTCGAACTCAAGAACAGAAAGCGGAATGTTGGAAGACAGAAAAAGAGATTTAAAGATAGATTCAAAGCCAACCTTAAAACCTCTGGCATAGACACTGAGAACTGGGAAGCCCTGGCCCTTGAGTGCTCCAGCTGGAGGTCAGCTGTGACCAGCAGTGCTGCAGAATTTGAAGAGGCACGAATGGAGGATGAGAGAGAGAAATGTGGCAAGAGGAAGGCGCATCAAGCCAACCCCGACCGAGACCGCCTTCCACCTGGAAACCGATGCCCTCATTGTGGAAGAAGATGCAGGTCAAGAATCAGGCTCCACGGTCACCTACAGATCCACCAGAAAACTGATCCTGGAAAACTATCCTACTCGGCCAACAAGGGATCGCCTAAATGAATGAATGTATATACAATATATTATATTATATTATTGGCATAGCAAATATCCTAAACAAAATATCCTTTGTTGAGAAGTGATTAGCTGTCCCTGATTGTTTCTTGTCTGGAGTTCCCCTGTTTATGAGTGTTGTTCTCTGTTATGATTTTAGAGGGTTTTCTTTAATACTGATTTTGTTCATTTTCATGGTTTCTTCCTTTCCGTTGAAATTGTCCACATGCTTGTGGATTTCAATAGCTTCTTTGAGGATGCCTGTCATAGATGCAGGGGAAACGTTAGGAGAGAATGCTTCTGGAACATGGCCATACAGCCATAAAAATTTACAACAACCCAGCCATGAATGTCTCCTACGATAAAATGCTCCTATATTTTCTGTTGGTGTATCAAGGATGGAAATAGTGAGAAGGAAGCACTAGGGGTCAGCAGAGAATCGCAAATTGTGCCATACGATTATAACTAACTATTAATTTTAAACTAATTCCTTAAGATATGCCAAGATCCAATAATTGCTTCTTAATTTTATTTGGAGTCCCTCTTCTGAAAGATGTGTTTAACTCAATTAAGTCCCCCGTACAGAGTACATTAATTCTATATGGATGGGGCACCTTCAATGCACACAATCCGCATCACTAAGCATAGAGCATCACTAAGTAGCTTAAAGAAGATATATTTTTAAAAATGTATGTGATTGCCATATGTGACAATCAGGGTTGTAAATTAGCACTTGAATCCCAAGCGTCTGTTTTCCTGGTTCTTCCCAGATTCTTGATGAGAGATGATTGGCATTATACCAATTGATTATCTCCTTGATTTGTGTACTTGATCTAGTTGCATGTATATTTTAATACTAGCTGTACCCACCACGCGTTTTTGTGGCCAACCTTCCCTCTTTCTCTCCTCCTTTCTTTCTCTCCTTCCTTCATTCCCTTTTTTTCCTTTCCTTCTCTCCTTCCTTCCTTCTCTTACTCTTCCCTTTCTTTCCCCCTTTTCTTTCCCTTCCTCTTTCTCCCCTTTCTTCCTTCTCTACCTATTCTTGGACACTGAGAACTAGGAAGCCCTGGCCCTTGAGCGCTCCAGCTGGAGGTCAGCTGTGACCAGCAGTGCTGTACAATTCAAATTATACAGCATTGCTGGTCACAGCTGACCTCCAGCTGGAGCGCTCAAGGGCCAGGGCTTCCCAGTTCTCAGTGTCCAACAATATGTAGAGAAGGAAGAAAGGGGCAAGAATGGAGGCTGAAAGAGAGGCAAGAATGGAGGGTGAAAGAGAGAAACGTGCCAAGAGGAAGGTGTGCCAAGCCAACCCCGACTGGGACCGCCTTCCACCTGGAAACTGATGTCCTCACATGAAGGTCAAGAATAGGGCTCCACAGCCACCTATGGACCCACCACCAGTACATTGACCTTGGAGGACATTCTTACTCGGACAATGAGGGATTGCCTAAGTAAGTAAGTAAGTGGGAAGTCTGACTTGGCCACGGTAGTCCACTCTCTAGTTACATCCCGTATAGACTACTGCAACGCTCTCTACGTGGGGTTGCCTTTGAAGACGGTCCGGAAGCTTCAACTAGTCCAAGGTTGTTAATAGGAGCGGCGCTCAGGGAGCATACAACCCCCTTGTTGCGCCAGCTCCACTGGCTGCCAGTTTGCTACCGGGCCCAATTCAAAGTGCCGGCTTTGGCCTATAAAGCCCTAAACGGTTCTGGCCCAACTTACCTGTCCAAATGTATCTCCCCTTACGAACCTCTGAGGACTTTAAGATCATCTGGGGAGGCCCTGCTCTCGGTCCCACCTTCGCCACAAGCACATTTGGCGGGGACGAGAGACAGGGCCTTCTCCGTGGTGGCCCCTCGGCTATGGAACGCTCTCCCTGGGGAAATCAGATCTGCTCCCTCCCTCTTGACGTTTCGGAGGCAAGTTAAAACGTGGCTATTCGAGCAAGCGTTTACAAATATAGAGTAGCTAAGATAGGAAATCGAATGACCTGACAATGGAATTGGACAATGCTTGAGAATAATGAGACACTGATGATGTTGCTTTTATTGCTTTTATGATGTCTTATACTATTATGTTTTATGTATACTGATTTGTTGGAAACTGCCTTGAGTCGCCAATTGGCTGAGAAAGGCGGTATACAAATACAGTAAGTAAGTAAATAAATAAATAAATAAATAAAATAATTATTGGACTGCAACTCCCAGCAGTCCTCCTGATTGATTTATCTGCTACCTTCTAGCTTAGAGTCAATATCTCTTTTGAGCTGTGGTGCCCAGAATTGGACATAATATTCCAGGTGAGGTCTAACCAAAGCATAATCTCCCAGAGTTTCCTTTGAAAATGTGGAACACCTCCTATTCCATGCCTGGTTGACCTTCCAAGCCATGACCTGCCAGTGCCCGACTCTAGTGATGCCACCTTTCACAGCTTGAAGCCACGAGAAGAACCTCAAGTTACAGTGGAAGGACCAGGAGACATGCACCTACCCAAATTCAGCTCGAAGGAAGGAAGGAAGGAAGGAAGGAAGGAAGGAAGGAAGGAAGGAAGGAAGGAAGGAAGGAAGGAAGGAAGGAAGGAAGATGGGGGACGAGTGAAGGGAAGGCAGACAGAAAGAGGGAGGAATGGACTCAGCAGTGGGCCTTCTTTTAACTTATGAGGGACCTTCCTTCTGGCTCTCTCGCCTTAAAGAAATGGAACAAGATTTCCCACAGTTCCTCTTTGGACAACTAGAATTAGTGTGGAAACAAGACAGAGTGTAGAAATTATCAGAAATGTAGTTAGGTTTTGACGTACCTTGAACCTGGAGGACTTGCGAGATGTCAAATCCTTGGCTTATTCGAACAATGATCACACCGAATTCGAAGTCAAATGCATCACTGAAATAGAGTGGAAATATATTAAAAGAGGGCAAAACGTAGCTCTATGCCAGTGTTTCTCAACCTGGGGGTCGGGACCCCGGGGGGGGGGGGTTGCAAGGGGGTTTCAGAGGGGTTGCCAAAGACCATCAGGAAAACATATATTTCTGATGATCTTAGGAACCCCCTTGGCAGAAAAGGATGAAGATCTCTCTGCCTGTCCTTCTCTTCTTTTTTGGAAACAGACGGGGAATCCCCCCACCAAAACCCCTCCTCCGTATATGATTGGCTGGCCTCCCAGACAAGGGGAGGGCTGATTCTGAGACTCCAAGCGGGGGAGGGGAGAGCAGGTGTGCATGGCGCATGGCAGTGCAGGCAAGGGAGAGCGTGCAAGGTTGGAGAGAGGCTCAAGCAAGCAAGTTCCTTCATAGCATGGGGGTTCTGTGGAAGTTTGACCCAATTCTATCATTGGTAGGGTTCAAAATGCTGAATCTGGGGGTCGGGACCCCTGAGGGGGTCACAAGGGGGATGTCAGAGGGGTCACCAAAGACCATCAGAAAATGCAGTATTTCTGTTGGTCATGGTGGGTTCTTTGTGGGAAATTTGGCCCAATTCTACTGTTGGTGGAGTTCACAATGCTCTTTGATTGTAGGTGAACTATAAATCCCAGCAACTACAACTCCCAAATGTCAAAATCAATCCCCCTCAATCCCACCAGTATTCAAATTTGGGTGTATTGGGTATTTCTGCCAAACTCAAGGTCAATGCCCATCAAAAACTTCCAGTATTTTTTGTTGGTCATGGGAGTTCTATGTGCTAAGTTTGGTTCAAGTCCATCATTGGTGGAGTTCAGAATGCTCTTTGATTGTAGGTGAACTATAAATCCCAGCAACTATAACCCCCAAATGTCAAGATCTATTTTCCCCAAACCACCAGTACTCACATTTGAACATCTTGAGTGTTTGTACCAAGTTTGGTCCAGATCTATCATTGTTTGAGTTCACAGTGCTCTGTGGATGTACGTGAACTACAACTCCAAAACTCAAGGTCAATGCTCATCAAACACTTCCAGTATTTTTTGTTGGTCATGGGAGTTCTGTGTTCCAAGTTTGGTTCAATTCCATCATTGGTGGACTTCAGAATGCTTTGTGATTGTAGGTAAACTATAAATCCCAGCAACTACAACTCCCAAATGTCAAAATCAATCCCCCCTCTATCCCACCAGTATTCAAATTTGGGCGTATTGGGTATTTCTGCCAAACTCAAGGTCAATGCCCATCAAAAACTTCCAGTATTTTTTGTTGGTCATGGGAGTTCTATGTGCCAAGTTTGGTTCAAGTCCATCATTGGTGGGGTTCAGAATGCTCTTTGATTGTAGGTGAATTATAAATCCAAACAACTACAACTCCCAAATGTCAAGGTCTATTTTCCCCAAACTTCACCAGTGTTCACATTTGGACACATTGAGTATTTGTACCAAGTTTGGTCCAGATCTATCATTGAGTTCACAGTGCTCTGTGGATGTAGGTGAACTACAACTCCAAAACTCAAGGTCAGTGCTCATCAAACACTTCCAGTATTTTTTTGTTCGTCATGGGAGTTCTAAGTGCCAAGTTTGGTTCAATTCTATCATTGGTGGAGTTCAGAGTGCTCTTTGATTGTAGGTGAACTATAAATCCCAGCAACTACAACTCCCAAATCTCAAAATCAATCTCCCTCAACCCCACCAGTATTCAAATTTGGGCGTACCAGGTATTTGGTTTTATTTTACTGTAATATGTTGTTGGGCTTGGCCTCATGTAAGCCGCCGCGAGTCCCCATTGGGGAGATGGTGGCAGGGTATCAAATAAAGTTATTATTATTATTATTATTATTATTATTATTATTTGTGCCAAATTTGGTCCAGTGAATGAAAATCCATCCTGCATATCAGATATTTACATGACAATTCATAACAGTTGCAAAATTACAGTTATGAAGTAGCAACGAAAATAATTTTATGGTTGGGGGTCACCACAACATGAGGAACTGTATTAAGGGTTCGCGGCATTAGGAAGGTGGAGAAGCACTGTTCTATGCTATGGTGTTTTCTCCTCAAATACAAAGCTTTGTCATAGTTAGGTCCCATAGACCTCACATAGGGATTGAAATTCAAATTCCAAAGACAGATAGGTGGATGGATAGATTACCTTTAGTTATGCAAAACCATACAGAGACACCAAAAAATCAACATCTAATCAACAGTCCCCAGCATATTGCTTGGTTCCTACTTACTGAATGATGCCCACGTAATTTTCAACTTGCGCTGCCGTGGAATGTCTCCAGTTCTTTTTAAATCCAAACACCAAGGTGTTCGGTCTGATTCTGCCCAATCCGGAGGCCTGGCGATATGAAAAGACGGCGTTTGAAGAGATGCACGGGCAAGGTTTATCGAAAATGAGGAGTAATGGCAAAAGATAAGGGAAGTAATGTTCTGGAGGTATTTAAGAGGGAATTGCATTTGGCGACTGTCCTTCATGCTTGTACCCAAGCAGCACATAAAAGATTAGCTCTAAATCATCGCAGCTATAAATGGTTTTTAGATGGCAGAAGTCTAGCTTTGCTAAATGAGCATTCATTTGCATGCCTTCTGATGAATGCTCATTAAAACGGTTTTAATAACTTAAGATCAACAGCATTTTTAAGCGAGTGTGGGCTGGTTTTTAAAACGATAGCTTCCCAGGTTTCAGCCATTACGTAATCAAAGTATGAAGCACATTTCAACAGTAGAGGCAGTTAGGAAAGAGTGTACATGTCAGAGCTGTTCAACAGTGGAACTCTCTGCCTTGGAGTGTGGTGGAACATTCTTTGGAGGCCTTTTTTGGATGGCCATCTGTCGGGGGTGCTTTGATTGTGCTTTTCCTACATGGCAGAATGCAACTGGACTAGATGGCCCTTGGACTAGATGGCTCCAACTCTCCTTCTTTGGATGGCCATCTGTTGGGGATGCTTTGATTGTGCTTTTCCTGCATGGCAGAATGCGGTTGGACTAGATGGCCCCAACTCTCCTTCTTTGGATGGCCATCTGTCAGGGTGCTTTGATTGTGTTTTTCCTGCATGGCAGAATGCGGTTGGACTAGATGGCCCTTGGACTAGATGGCTCCAACTCTCCTTCTTTGGATGGCCATCTGTCGGGGGTGCTTTGTGCTTTTCCTGCATGACAGAATGAGGTTGGACTAGATGGCCCTTGGACTAGATGGCTCCAACTCTCCTTCTTTGGATGGCCATCTGTCGGGGGTGCTTTGATTGTGCTTTTCCTGCATGGCAGAATGGGGTTGGACTAGATGGCCCTTGGACTAGATGGCTCCAACTCTCCTTCTTTGGATGGCCATCTGTCAGGGATGCTTTGATTGTGCTTTTCCTGCATGGCAGAATGCGGTTGGACTAGATGGCCCTTGGACTAGATCCACCATCATTTGGTGGCCGCAATGATGCAATGGGTTAAACCAGTGGTTCTCAACCTGTGGATCCCCAGATGTTTTGGCCTTCAACTCCCAGAAATAATAATAATAATAATAATAATAATAATAATAATAATAATAATAATAATAATAATTTTATTTGACCAGTCATATGACCATTTCAAAATAGAACTCCCAGAAATCGTAGCACCTGGTAAACTGCCTGGGATTTCTGGGAGTTGTAGGTCAAAACATCTGGGAACCCACAGGCTGAGAACCACTGCATTAGAAGGATGATGATGATGATATTTGGGTTGCTGTGAGTTTTCCGGGCTGTTGAGAACCACTGGGTTAAACTGCTGAACTGTTGAATCTGCTGACCTAAAGATTGGCAGTTTGAAGACGCGGGTTGGTGTGAGCTCCCGCTGTTGGACTTAGCTCCTGCCAACCTAGCAGCTCGAAAACATGTAAATGTAAACCACTGAACTGTTGAATCTGCTGACCTAATGATTGGCAGTTTGAAAACACGGGTTGGGGTGAGCTCCCGCTGTTGGCCTTAGCTCCTGCCAACCTAGAAGCTTGAAAACATGTAAATGTAAACCGCTGAACTGTTGAATCTGCTGACCTAATGATTGGCAGTTTGAAAACATGGGTTAGGGGGAGAGCTCTGGCTGTTGGCCTTAGCTCCTGCCAACCTAGCAGCTCGAAAACATGCAAATGTGAGTAGATCAATAAGTACTGCTTTGGCAGGAAGGCAATAAAAAGGGGCCCATGCAGCCATGCTGGCAATGTGATCAGGAGGTGTCTGTGGACAATAGGCTCCTTGGCTTTGAAACGGAACAAGTGTACCTTCCTATGCCCTAAGCATCACCTCCAGAAGCCGGAGATGAAAGGGGAAGCCTGTATCTTTGTTCTGTGTATTTGTGTGTCATTATCATTTCACTGTATTAAAGACACTGAATGTTCTTCTATCTGTGTATGTTGTAATCTGCTCTGAGTTCCCTCGAGGAAATAATGTGGAATATAAATAAAGTGTATTATTATTGGGTTGTTGTAGGTTTTTCCGGGCTATATGGCCATGTTCTGGAGGCAATTTTTCTGGAGGCATATAGCCCGGAAAAACCTACAACAATCCAGTGATTCCAGCCATGAAAACCTTCGACAATACATTATTATTATTATTATTATTATTATTATTATTATTATTATTATTTCTTTGAATCACCATGCCTACGTCACTGATTTAGCAATAGTTTTACATGTTTGCAAACGGATATGACTGCTTGCAGACTGGGAACAAGAATATTTGCAATAATATAATTGGAATATAATTGGCGCAGTGCAATAATGTAATTGGAATATGTGCAATGACTACGGAACGGATTTAAGAGTTTGAGTTTGGACGGCCTGAATGCTGAATGCAATTTTAAATGTTTCATATGCATTAATTTTAATTCAATTGATTTTAAGATTACTGTTTGTATATGTTAAGGCACTGAATAACTTCCATATGTACAGTAGGACACCTTGAGTCCCCCTTGAGGTAGAGGAAGGTGGGGTATAAATAGGGCAAATAAACAAATAAACAAACAAATGCCTATGCTCCTGATCTGGCAATAGCTTTTAATATGTTTGCAGACTAATATGACTGCTTGCAGACTTCCCAGTAGACTTAACCAAAAGCAAACTCCTGCAGCTTCTTCCTGTTTATGATTTCTTCTTTATTAATAACTCTGAGTATTGCCGAAGGCTTTCATGGCCGGAATCACTGAGTTGTTGTAGGTTTTTCAGGTATATGGTGATGTTCTAGAAGCATTCTCTCCTGATGTTCCGCCCGCATCCTATGGCAGGCATCCTCAGAGGTTGTGAGGTCTCACAACCTCTGAGGATGCCTGCCATAGATGCAGGCAAAACGTCAGGAGAGAATGCTTCTGGAACATCACCATATAGCCCAAAAAACCTACAACAACCCAAAACAGTGGTCCCTTGCTACTTCACTGTTCACTTTTCGCGGACACGCTGTTTCGTGGTTTTTCAATATGGACTTAAGACTGTTTGTCTGGAGAGGCTGCCTCTGCGGAGAAAGCCAGAGCCGACGATTACGTGAACAACACGTTCAAGGAGTGCTATGTAGTGTATAAGTGTGTGGGGAGGGTCTATAAAGACTTAAAATAGTGTGTAACTACTAAAATAATGTATAAAAGCATCCCTACTTTGCGGATTTTCACTTTTCCCAGGTGGTCCTGCATCATAACTAGGAATAAGTGAGGGAACACTGTAACTCTGAGGTTTGACCACATTCTGATGTTGCGTGGCACCCCATGTCCTGTTTTCCATCCATAAATAAAACGCTGGATAGCATGATAACTTGGAGTTGGAATTGTTTCTGAAATAACCCGCAAGACAAAAGCACCGTTCCCTTGGATATTCTCTGCATTTACAAGACATTATCTAAAGAGACAAGAAGTGCTCTTAACAAACAAACAGACATTCTCCATGTAACGGAGGCCGCTTTGAAGTAATGCTTCCTGAGCGCGCTCGGCAAATAAAGAGCTTACTTGAAGGAGACTTTTGACTCCGTCTCGAAAGCTGTCAGCTGCCACCGCCGCATAAAAGGCTTTCCTTTTGTTCTTTGCCAGCCAAGCCTGCTTCGTTGCCATGCCACTGTTCATCTCTGTAACGCACAGCTTGCGTGGGCCCTGCGTGACACAGTCATACATGAGCGAGAGGACTTGGTATTATCCCTGGCAACAATGGGGTGATTTTAAAGGAGGGGAACGGGAAGAATGTCAAGGAGAAAAAAACGCCTCACCACAAAAGGCTTCCAAAGAGAAAGCCTCCTTTTGAAACCGAGCCTGATGGTAACATCACTCATTTTCTGCTCAAAAAGGGTAAGCCTGTTAACATCGCTTAGGTGTAGTGATCGCTGGAGAAACAGGCATTGTGCTTTTAAATAACGGGTCGGAAACGACACCGGGTTAACATAGCAAACCAATCTTTCAGCTACTTCAGTGAAAATAATAGGATTCCAGACGGTTTAGTGCCAATTCACACAATTGTTTTTGCACCCATTCATACTTTGAGAAGATGTAATGAAATCAATGAGGCTCTCTAACTAAGGATGTAGTGAAGTTTTGTATATAGGTAGTGAAACCACAATACTATTACTTTAACAGGTGGTGAACTGCAATTCTGATACATTGGCAAGGGAGCGGAGGGATGATTTATTGTTGCCACCAATTTGAAAGGAACCAGTATTCAGGAGATTTTACCCCAGTTCCCAATTTTAAAAAGAACTGGCCGACTTGCAATGGAGGTTGCCGATTAGGAACCAAATTTACCATCAAGTTGGAAGGGAGGCTGTTCAATTGCACCTCCTCCTTTAATAAGAAAGTAATAACTTAGTAGTAATTACACTGTATATACTGTAGCGTGACTGGAGAGAAGAATATAGATTTATTTGGTTACTTTTCCCTGCGTTTCTGCCACCACGTGAGGTAAGTTGTAATATTGTGAGAAATGGCACTTTGGACACAGAATAGACGGAGCTAAGGCAATCTTCAAATAAAAGTTAACAATTTTATTAAGTACACAGTATGTGGTTGCAAGACGTAACTTTTCCTTGTTGCACTTGGAATAATACTTGTAACTTTAACAGTTCATTCTTTCAAGTAAAACAGTATCTTTCTGACGTAGAGCACTAGTTTCAGACAAAGTTTCAATACAGGGATGTTTTCCTTATTTGATCCTCCCTAGATCAAATACTAAGTAAACTATTCTTTAGCCTCTCCTTAGACTAAAAGAATACCAGCTAGGTTTCACCATTCGGCCGCACTAGCCTGAGAAACTTCCAATAGCCAAACCCAGCTTTTCAAAGCCTCAAAGCTTTGCTTCACAAGTCACTCCGCCACCTTTCCTTTCCCTCTCTCCCAACTCCTCACTCCTCTGAACTTAACTCCTGACTCCTCTGAACCTAAACCCTAACTGATTTTTAACTGTCGTTTTTTCAAACTCTCCCCTCTAAGCTCCTCCCACTTCCCTCTCTCCTGCATCGGTCTCCATGGCAACGCACATGGAGGACTCCTCTGACTTAGGCCGCTCCAGCATTACTGCAGCCAATCTAAACACAAATACAGTTAAAATCATACAATTTATAATCAACTCCTGAAAAGTAGTGAAACCACAATACCATTACTTTAACAGGTGGTGAACTGCAATTCTGATACATTGGCAGATACTGTATGTTGGAAGTTGATTCACCATGCAAAACCCAGCTGTTCTTGGCATTATTAGTCAACAAGTGACAATATGCTCCACCAAACAAAGGCTTAGAGCCCACCTATATATAAATGCATAGGTAAAGGTAAAGGTTTTTCCCTGACTCCAGGACAGGAATAACCCTCTGACTTTAAAACACCACACATTGAGTAGGAAAACAATCCTTTCTTGGGAGAAGAGCAATGTCCAATCTCAATAAAATAGTAAAGAGCAGAGACATCACACTGGCAACAAAGATCCATTGCCTAGTCAAAGCCATGGTCTTCCCTGTAGTAACCTACGGATGTGAGAGCTGGACCTAGGAAAGGCTGAGCGAAGGAAGATAGATGCTTTTGAACTGTGGTGTTGGAGGAAAGTTCTGAGAGTGCCTTGGACTGCGAGAAGATCCAACCAGTCCATCCTCCAGGAAATAAACCCGACTGCTCACTGGAGGGAAGGATACTAGAGACAAAGTTGAAGTACTTTGGCCACATCATGAGGAGACAGCAAAGCCTAGAGAAGACAATTATGCTGGGGAAAGTGGAAGGTAAAAGGAAGAGGGGCCGACCAAGGGCAAGATGGATGGATGGCATCCTTGAAGTGACTGGACTGACCTTGAAGGAGCTGGGGGTGGTGACGGCCGACAGGGAGCTCTGGCATGGGCTGGTCCATGAGGTCACGAAGAGTCGGAGACGACTGAATGAATGAACAACAACAAAAGCAGCAAAGTAAGAAAAAGCACTTTAAGGGAATAGGTAAATCCAATTAGGTAAGAAGATAAGCAGGAACAAATTAGTCCAGGGTAGGGTTCAGCAAAGTTCAAAAACAAAGTCCAGACTTCTCTAATAAAATCCAAAGAACTAGGAATACATTGATCCAAGGCATGAGTATGTAATCACAAGAGACAAAGACCATAAAACAAGAAATCCTTAAACATGAATCTTCCAAGCAAGGCTTCCATGAGGCAAGAGCAAGAACTTAGCAGGATTCTAAATGATGCTTCATCTGACTACATTTCCCATGCTTGGAACTTTACATCCCCTCATTAAGGGTTGTTAATGTTCCGACTTTCACAGCCACTGAGAAAGAGGGAACTTGGAAATCTTCTCCGCTGGAAAACTCCTTGTACCCAAGACTCCAAAGACTGTAATGTATGTTTTCTTTCCCCCCTTTGAATATCAAGTTTATGCCTAAGGAAGATAACTCATTGTGAACAATAAAGACTATTTCGAGTTATCTATAGTGTCTTGATCCTTGAGAGTTCCAGTTCTCTAAAGGAGGGCAAGAAGCAATCCCCTGGGGAAAAGATGCCACGTCCATGTTTCTTTCACTAAGAACTATAGCCCCCAGGCACGACGGCATAGGGCAGATCAAAAGAGCTGTTCAGCAGTGGAACTCTCTGCCCCGGAGTGTGGTGGAGGCTCCTTCTTTGGAAGCTTTTAAACAGAGGCTGGATGGCCATCTGTCAGGGGTGATTTGAATGCAATATTCCTGCTTCTTGGCAGGGGGTTGGACTGGATGGCTCATGAGGTCTCTTCCAACTCTTTGATTCTATGATTCTATGACAACCTGGCAAAATGGCACTACCTAAAAGAATCCCACATCTTGTGTGACTGTGGAGCAGAGCAGACAACTCCGCATCTGTATGCTTGCCCACATTGCCCTGCCTCATGCACAGAGGAAGAACTGTTTAAAGCTACAGACAATGCAGTTGCTGTTGCCCGTTTTTGGTCTGTTTTTTGTGACCTCTTTTTATCAGTCTTAAACTTATTTATTTATGCAATGCTTTTGACATGAAATAAAATAAAATCTGCATTTCTATTTTATGCCCCTCTCAACGCCAATGCTGCAAAAACACTGCTAGCTAGACAAAAAGAACAAAGGGGTCTGGGGACCATAACAAGAAGCTTCTACAGAGCTTGGACATCTCTATATTTTAATGCCTTTTGTCATATAATTTGAGTGCCATTTTTTCATGGCACCGAAAACGAAATAAAAAAGGCAGTTAAATGAGTATAAGCTTTGGAGTCTTTAAAGGCATAATAGGAGCACGCTTAGCAGGATGTTCCTATTTTATCACTCTTTTTTTCTCCCCCAGACACACAGATCACTGAAGTTCCTTATGTCACATTTTTACGAGCCCATAAAACTTAGATTTGGCTTAAATTTCGAGAGGAGGAGGAAAACAACTGAAATGCTTATGTTGGCGGAAATAAAAACCTACCAGTGCAACATGAAAACTGATAATATATCAAAAAAAAAAAAAAACAAAACCTGCTGACCTGAAGTTCTCAAAAGACCCAACTAATGTCTGCACTGGGAGAAGCAGTAAAACTTCCACGCGGTGTAGGTCAACAGGTTGAAAAGGGACCAACAATGCCTTGCCTTAGACTGCTTTCCCATCTTATACTCTTTTAATTATTTAAGAACAATAGAATGTCACATCTAAACATGAACATGGTCCTTCTGTTTCAACTTGGGTCTACTATGGTTTGTTTGTTTTTGTCGTGTCAGGAGCAAGTCGCTTCTGGTGTGAGAGAATTGTCCATCTGCAAGGATGTTGCCCAGGGGACGCCTGGATGATTTGATGTTTTTATCATCCTTGTGGGAGGCTTCTCTCATGTCCCCGCATGAAGAGCTGGAGCTGATAGAGGGAGCTCATCTGCCTCTCCCCAGATTCGAACCTGCGACCTGTCGGTCTTCAGTCCTGCCGGCACAGGGGTTTAACCCACTGCACCACCGGTTTGAACTTGGGTCTAGTATCGTTGAAAATAACACTTGGATTCAATGCAAAACATAGCCCCTAAAATACATGATAGGTGCCCTTTCTTTATTTTAGGGTTTTTTAAAAAATGTGTGTTCAATAAGGGAGCACCCAGTGGCTCAGTGGGTTCGAATCCGGGGAGTGGCGTGAGCTCCCACTGTCAGCCCCAGCTTCTGCCAACCTAGCAGTTCAAAAACATGCAAATGTGAGTAGATCAACAGGTACCACTCCAGCAGGAAGGTAAGGGCACTCTATGCAGTCATGCTGGCCACATGACCTTGAAGGTGTCTATAGACAATGCCAGCTCTTTGGCTTAGAAATGGAGATGAGCACCAACCCCCAGAGTTGGACACGACTGGACTTAATGTCAGGGGACATCCTTTACCTTTACTATGTTCAATAAAATGGGGAGATTTTGTCTCTTCCTTCACTGCACTGGTTTTGATCTCTAAAGCTCTATCTAGCTCAGCTACAAGTTATTTGAGTATCTGTATTCTTTCTAATAGGAGTTTCAGAAAAACATCTATTTCTGTTTTATTGACTATTCCAAAGCCTTTGACTGTGTGGATCATAATAAATTGTGGCAAGTTCTTGGTGGTGTGGGCATACCAAATCACCTTGTCTCTCTCCCCTGAGGAATCTGTATAAGGACCAAGTAGCAACAGTCAGAACTGACCACGGAACAACAGACTGGTTCAAGATTGGGAAAGGCGTACGGCACGGTTGTATACTCTCACCCAACCTATTCAACTTGTATGCAGAAGACATCAAGCAACATATGGGGGCTGATGAATCCAAGGCTGGGGTTAGAATTTCTGGAATAAACATTAACAACCTTAGATATGCAGATGATACCACTTTGATGGCTGAAAGCGAGGAGGAGTTGAGGAGCCTTCTAACCAAGGTGAAAGAAGAAAGTGCAAAAGTTGGATTGCTGTTAAAGATCAAAAAGCCCAAGATTCTGGCAACTAGGCTGATTGATAACTGGCAAATAGAGGGAGAAAACGTGGAGACAGTGGCAGACTTTGTATTTCTAGGTGCAAAGATGACTGCAGACGCAGACTGCAGCCAGGAAATCAGGAGACGCTTACTTCTTGGGAGGAGAGCAATGGTCAATCTTGATGAAAGAGTGAAGAGTAGAGACATTACATTGGCAACGAAGATCTGCATAGTAAAAGCAATGGTATTCTCTGTAGTAACCTATGGATGTGAGAGCTGGACCAAAAGGAAGGCTGAGCGAAGGAAGAGAGATGCTTTTGAACTGTGGTGTTGGAGGAAAGTTCTGAGAATGCCTTGGACCGTGAGAAGATCAAATCAGTTCACACACCAGGAAATAAAGCCCAACTGCTCACTGGATGGAAGTATAGTAGAGGCAAAAATGAAGTATTTTGGCCACATCATGAGGAGACAGGAAAGCTTAGAGAAGACAGTGATGCTGGGGAAAATGGAAGGAAAAAGGAAGAGGGGCTGACCAAGGGCAAGATGGATGGATGGGATCCTTGAAGTGATTGGCTTGACCTTGAAGGAGCTGGGGGTGGCCATGGCCGACAGGGAGCTCTGGCGTGGGCTGGTCCACGAGGTCACGAATTTGGAAGCGACTGAACGAATAAGCAACAAGACTAAGATAATGATAATATGGATTTTCTGCTTTGATAACCTAGATTATCTGGCAGTGTAGAAGGGGCCTTAGTCTCTTCTGCTGATTTGTTTTCTGCTGCTAAATTGTATCATCTATGCCTTCTTGTTGTTGTTATTGTTGTTGTTAAAACAATTATTTATGGATTCTTGTTAATACTGGACACTGTTCATGTGCCTGAAAAGGCAAAATTCCTTCACCTGGCAAAGGCAAACCAAAAATCAAGTGATTTCAAATACATAACAAACGCATGGGAGCATTTATTTTTGAGTCCTATTATTCAGAGAACGGTGGAATATAAATGAAAATTGCAACAACAAAAATGGTATTATGTGGCAGTGTAAACGGGGCCATGTATTCACCAGGCTTACTCACTGTGTACACTTCACAACACATGCAGAGCCCGTTGTTCTTTGTGAACGAATGCGCAATGTCCAACAAAGCTGGTCTGATCATGGGTCCCCCTGTTAATACCAAACACTGCGGCCTGTGAAGGCGGAAAGGGACACATTAAGTTGCATAACATGACCCTGCAGAGCAGACCTTGGACAGCTTTCATGGAGACCTTACCTGAAGTTTTTCACATGATCATCCACTGTTGTTAGGTCTAGTGCAGAGTCAATGGCATTGACGTAGTAGAGGGCCTGCGAGGATGACCCCCAATTTACCTCTGTTGCCAGAAAGAGGGAGAGAGAAAAGTAGCACATTACCCCACTTTTATTTTCCGAACTCTTATATCATATGTTTATTATTAAATATAAGGTATAGGCTGTGCATTATTTCTCCAAAATACTCCAAAATTCAAAATCATCCGTGTGGGTGACTAAGACTGGGTCTACACTGCTATATAATCCGGTTTCTGAATCCTGCTTATGTGCTTTGAACTCGATTATATGAGTCTACACTGCCATATTCAAAAGAAGATCATCTGGATTCAGAAACCAGATTATAGGGCAGTGTAAGTGGGACCCATCAAAGTGACACCTTTGCTCTCTGGTGATTTAAGGTACATACATACACGTTATGGTGTGCACAAAATTATTAAACATATTGTGAGCAAAATAACTTTCAAGATATGTGTATTATAAATTTATTTTATTTATTTATTTCGAGTACTTCTACCCCGCCCTTCTCAACCCCCGAGGGGGGACTCAGGGTGGCTTACAAAAAGGCACAATTCGATGCCTACACAAAATACACATACGTACAAAACAGCAGTTAAAAACAATTATCACAGTTAAAATAGTCGGTATATAACACAATCAATAAAACTAATCTCGTGGTCAGCGTTCGTCTTTCAGAGTTCCATAATTCCATTCCACTTAGTCAATTCCTGTCCATCTTCAAGGTCCTTTCTTTATCTGCCAGACTGTCTGAATGCCTGGTCTCAAATCCATGTTTTCAATTTTTTCCTAAAGGAAAGGAGGGATGTCACTGATCTAATTTCCCCGGGGAGTGAATTCCACAGGTGAGGGGCCACCACCGAGAAGGCCCTGCTCCTTGTCCCCGCCAGAGAGCAGAGTTGAGAGCAGGGCTTTCCCAGACGATCTTAGACTCCGAAGTGGGATGTAGAGGGAGATCCGTTCAGACAGATACACTGGGCCAGAACCGTATAGGGTTTTGTAGGTCAAGACCAGCACTTTGAATTGTGCTCGGAATTGGATCGGCAGCCAGTGGAGCTGACACCCAGGGGGGTGCTGAAACCCAGGGGGGGTGGGTGGTGGTATGCTCCCTGTATGACGCCCCGGTGAGCAGTCTGGCTGCCTCTCACTGGACTAGTTGGAGTTTCCGAACAGTCTTCAAAGGCAACCCCACGTAGAGTGTGTTGCAGTAATATAATCAGGATGTAACAAGAGTGTATACATGGCATGTAAAAGGATGTTGTATTGAGACCTGGGTTCCCTTTCCAATTTATTTATTTATTTATTTATTTACTTACTTACTTACTTACTTACTGTCTTTGTATACTACCTTTCTCAGCCAATTGGCAACTCAAGGCAGTTAACAGGGTAAAATTCAGTGCTTACGAGAATGTCTTAAATACGATTAAAAACATAACATATAATGAAAACTAAACAAATCAATAAAATATAAATCCATAGTGTCTCCTTGTTAAAAATGTTTTCCTGACTCATTGTCTAGTCGTTCCATTTTCCTATGTCAGTTACTCTGCATTTGCAAACGCTTGTTCAAAAAGCCACGTCTTGACTTTTTTTCCGGAACGTTAAAAGGGAGGTGGCCGATCTAATATCTATAGGGAGGGCGTTCCACAGCCGAGGGGCCACCACCGAGAATGCCCTGACTCTCATCTCCGCCAAACGTACTTGTGACGAAGGTGGTAACGAGAGCAGGGCCTCCCCAGATGATCTTAAGGTCCTAGATGGTTCATAAGAGGAGATGCATTCATATACATGTACATATATGTAAAATATTTCTAGTCCCAAGATACTCAAACTGTATAACTATTAGGCTTGTGTGCAGATCCGTTTTAGCCATTTTACTTTGGCCAATCTGGCTTCTTTGGCTTGGTTGGTTAGGCATAACAGCAAGGGTCTAGCTGTTATGGTTTCCTGTCCATAACAGGATCACATGGTAGCCAATCATGGCTTCTCCTCCCATATTTTTTGGGTACGGACCAAAAAAGGGTATCCAGCTCCCTGGCCATTTTTGGAAGGCGTGTGAAAATGGATATGGGGTCTATTTATTTATTTATTTATTTACTATATTTGTATACCATCCCTCTCAGCTTGCAGGTGACTCGGGGCGGTTCACAGTTGGTACCAAGACCATAAAATACAATTAAAACATTAAAATATTGTCAAACCATAGCAAAGGCAATAACAAGCATATATCATTAGCGTTTCCTTGCTGAAAACATTGGTCAATCACATTGTTTAATCCAGTGGTTCTCAACCTTCCTAATGCCGTGACCCCTTAATACAGTTCCTCATGTTGTGGTGACCCCCAACCATATAATTATTTTTGTTGCTACTTCACAACTGTAATTTTGCTATTGTTATGAATTGCAATGTAAATACCTGATATGCAGGATATATTTTGATTCACTGGACCAAATTTGGCACAAATACCCAATATGCCCAAATTTGAATACTGGTGGGGTTGGGGGGCATTGATTTTGTCATTTGGGAGTTGTAGGTGCTGGGATTTATAGTTCACCTACAATCAAAGAGCATTCTGAACTCCATCAACTCCATCAACGATGGAATTAAACCAAAATTGGCACACAGAACTCCCATGACCAACAGGAAATACTGGAAGGGTTTGGTGGGCATTGACCTTGAGTTCTGGAGTTGTAGTTCACCTACATCCAGAGAGCACTGTGGACTCAAACCATGATGGATCTGGACCAAACCTGGCACAAATATTCAGTATGTCCAAATGTGAACACTTGTGGAGTTTGGGGAAAATAGACCTTGACATTTGAGAGTTGTAGTTGCTGGGATTTATAGTTCACCTACAATCAAAGAGCATTCTGAACCCCACCAATGATAGAATTGGGCCAAACTTCCCACATATAATCCTCATGACCAACAGAAAATACTGTGTTTTCTGATGGTCTTTGGTGACCCCTCTGACAGCCCCTCGTGACCCCCCCAGGGACCCCGACCCAAAGGTTGAGAAACACTGGTCTAATCGTTCCATTTTCCTATGTCAGTTACACTGTACTTGCAAACAAAGCCAAGTCTTGACTTTCCTCCAGAATGTTAGAAGGGAGGGGGGCGATCGGCTATCCCTAGGGAGGGTGTTCCATAGCCGAGGGGCCACCACTGAGAAGGCCCTGTTTCTTGTCCCCACCAGCCGTACTTGTGACGAGGACGAGATTGAGAGCAGGGCCTCCCCAGTTGATCTTAAAGTCCTGGAAGGTTCATAAGGGGAGATGCATTCGGACAGGTAGGTTGGGCCAGAACCGTTTAGGGCGGTGGTTCTCAACCTGTGGGTCCCCAGATGTTTTGGCCTTCAACTCCCAGAAATCCTAACAGCTGGTAAACTGGCTGGTATTTCTGGGAGTTGTAGGCAAAAACACCTGGGAACCCACAGGTTGAGAACCACTGGTTTAGGGCTTTATAGGCTAAATCCAGCACTTTGAATTGTGCCCAGTAGCAAATTGGCAACCAGTGGAAATGGCGCAACAGAGGAGTTGTATGCTCCCTGAGCGCCACTCCTATTAGCAAATGTTGGACCATTTGAAGCTTCTGGACAGCCTTCAAAGGTAACCCCACGTAGAGTGCGTTGCAGTAGTCTATACGGAATGTAACAGAGCGTGGATTGCCATGGTCTACCGGAATCCGACCAGCAGAAATGGATCGAGGTTCAGTCCAAATGCACAAGCCTAATAACCATGGAAGAATTTCCCTTTGGCACAAGAGATGCTGAACACGCATTGCATTTTTATAACTAAGACCCATTGAACCCATTGGAATGTAATTTTTTGTGCAGACATCAAAAGAGTCATGCCTTGAATTTCCTAATAACTTTACACTCATGAAGAAGTGAGATTCTTTTCTCTTCTGGGAGATCTTCCTGCCTAGTGAAAGGTTGAGTGTCTTACAATCTTCCTTCTCTCTTATATAACTACAACACAGCTGTTCAAACTCCTCCTTTGCAGTTGACTTCCCAAATAGGTTTGGCAGCACAACAGAGGTAAGTGCCTCTGGGTTCATTGGGGTTCAATCCCAGGTATATGGCACCGAATTGCAGCCTGAAGTGCCAATCCATTTCTATAGGCAGGAGCATGAACTCCTCCATGATCATGTCAAGCATTAAAAATGGGTGGAATACTTTCTATTCAGAGTGGATCTGAGGACTGGGCTGATTGCCCTTCAAAGTCCTTACCAGTCTTTATATTTCTAATTTTTCCAGAGAGCAAAGTTGGGTAAAAGTGATAATAATTATTATTATTACTGTCCGACATGTGAGCAAATACAAAAGCCAGCATAGTGACCTTGTTTGCTGTGTACTAATCCTGTTATGTATCAAACAACAACAACAACAACAACAAAGACTGTGGCACAAGCCAGTCAAGGTGGTCCCAGGGGTGATCGGCACACTGGGTGCAGTATCTGAAGACCTTGACAATTTGTGTGCCAACTGCGACCATACCTCAAGAAGCCTGAAAGGCTATGGTGGTCCATGTCTTAGTTAACTCCAGGTTGGATTACTGCAATGCACTCTATGTGGGGCTGCCTTTGAAGATGGCCCAGAAACTGCAATTGGCATTTTAAGCTACTTTATTGGCCTGCACTTAAATAGATTGTTGTATTGGATCACATATCGGACACTTCCCAAGTGTCTAGGACTGTGTGATGTATCGGCGAATAATGCGTGCAGATCCCAGTAAGGTGGCCTTTTGCAGCTGGCAGATGGTAATTTTGTAAGCGCCAATTGTGTTTAAGTGCAGGCCAAGGTCTTTAGGCACGGCACCTAGTGTGCCTATCAGCACTGGGACCACACTGACTGGCTTGTGCCAGATGATGATGATGATGATTTGAAACACAACAAGATGAGTCCACAGCAGACGAGATCACTCTGCTGGCTGTTGTATTGGATCACACATCGGACACTTCCCAAGTGTCTAGGACTGTGTGATGAATCGGCGAATAATGCATGCAGTTCCCAGTAGGGTGGCTTTTTGCAGTTAACAGATGGTAATTTTGTCGGCGCCAATTGTGTTTAAGTGTAGGCCAAGGTCTTTAGGCACTGCACCCAGTGTGCCGATCACCACTGGGACCACCTTTACTGGTTTGCAGTTCGATATTTAAATCTTCATATTGTGTCAGCTTTTTCCAGTTGTTTCTCTTCAATCCTGCTGTCACCTGGGATTGCAACATCGACGAGCCATACTTTGTTTTTAACACGATCGTGAGGTCAGGAGTATTGTGCTCCAAAACCCTGTTTGTCTGAATTCGGAAGTCCCAGAGTAGCTCGACGTGTTAATTCTCTGTAACTTTTTCCAGGCTTGTGATCCCACCAGTTCTTTGGCGCAGGCAGATGGTATTGTGGCACAAGGTCCAATGAATCATCTGAGCAATGGTGTTGTGCCTCTGCTTGTAGTCTGTCTGCGCGATCTTCTTGCAACAGCTGAGGATGGGATCTATTGTTTCATCTGCTTCTTTGCAGAGTCTACACTTGGGATCTGTCGTTGACTTTTCAATTCTGGCTTTGATGGCATTTGTTCTAATAGCTTGTTCTTGGGCTGCCAGAATCAGGACCTCCGTCTCCTTTTCCAAAGTCCCAAGATTTTTCTTTGTCTATTTTGCTCTCAATTTTTCCCAAGAACTGTCCATGGAGAGCCTTCTTTTCATAGAATCATAGAATCAAAGAGTTGGAAGAGACCTCATGGGCCATCCAGTCCAACCCCATTCTGCCAAGAAGCAGGAATATTGCATTCAAATCACCCCTGAAAGATGGCCATCCAGCCTCTGTTTAAAAGCTTCCAAAGAAGGAGCCTCCACCACACTCCGGGGCAGAGAGTTCCACTGCTGAATGGCTCTCACAGTCAGGAAGTTCTTCCTAATGTTCAGATGGAATCTCCTCTCTTGTAGTTTGAAGCCATTGTTCCGCGTCCTAGTCTCCAAGGAAGCAGAAAACAAGCTTGCTCCCTCCTCCCTGTGGCTTCATCTCACATATTTATACATGGCTATCATATCTCCTCTCAGTCTTCTCTTCTTCAGGCTAAACATGGTCAGCTCCTTAAGCCGCTCCTCATAGGGCTTGTTCTCCAGACCCTTGATCATTTGAGTCGCTCTCCTCTGGACACATTCCAGCTTGTCAATATCTCTCTTGAATTGTGGTGCCCAGAATTGGACACAATATTCCAGGTGTGGTCTAACCAAAGCGGAATAGAGGGGTAGCATTACTTCCCTAGATCTAGACACTATGCTCCTATTGATGCAGGCCAAAATCCCATTGGCTTTTTTTGCCGCCACATCACATTGTTGGCTCATGTTTTACTTGTTGTCCACAAGGACTCCAAGATCTTTTCACACTTACTGCTCTCGAGCCAGGCATTGTCCCCCATTCTGTATCTTTGCATTTTGTTTTTCCTGCCTAAGTGGAGTATCTTGCATTTGTCCCTGTTGAACTTCATTTTGTTAGTTTTTTCTTCTGCTCTGCATCATATTATTATTGCATTATAATAATTATATTATATTTATTATTATTATAATTATTACATCATCATCAACAACATTATTAGGTCTCCCAGCAATATCTGAAACTTATACACCAGGCTAATCCCTCGGCCATGCTTCTTTTTTTTTTTTTTTAAAAAAAAATCTCTCCCCTTACCTGGCTTCTTGTACGTGACATAAATGTAAAGAAATAACTCGATAGCGTAAGTGATGAGAGCGGCCCACCAGTTGATGACGAACATGACGGCACAGCACAGCACCGCTCCGAAAAGGGAGATCCACATATTGTAGTATCTGAAAGCAGGCCTCCAACCTACAGAAGTCAGAACAAGCGAACACATCAGAAATACAAAGGATAAAGAAATTAGAAATTGTACCAAAACATCCTATTGTCTAATACAGTGAGGCTGGATCTACACTGCCTTATATCCCAAGATCTGATTCCAGACTATCAGGAATCCCAGCAACTACAATTCCCAAATGACAAAATCAATCCCCTGCAACCTCACCAGTGCTCAAATTTGAGACTATTGGGTATTTGTGTCAAATTTGGTCCAGTGAATGAAAATACATCCTGCATATTGGATATTTACATTACGAATAATAACAGTAGCAAAATTACAGTTATGAAGTAGCAACGAAAACAATGTTATGGTTGGGGGTCACCACAATATGAGGAACTGTATTAAGGGGTCGTGGCATTGGGAAGGTTGAGAACCATTGCCCCAATAAGAGTGGAAGGCCAGATGCTACTCTATAGTCTGTTCATTACGAAATGTGTTTGGTCTTTTCATGTCTGGTGTCCTGAGCATCTTTCACTGAATTGGAATGGGCATTTAATTGGAGCAAACAAGCCGTAAAGGTGAAATGGGTATCCCACTTTTTATGAACGCAACCCTTATATAATCCTCACCTGTGTGCATATGCAGTAATTGTATCGAGGTCCCTATGGCTATTGATCTGATCTGCAATTGTTTAGCTCTGCAGATAATTAGGGGAAGCCAGTCTTTTCCAGCCTGACCTCTGATCAGGCAGCAGCAGGACAACAGAAAGCAACTGTGCTAATACCTATATTTATGCCTGCCACTGTGGCTTTGTCCATGTTGGAAATAAGAGGGCGGTTTCTCTGCATTCGAAATAAATATCTCCATGCGGGAGCCTAAAGAATGTTGCCTTGGCTATGACTTGATAAATAAAGCTGCAAAATTGAACACTGGCTCTAGTTGAGGAAGGAGTCGGAACTCTGAATACATGTTTCGGAGGATATTTTGGATTATAGTGTTGTGCTGGTATGGCTGTACCAGAAACTCCAACTTCTTTTCCTTTCTATTGAGTGTTTGAATGTATTTCAAAGTTCCATGCATTTTGCAATGAGGTAGCTTCCCTTGGTTTGAAATAATAGGGCCAATGACCCATCAATTATCATTATGTTCTTTAGTTCTGCCCCCTTTTCTGGGTTAAGGAGGGGAAAAGGGGACCTCTAGTTCAATTCACACAGAGAAGACTTTCGTACAGGACGAGAATCAGTTCCACCTGTAGAAAGCTTCGTCTTTTACAGCTTTGCTGGGGGGGATCCAGTCCCACAGCTCTACAGAGAACTACTGCGTAGGCTTTGTTGAGGAATTTAGTTCCACAACTCTACAGCCAGCCTTCGCTGGGAATTGAAAACCTTCTTTCCTCTTGGAAATCTACTAAAGGACTCTGTTTGGTAAGGACCACTCGCGGCAGCCATAACGCAATTTGGACTAGGTGTAGGGGCCCACGCCAGCAGAACTTAAGTTAGATTGCCCAAGGAGAGGTGAAGCATTTCCCTTGTAGAAGGAAGAAACAGTTTATGAAGAAAGTTGCCTGTCCCTTGTGGACAAAATTTAAGCAAGCCACCAGTTGATTCAAAGCCTTGTTCAATTTGTTTGATTTATTGAAAATTTAAGCAACAGTAAAAACTTTGTTGAACTTTCTTAGTCTTTAAAAGAACTTTGTGTGGGGAAATCCGAAAGGCCTCTCAGCCGAGGCACCCCGGAGTCCTGTTGGGCATTCAGAAAACACGTCCTGTCTACAGACTGTTTCACAGGCCCAACGCGTGACAGCACACTATGATTCTATGATCAGTGGCTACCTTTAACAAAATGACTTCTTAGGCCACATTAGGGCAGGGAACCAATGAAAGAAGAAAACACAATTGGTATTCAATGTTTCATGCAATGCCAAACTGTCAGGAGGCCAAAACATCATTTGAAAAATAAGCATTGTAATTAATTGGGCATTGTCTGCACACCTTTTGAGAAGAAAGGAAATGGATATAATTTATACACGAGGCAAATAATAAATAAAGCACCTTCCCCACAATGTCATCTCATCCATCCAAGTTACTTAGTTGTACTAAAGGTCCCTACAAATGATTTTAGTTCATTGCCTTCATTATGTGTGAACTTGAGGCACAAACATCATCGTTCTAAGAGTCCCAACACCACCTTCCCCTGACAGTCCCAATGCTTTGACAAACAGGTGAGCCCACACCTAATAGATGCGACTGGAAATAGAAAATGAAACACTAACCTGGAGATTTTGCATATGATGCATGGAAACACGAGAAATTGATCAGTGCGTATGAAGCCAAGAAGAAGTTGGAGATGATGGGAGCAATGGTGTTCAGTTCGGCTAAACGGAAGGAAGACAAAATAAAAGTTAATTGCATCCAGCAGATAATCTGGATTCAGATTCTAGATCATATGGCAGTCCAGTCGTGTCAGACTCTGGGGGTTGGTGCTCATCTCCATTTCTAAGCCAAAGAGCTGGCTTTGTCTGTAGACACCTCCAAGGTCATGTGGCCTGCATGACTGCATGGAGCACCGTTACCTTCCCGCCAGTTCATGTTTTTGAACTACTAGGTTGGCAGAAGCTGGACCTAACACCGGGAGCTCACCCCACTCCCCGGATTCGAACCTGCGACCTTTCGATCAGCAAGTTCAGCAGCTCAGCGGGTTAACCTATTGCACCACCGATGGCAGTGTAGACTCCTATAATCAAGTTCAAAACAGATAAGCTGGATTCCGATTATCTGGATCGTATGGCAGTGTAGACTCCCATAATCTAGTTCAAAACAGATAATCTGGATTCAGAAACTGGATCATACAGCAGTGTAGACTCCTATAATCCAGTTCATCCACCTTGAGTCCCTTTGGGGAGATAGAGCGGAATATAAATAAAGTTATTATTATTATTATTATTATTATTATTATTATTATTATTATTACTATTATTATTCAAAGAAGATAATCTGGATTCAGAAACTGGCTAATATGGCAGTGTAAACGCCTATAATCCAGTTCAAAGCAGATAATCTGGATTCAGAAATTGAATTATATGATAGTGTAGACTCCTATAATCAAATTCAAAGCAGATAATCTGGATTCAGAAACTGGAATATACGGCGGTGTAGACTCCTATAATCAAGTTCAAAGCAGATAATATGGATTGAGAAACTGGATCATGTGGCAGTGTAGACTCCTATAATCTAGTTCAAAGCACATAATCTGGATTCAGAAATTGGATCATATAATCCAGTTCAAAGCAGATAATCTGGATTCAGAAACTGGATCATATGGCAGTGTAGACTCCTATAATCTAGTTCAAAGCAGATAATCTGGATTCAGACACTGGATCATATGGCAGTGGAGACTCCTATAATCCAGTTCATCCACCTTGAGTCCCTTTGGGGAGATAGAACGGAATATAAATAAAGTTGTTGTTGTTATTATTATTATTATTATTATTATTATTATTATTATTCAAAACAGATAATCTGGATTCAGAAATTGAATTATATGGCAGTGTAGACTCCATAATCAAATTCAAAGCAGATAATCTGGATTCAGAAACTGGAAAATATGACAGCGTAGACTCCTATAATCCAGTTCAAAGCAGATAATCTAGATTCAGAAACTGGATTATATAGCAGTGTAGATCCATCCTAGGTCTTCAAAATTGCTGTTGCAAGAAATCCCAAAACTGTTTTGTTTAATATGCACTAGGTGCAGTGAAACTCTATTTTCTTAAATATTGGCTGAGGAAATGACTTCCCTGTGTTAGGTTCAAGGCATGTATATATTACCAAAAGACTCGTTTTTATCACACCTTCAATCAGGGAAATGTGGCAATTCTGATATTACAAGGGACCACAATCTGCAGCTATTGGTTCAATTTCAAAAGCCCTCGGCAACCTATCTGTCGAAATCTAAGGTAAGAGCGATCTGTTCCTCTCCAAGAGAGGAGAAGGTGTCATAAATAAATCATCGACGTGATTGCACTTTCAATCTGGGCTGAAATGCTTTGGTACATGCAATGCCCTTCTTGAATTCAAAAGGATTGTTAAGGACTTTGCGAAGCCTCCTTAGACAGGAAAAGGGCATCGCATGCACCAAACCCGAAAAAAAGACACCTCCTGTGTATAGAAACAAAGCATTGTTTTATTCAAAACAGGAAACCAGGTACAAAGTGAAGCATCAGAAGCAGAAATCAGCTATGATCAAATGCAGAAGATGCTGCTGAAATCTCCCAGCGATCTGTCCTCCGAGCCTATTGTGGGGGGAGAAAGAATTCACTGCGCTAATGGTTTGGAACAACAGGCATTTGATTTATGAAGGCATCTTACAAAAAAGGTAGAAAGAAAAGTGAAAAGAGGAAGCAAACAAAAGTCTAGACTTGGTGATGCCACATTGAAAAACATTCGGCAGAGTGCCTGGAAGGGCAATTGCTTGATTGTTGAAGGTAATAATAATAATAATAATAATAATAATAATAATAATAATAATAATCCTTTATTTATACCCCACTACCATCTCCCGAGGGAAGGGAGTTTCAGAAAAACATCTATTTCTGCTTCATTGACTATTCTAAAGCCTTTGACTGTGTGGATCATAATAAATTGTGGCAAGTTCTTGGTGGGATGGGCATCCCAAGCCACCTTGTCTCTCTCCTGAGGAATCTGTACAAGGACCAAGTAGCAACAGTCAGAACTGACCACGGAACAACAGACTGGTTCAAGATTGGGAAAGGCGTACGGCAAGGCTGCATCCTCTCACCCAACCTTTTTAACTTGTATGCAGAACACATCATGCGATGTGCGGGGCTTGAGGAATGCAAAGCTGGGGTGAAAATTGCTGGAAGAAACATTAACAACCTCAGATATGCAGATGACACCACTCTAATGGCCGAAAGCGAGGAGGAGCTGAGGAGCCTTCTAATCAAGGTGAAAGAAGAAAGCGCAAAAGCCGGGTTGCAGCTAAACATCAAAAAAACCAAGATTATGGCAACAAGAATGATTGACAACTGAAAAATAGAGGGAGAAAATGTGGAGGCCGTGACAGACTTTGTATTTCTAGGCGCAAAAATGACTGCAGATGCAGACGGAGGCCAGGAAATCAGAAGACGCTTCCTTCTTGGGAGGAGAGCAATGTCCAGTCTCGATAAAATAGTAAAGAGTAGAGACATCACACTAGCAACAAAGATCCGCATAGTCAAAGCCATGGTATTCCCTGTAGTAACCTACGGATGTGAGAGCTGGACCTTAGGGAAGGCTGAGCGAAGGAAGATAGATGCTTTTGAGCTGTGGTGCTGGAGGAAAGTTCTGAGAGTGCCTTGGACTGCGAGAAGATCCAACCAGTCCATCCTCCAGGAAATAAAGCCCATCTGCTCACTGGAGGGAAGGATACTAGAGACAAAGTTGAAGTACTTTGGCCACATCATGAGAAGAGAAGCTAGAGAAGACAATGATGCTGGGGAAAATGGAAGGAAAGGAAGAGGGGCCGACCAAGGGCAAGATGGATGGATGGTATCCTTGAAGTGACTAGACTGACTTTGAAGGAACTGGGGGTGGTGACGGCCGACAGGGAGCTCTGGCGTGGGCTGGTCCATGAGGTCACGAAGAGTCGGAGACGACTGAACGAAAAAAAACAACACCATCTCCCGAAGGACTCAGTGAGGCTTACAAGAGGCTGAGCCCAAATACATCAGTGAAACACAACAACAGTACAATAATAAAAACTCATAAACAAAGCAAAAAACATAAACAATAACACCGCAGCGCATTAAAACCTGTGGCAGGGCCAAATGTAGTACTTAAAATCTTTAAAAATGTTTGGCATGATCAGGTGAAATAGGATAGATATTTTAGGGATAGGTGGGGCGTGCAGGCAATTCTAGATCTCTAGTAAAGTGCATTTGGGACATATTGCTTGGAGTTTCCTTATTCTGGGAAGGCACACTGGAACAACCATTTTTTCAAGCTCCTTGTAAAGACTGCCAGCGTTGGGGCATGCCTGATGTCCTTGGAGAGTGAGTTCCAGAGTCGAGGGGCCACCACCGAGAAGGCCCTTTCCCTCGTCCACACCAATCGCGCTTGCGATGGAGGTGGGATCGCGAGCAGGGCCTCTCCAGATGATCAAAGAGATTGTGTGGGTTCATATACAGAGATGCAGTCACGCAGGTAGGCGGGTCCCAAACCATTCAGGGCTTTGTAGGTAAGCACCTGCACCTTGAATTGGGACCGGAAAATGAACGGCAGCCAATGGAGCTGCCAGGAGGGTTGATCTCTCCCTGTAAGGAGCCCCAGTTAACAACCTGGCCGCCGCCCGCTGGACCATTTGAAATTTCCGGGCTGTTTTCAAGGGCAGCCCCACGTAGAGTGCATTACAGTAGTTCAATCTGGAGGTGACTAAGGCATGGACCACCCTGGCCAGGTACTCAGCAATACACATGTAAATTTAAAGACTGAGTGATTTTGTCATAAAATAAAAATAAAACCTTGAAAAGAACAAAAACTTTCCCCATCTTCCATTCAACTAACAGCTTAAGCGTTCCTTCTATTCCTACAGTGGCATTTTGGCATTATCTATAGGCCCACACAGCCCTATATCCAAGAATATCAAGGCAGAAAATCCCACAATATCTGCTTTGAACTGGGTTACCTGAGTCCACACACAGATAATGCGGCATTTTCTGCCTCTATATTCTGAAATACAGGGCTGTCTGGAAGAGCCCAATGCTGGAATTAGATATGATGTGATCTTATATAAATAAAAATGTCATGATAGTTTGTGGGATTAACAGAACTCAAAACCCACTGGACAAATTGACACCAAATTTGGACACAAGACACCTAACAACCCAATGTATGTCCTTCACTAAAAAAAATTGATTTTGTCATTTGGGAGTTGTAGTTCCTGGGATTTATAGTTCACCTACAATCAAAGAGCATTCTGAACCCCACCAATGATGGAACTGAACCAAACTTGGCACACAGAACTCCCACAACCAACAGAAAATTCTGGAAGGGTTTGGTGGGCATTGACCTTGAGCTTGGGAGTTAAAGGAAACTTGTATTTTAAGGACAAGGGTTTAGTTGGTATGGACCAGAGGAAAGGAAGCCTAAGGCTCAATCATGAGTTGCTGTATGTTGCAACTCATGAGATCATGCAGGAAACCTTGCCTGGATCTCAGCCCGATTCATTAGAAGATATCTGTTGTTCTATTTATGTTCCCTTCTCTCTGGGATGCCTTGTTGATGAAACAATGCCATGAGAACCCCATGTGACTCAGATCCACGGTGCTCACTCTGACACCTGACTCACCAAGTGTCCATTGGTACTAATCCCTCACAGTGACAAGTCTCATCAGTTCATATAGATGTGTGATTGTGGGTTGTACTTGGTCCAAGGGGACCTCTGCACATATCTCGATGGGCCAGAGTTAATATGGGCAAGTGCTGCCATCATCACAAGTCAACAGAGCAATGCGCCATCCTGAGCTCCATCGCCTCTTCCCACTTTTATGCTCAAATAGACCAACATGACTTTCCCTTCGAAAATGCTCACTAAGATCAGCAAGTACTGGATCATTTTTCAGACAGCAGTTAGGCTTTAGAAGATTAAGCTCAAGTACCTCTGACTTTGATTAATGCTCCAAGAAGAAGGACCATTAATAATCCATTCAAAGACCAAAAAAAACCCCAAGCACAGAAACCAGTAAGGATGCAAACAGGAGTAATAGCAGAAACATATCGATGGTTCAGTTTCTATTCTTTCACAGATTACAGTGCAAATGTTTAGATTAGTCTACATTTTAGATCAGGGTTCCTCAAACTTTTTAAACAGAGGGCCGGGTCGCAGTCCCTCAAACTGTTGGAGGGCCGGATTATAATTTGAAAAAAAACAAAACATGAATGAATTCCTGTGCACACTGCACATATCTTATTTGCAGTGCAAAAAACACTTTAGAAAACAATAATTAAAAAATGAAGAACAATTTTAACAAATACAAACTTATTAGTATTTCAATGGGAAGTGTGGGCCTGCTTGGTTGATGAGATAGGATTGTTGTTGTTGTTGTGTGCTTTCAAGTCGTTTCAGACTTAGGTTGACTAAGACTAAGGGCCAGGTAAATGGGTAAGGGCCAGGTAAATGACCTTGGAGGGCCGTATCTGGCCCTTGGGCCGTAGTTTGAGGATCCCTGTTTTAGATGGTAGTCTCCCAGTGAATCAGGTTGAGATCCAGACAATTTTAGATGGTATTCTACAATGATATCATACATTTATATTTATTTTTCTTAAATTATGTATGGATTTTTTTTTTGGAAAATGTGAATCTCCATAACCATTTGGGAAATGGGATTCATAATCTTTTTGAAAAAAAAATTGGTCAAGGAAAGGTATTACCTTATTAGAAGTCGCAACCTTTTAAAAAGTGGTGTTTACCAACATTCATGCAAAGCAATTAGGTCTCTCGGTTGCTAGGCATGTCTTTGAACTGCCAAGGACAAAGACATGCCAATGCATAAAACGCATTTATATTCAGTAGAGTTTCAGAAGTGTTCCTTCAGTTGCCCCCACACCACCAATACTCCCCCTTAAATATATTTGCCTTCAAATCATGCTGTCAAGAGACAAAATAAAAGTAAGGTATTTTTAATTACAAAAATGTGAGTCAAGAACTGAAAGGGTTAAGTGGATGCAATGACTCAGAAAAAGCTGTAGTTCAATATAAACAGGTATGCCTGTAGCTTAGTACCCCTCAGTACATGAGTGGTCTCTGTTTGAGAAGGGCCTCAGTCTGTTAGTCGGCCACAGTATGAGAAGGCCTCAGAGATAGTTCACCTCAGTGTGAGAGAGGTGTCAGTCTGAGAGAGCCCTCAGTGTGAGAAGGCCTCAGTGGAAGAAAGGCCTCTGTATTAGTTCACCTCAGTGTGTGAGATGTGTCAGTCTGAGGTAGCCCTCTGTGTGAGAGTAGGCCTCAGTCTGAGAAGGCCTCTGGGAGAAAGGTCTGACCTCACAACCTCTGAGGATGATTGCCATAGATGCAGGCGAAACGCCAGGAGAGAATACTTCTAGAACATGGCATACAGCCAGAAAAACCTACAACAACACATAAAGAATAGGTTTGGGTCGAGAGATCATAAAGGATTATTTTTAAAAGCAAAGTATTGGGGATAAATGATGTTTGCGATATACACACCGATCAAAATGAAGGCCATGGCAATGACGAAAGTAAGGACATATCCTCTTATTGGCTCATTGTTTTTCCCATATCCTTTGGCAAAAAAGTGGAGAGCTCGGTAGATGTTATCCTTGCACAGAGCCTGTTGAAAGAATGGAACACATGATTGTAAATGAGACTGAGCAAAGGAAAGGACTGCAGTGTAATGATGGTATGTCACTTCTATGTTTATGCACTGTGCAGTCATCTGCACTGCAGTTTGCTTTTGCCTGAGTCTACTGGGAAAGGCAATAATCTGCCTGTTCCTTGCCCCTTTGCTGTTTTTATGACCAACTTTGTGAAACTTTATGACCATGGGATTGTGGTGCAGCACGCTGGGAGTCAGCTGCATTAGATCACTACTGACCGAAACGTCATGAGTTCGAAGCCAGCTTGGGTCAGAGTGAGCTTCCAACCATTGTGTAGCTCGCTGTCGATCTTTGCAGCCCAAAAAAACAGTTGCATCTGTCAAGTAGGAAATGTAGGTACCACTTATGCGGGGAGGCTAATTTAACTAATTTACGATGCCATAAAAATCTCCAGCAAGCATGCAAAGAATGAGAAAGTACTCCATCAGTGTCACAAATGGATGGTGAAGCAACAGCTCTCCTGGTGGCCAGAATACCCTCTTCAACAAGCTGGAATGTTAAATAGCCTCTGTGTGGCTGTCTATATATGTTGTGTGTCTATGGCATTGAATGTCTGCCATGTATATGTACATTGTAATCCACCCTGAGTCCCCTGTGGGGTGAGAAGGGTGGAATATAGAATCATAGAGTTGGAAGAGACCTCATGGGCCATCCAGTCCAACCCTCTGCCAAGAAGCAGGAATATTGCATTCAAAGCATCCCTGACAGATGGCCATCCAGCCTCTGTTTAAAAGCCTCCAAAGAAGGAGCCTCCACCACATTCTGGGGCAGAGAGTTCCACGGCTGAACAGTTCTCACAGTCAGGAAGTTCTTCCTAATATTCAGGTGGAATCTCCTTTCCTGTCGTTTGAAGCCATTGTTCCATTGTGTCCTAGTCTCCAGGGCAGCAGAAAACAAGCTTGCTCCCTCCTCCCCATGACTTCCTCTCACGTATTTATACATGGCTATCATGTCTCCTCTCAGCCTTCTCTTCTTCAGGCTAAACATGCGTAGCTCTTTAAGCCTCTCCTCATAGGGCTTGTTCTCCAGACCCTTAATAATTTGAGTCACCCTCCTCTGGACACATTCCAGCTTGTCAGGTAGATAGAAATGTAGAAGATATATGCCATTGGTTGTACCTGGAAAACCTTGGGTGCACTGACAAGCGAAGCAAGTGCGGATGAAAGCGTAGCCGAAAATATTCCAGCCGTAATTAAGGGACCAAATCCGGAAACCATACTCATAACCTTTGGGAGAACAAAAAAAAAAGAGAAACTTGTGTCAGCAGGGTACAAAAAGAACTGCAAACCCTCTTGTCTCTGCTACAACCATTTCTCATTTCTTTCCTATTTTCTTTTAAGTCACCCATTAGAAACTTCACAATGAGCCTGTATATAGCAGAGAAAATTACTTTCATTGCCAAGAAAACAATTTCCTCGGTAATGGGGAAGACTGTTCTGTAATTGAGTCCTATCTGGTTGCCGGCGGCATTTTCTTAATTTCTCCTGCAAATAGTTCCACCCAACGCAAGATCATATTAAAAAGATGATGTCACAACCAGTAAATTAACTATATATTTAAATGGGAGACATCTTTATAGCCTTGAAAGAGAAGTTTTGGGTGTGCGTTAATCTCAGATCCAGACTCTGGATATATCAAGGCATGGCTTCCATGGAACAGTTATGGAATATATCAGGAACCTATATGAGGAACTTTAAGCAGACTAAGGCATAGACCAGTTCAGAGTGTGATTTGTTGCCTCTATAAACAAATGATCTATAATAGGGAAAGGTAAAGGTTTTCCCCTGACATTAAGTCCAGTCGTGTCTGACTCTAGGGTATGGTGCTCATCTCCATTTCTAAGCCGAAGAGCCGAAGGTGTCTGTAGACACCTTCTAGGTCATGTGGCTAGCATGACTGCATGGAGCACTGATACCTTCCAGCCGGAGCAGTACCTATTGATCTACTCACATTTGCATGTTTTCGAACTGCTAGGTTGGCAGAAGCTGGGGCTGATAGCGGAAGCTCATGCCGCTCCCCGGATTCGAACCTGCAACCTTTCGGTCAACAAGCTCAGCAACTCAGTGGTTTAACCCACTGCGCCACTGTCCCCTTTCAAAATTTCATGATTATTTCATTATTGGTGATTTTTGTGACAGAACCTATTAGGAACTGCCATTTAGAATGAAATTTTGAAAGTTATGTTAGAGTTCTGATAGTTTCACCACCAGAACTTTAGCAACACTGTAGAAGCAAAGCACCTGTGCCCCCTAGTTTTCACAGCCAGAACTTTAGTTTTGTAAGTACTTTAGAACCATTTAGAACCATGGATTGCACATGCCTAATAAATACCATAAATAAATAAGAAATAAATATTGTACTATGCTAATAATATAATACATTGTATGTATATATATATCTTGTAAGCCGCTCTGAGTCCCCTTCAGGGTGAGAAGGGCGATATATAAATGTCGTAAATAAATAAACACAATGCTGTGTACAACCCATATTATCTGCATTGAACTGGATTATACGGCAGTGTAGACTCATATAATCCAGTTCAAAGACGATAATCTGGATTCATAAAATAGATTATATGGCAGGGTAGATCCAGCCTATTTTGCATTCAGGCTAGATCTGCACTACCATATAATCCAGATAATCAAATGAGATACTCCACATTATCTTCTTTGAATGGGATTGTATGAGCATACACTGCCATATAATCCAGATAATTTTATTTGATAATCTGGATTATGGAGCCCCTGGTGGCACAGTGGGTTAAAGCGCTGAGCTGCTGAACTTGTTGACCAAAAGGTCGTAGGTTTGAATCTGGGGAGAGGTAGGAGCTCCCACTGTTAGCCCCAGCTTCTGCCAACCTAGCAGTTTGAAAACATACAAATATGAATAGATTAATAGGTACTGCAAGAAGGTAATGGAACTCCATGCAGTCATGCCGGCCACATGATCTTGGAGGTGTCTATGGACATCACTGGCTCTTCGGCTTAGAAATGGAGATGAGCACTGTAGTGAATCTTACCTAGTCGGTCGGAAAAGAAGCCTGGATAACAGTATGGCAAACCTCCATTTTGGGAGTGTAACCCAGGGAAGCAGCCATCTTGAGTGAGGATAGCTGGAAGATGGGAGGGGTTTGAGGTCTCCTGGGATTGGCTAGAGCAGATGGGAGGAGCCAAGTCTTAGGAAAGAAAGGATTTCAGCTTCTGTGTGAGTTGAGAACTGGGAGCTGGTGGAAGAAGAAGTGTTTTTGAAACTGGGTTTTCAGGGAGAGAGTATCTGTGCCAGTCAGGGGTGATTCGCTGACAGGAGAAAGGCCAGACAGCAACCTGATTTCTTGTGGGAGATAGCACAAGAGATTAGCTCTCTAGGCTGAGTTAGTTAGCAGGAAGAACTCTGGGAAGAGTTAGCTGATATCTCAGGGGACTACCTAGGATAGGTTAGTCAGAAACTCATTATTATTTCTCTGAAGTAGAGTGAGGGATTTTTGTTACTAGCAGCTAGATCTGTTGGATTAGCTCTGACTGTAACTAAGTGAAGAAACTTATTCTAGCAACCATCAAGCTGTAGTACTTTTGCAACAAGTCAAGCGTTTTGTGCCTCTCAGGAGAAGTTAGTTGTCTGTTTTTATACATAAATCTTTTTCTATTTAACTTTCAAAAAGGTCTCTATTGTTCCTCAATCTACCATTAATCCTGTGTGATAATTCCAACATCTTTAACATCCTAATACTACAGAAAGGTCTCTTATCCAAACAGTCATTCTGGGAGCGAGGGGAAGAGCAGTGTATTGTTGAAGGCTTTCATGGCTGGAATCACTAGGTTCTTGTGGGTTTTTTTGGGCTATAGGGCCATGTTCTAGAGGCATTTCTCCTGACGTTTCGCCTGCATCTATGGCAAGCATCCTCAGAGGTAGTGAGGTCTGTTGGAATTAGGACAATTGGTTTATATATCTGTGGAATGGCTGGGGTGGGGCAAAGAGCTCTTCTCTGCTGGAGCTAGGTGTGAATGTTTCAACTGACCACCTTCATTAGCATTTGAAGGCCTGGCTGAGCATGGGAAAATGTTTTGTTGAGAGGTGTTCAGATGTGCCTGGTTGTTTCCTCTCTGCTGTTTTGCTGTTGGAATTTTAGAGAAGCCATTGAAATCCACAAGCATGTGGACAATTTCAACAGAAAGGAAGAGACCATGAAAATGAACAAAATCTGGCTACCAGTATTAAAAAAACCTCTAAAATTACAACAGCAAAACAGCTCTTTGCCCCACCCCAGCCGTTCCACAGATATATAAACCCATTGTCCTAATTCCAACAGACCTCACTACCTCTGAGGATGCTTGCCATAGATGCAAGCGAAACGTCAGGAGAAATGCCTCTAGAACATGGCCATATAGCCCAAAAAACATGGCCCTATAGCCCAAAAACATGGCCCTATAGCCCAAAAACATGGCCCTATAGCCCCAAAAAACCCACAAGAACCTAGGGAAGAGCAGTGTTGGTAAAAGTGGGAAAAGTTCACCTCAAAAACTCATTTTAAAAATCCTAAGGTAACTTGGGTTGGTGGCAGCTTTAAACCAAAAGAAGACTAAAAGACAAACAGTGTTCATTCTACCATTACACATATCTATTTACATCTCGCTACCAAATTGGAGGCACAGGGGTAGGATTTTTGAGGAAAAAGTAAATCTTTGGGGGAAGATTAATCCTGCCCAGACATATTATCAATAAGCCTCCAGCCTCGCGTCACTGGTTGTGATATTTTCTTTCTTACTGGTGTCCAGGGGTGTGATATCACATACATACATTATATGTCCAGCGGCGTGATACTTGGTGATATATTATATAGGGATCTGTTATAAGCACCAACCCCCAGAATCGGACACGACTGGACTTAATGTCAGAGGAAAACCTTTACCTTTACCCTAATAATAAATAAATAAATAAATAAATAAATAATTGTATTTTATAATCTGGATTATATGGCAGCGTAGACTCAACCTGAGAGGGGGAGGAAGAAACTCTGACATGTTAAAAGCAAGCCAAAAAGTCAGAGAAAAGGGATAAATTGGGGTCGTCCCTGGAAAATTGGGATAATTGGGAAGTATGCAAGCATTGATCCTGGGATCACCTGGTATCACATCTATGCTTTGTCATAAAGCTATGATATCTGTGTGTGTGTGTGTGTGTGTGTGTGTGTGTGCCTTCAGGTCACTTGTCAGCTTTCATAAGGTTTTCTTAGGCAAGTAATTTTCTGAGTTGGTTTGCCAGATCCTTCCTCTGAAATATAGCCGGCAGCAAGTGCTATTCATTGGTGGCCTCCTACCAAAGTCCCCTGCTTCGTCTCCAAGATCAGACAAGATCTGGTGCCTTGAGGGTACGATTCAGGCCCTAAAGCTATGGTACGCCTCCAGAAAATATCATTCTGTTTCCTGGCTGTGAAGAGATATGCAAATTCACGATTGCATTAATTCACAGCAAAGGCTCAGAGGATTGCTTTCCATGCATCCTTGTTATGCTGTTAGTGCCGATACTGAAAAACCAGCCGATGCACATTGCCGCACGCTTGTGCGTTGCATCCGTTTGTGTTCCTATACGTCGTGTGTAGCTTGCTCAGTTGTACAACACACATATGATTATACAAATTGCATAATTAGAGCTCTTTAGAACCTGGAAATTATTCATCAGCCCATAATCACATGTCTGGGTTTTACAGCTGGAGAAATCATAGCCCAGGGCACAAGCAGATGATCCATTGCAATTCATCCCGAATACAACCGTATCATTGACATTCCCAGTGGCGTCGCGCACGACACAAGCAGCTGTGGAAACAACGGCACATTATTATTCCTCTTCCTTGTGACAGCAGGAGGATACTCTCACCACGCCAAGTACATCTTGGCTTGCTTGCATTATATATGTATTTCCACCTCAATCATTTTGGGATAATGAAGGTCTTTTGTTACTTAACTTATGTTCTTTACAGATAATGCCACCATTCATTAAAGTGATGTTATTCGTACTTGACATCACAACAAAATGGGAACAAAATAATAATAATAATAATAATAATAATAATAATGGTAAAGTATGAAATTATAATTATATATTTTATATTACATGTAATATTACTAATAATCTATATAAGTAAAAATGTAATGTTAGTTTGTGGGATTAACATAACTCAAAAACCACTGGACGAGTTGACATCAAGTTTGGACACAATACACCTCTCAGGCCAACAAGTGACCATCACTCATAAAAACACACAAAAAAACTAGCAGAATGGACTTTAACCCCCCCCCCCCCAAATAAACTATATATACATATGCACAGGCACACATTTATTTATTTGCGGTATTTATATTCCGCCCTTCTTACCCCACAGGGAACTCAGGGCGGATTACAATGTACATATACATGGCAAACATTCAATGCCATAGACACGCAACATATATAGACAAGACACACAGAGGCTATTTAGCTTTCCAGCCTTCATGAAGGTATTCTGGCCACCAAGGGAGCTGTCGCTTCACAGTCCATTTGAGACACTGATGGAGTACTTCCTCATTCCTTTGCATGCTGCTGGAGATTTTTATGGCATCAGAAACTAAATTAGCTCCCCCGCATAAGTGGTACCTAAATTTCCTACTTGACAGATGCAACTGTCTTTTGGGCTGCAAAGGTCAACAGCAAGCTACATACAATGGTTGGAAGATCACACACACACACACATATATATACACAAGCACACACAAATATACCCAAACATATACACATGCACACATATACATATAGACTTATGTATGTGTGCATGTGTATATATATATATGAGTGTATATGTATATGTATATATAGTTTATTTTGGGGGATTTTAAGTCTGTTCTGCTGGGTTTTTTGTGTGTGTTTTAGGGTTCCCACAAACAAACATTACATTTTTATTTATATAGATATACACATGCACACATAAATGCATATACATATAGACATACATACACATATAACCACAAGTGAACACATACACACAATAAACATATATACATATAAACACAGAAATACACAAATATATACACACGTATACACACATATGCACACACATATACACCCATCTATCTATATCTATATCTATATCATATCTATATGCAAACACACATATATACACATATACACAAATATTTACACACACATAAACATATATATACACACACAAAACATACACAGACTGGGCCACAGCAACGTGTGGCAGGGGACAGCTAGTCTATATAAATAAAAATGTAATGTTCATTTGTGGGATTAACATAACTCCAAAACCACTGAACGAATTGACACCAAATTTGGATACAATACACGTATTAGGCCAATAAGTGACCACCACTCATAAAAACACTGGGAAAAAAACAGCAGAAGAGAATTAAAAAGCCAATAAACAAAAAATGCATTACAACGCATGCGCAGAACCACATATATACACATATACACAAACATATACACACATATACACATATATACACACACAAAACACATATACACAGACTGGGTCACAGCAACGCGTGGCAGGGGACAGCTAGTCTCTAATAATGATGACAGCAGACCAAAACATATCATACCTACTCACCTGCACAGATGGCTACTGCCAGATAAGCAATTGTTGTGAGTAGAATGGCCAACATTGTTCCTTTGGGGATGGCATCTTGTGGATCCTTGAATATTACAGAGAAAAAGGCCAGGTAATTTTTACATGCATACAGGATCATTCCTCTGCATTATTGATTCCCAAACTCTGGTCCACCAAGTGTTTTGGATTTCAATTTCAAGTGTTTTGGATTTCAATTCCTGGGATCTAGGGTAGTGTGGAAGGGCCCTGAGGGCAGTTCCAGACAGCCCTTTAACGCAGGAACAATTATGTTTGTTAAATGTGATTTCTCCTGGGTTACAGTCCACCCCGCAGAAAGTTTGTGCTATCCTGGGGGGGGGGGGGGGGGGTGTCCAGATGCCCTCCCAGAACCTTCTGGGATGACAGGGAGACAACCCCCACCCTCTACCAAAACCCCTTTAAAAGCCTTTAAACAATGAAATAACTTACCTGGCCACCATTAGACCGCTGCCGAAGCTTGCATGGCACATAGGAGTGACGTGCCAGGAGAAGGGGAGGAGGAAAATAGCTCTTGCCCCCTTCTTCTCCTGGTGCGTCATTTCTACGCACCTGGAGAGCTCTAGCAGAAGGCCAAGAAACCCAAGACAGATGTATAGATGGGCACAGAAGTTGCACAGCGTGATTCCCGGTCCCAGCTACACAGTGCTTGCAACTGCAAAGACACGAGTCTTCTGAAAGACATGGGTCGTTCTTGCAGACAAATTATTTTGGCACAAAGCAGGGGAAAAAGAAAATGCAGGAGGGTGCGCACTATAGGTGCTGTCTGGATGTACCCTTAGGGCACTTCCACATAGCCCTATATCCCAGAATATCAAGTCAGAAAATCCCACATTATCTGTTTTGAACTGGGCTATCTGAGTCCACACTCAGATAATGTGGGATTTTCCGCCTCAATATTCTGGGATATAGGGCTGTGTGAAAAGGCCCTTAGTCTCCACTGCCAGATAATCTGGGATAAGCAGATAATCTGGGATCAAATTCTGAGATAAAGGGTAGTGTAGAAGGGGCGAAAGAGAGGTGGGTAAGCTGCTGTTGATGAGGATAACAACAACAACAACAACAACAACAACAACAACAAACCTGGTACAGAAACTAGTTTGAAAGAATGTGAACAATTCCTTCTTTTCGAGCACACTGTCCTCATTTTTTTACAATATATTTATAATTGTGTAAGTATTCTGTCTCTTTGTGTAACACTTTTTTAAAATATATATGAGGTTAATTAAGTACACCCAGAATTCATGGAAATGGTAAAACCCAAGAGCATCATTAAAAACAAACAAACCAATAATTCACTCATAGCTGGATATACACAAAGGACTCACTCTTAATGTTGTGTGCCTTGAAGTCATTCCTGATTTATGGAGATCCTAAGGCAAATCTATCACAGGGTTTTCTTGGGGATTGCCTTTGCCTTCCTCTAAAGCTGAGAGGTTATGATTTGCCTAAAGTCACGCAATGGGATTCTGTGGCTGAGCAGGGGCTTGAGCTCTGGTTTCTCAAAGTCCTATCCCAACACAATGAATGGGAACCTGATGAACCAACAGTTATGTAAATGACATGATGCTATATGTGACTAGTAGACTTGCTTGATTAAAAAAATTTGTTCAAAACTCGTTTTGGATGTTGGGGGAGCTAGTGGTTCGATTCTAAAGTCAATTCCAATTTTCTCAGAAAAAATGTTCAAAACTTTTCGAAACTTCTGATACTTCCGATACCTTTTGTTAATGGTTTGAAAGTGCTATTTCCTGTTTCATGGGGTGGTCTTTACTTTAAAAGTTGTTGTTTTACTCCAGGAGTGGGGAAAAGCAAGCAGAGGAAATTCCTTCCTTCTCCAGTTTAAAACTAGCTTCTCTGGCTTGAGACAGAAGCAGGGAAAGCAAAGGGAACAAATTCAGCCTTCCCTGGTTTAAAATGGCGTCTCTGGCTTGAGTCAGAAGCAGGGAAAGCAAAGGGAGTAAATTCAGCCTTTCCCAGTTTAAAACTGGCTTCTCTGGCTTGAGGCAGAAGCGGGGAAAGCAAAGGAAACAAATTCATCCTTCCCTGCTTTAAAACTGGCTTCTCTGGCTTGAGGCAGAAGCAGGGAAAGCAAAGGAAACAAATTCATCCTTCCCTGCTTTAAAACTGGCTTCTCTGGCTTGAGGCAGAAGCAGGGAAAGCAAAGGGAGCAAATTCAGCCTTCCCCGGTTTATAACTGGCTTCTCTGGCTTGAGGCAGAAGCGGGGAAAGCAAAGGGGGCAAATTCAGCCTTCCCCAGTTGAAAACTGGCTTCTCTGGCTTGAGGCAGAAGCGGGGAAAGCAAAGGGAACAAATTCATCCTTCCCTGGTTTAAAACTGGCTTCTCTGGCTTGAAGCAAAAGCGGGGAAAGCAAAGGGGGCAAATTCAGCTTTCCCCGGTTGAAAACTGGCTTCTCTGGCTTGAGGCAGAAGCGGGGAAAGCAAAGGGAGGAAATTCAGCCTTCCCTGGTTTAAAACTGGCTTCTCTGGCTTGAGGCAGAAGCGGGGAAAGCAAAGGGAGGAAATTCAGCCTTCCCCAGTTTAAAACTGGCTTCTCTGGCTTGAGGCAGAAGCGGGGAAAGCAAAGGGGGCAAATTCAGCCTTCCCTGGTTGAAAACTGGCTTCTCTGGCTTGAGGCAAAAGCAGGGAAAGCAAAGGGGGCAAATTCAGTTTTCCCTGGTTTAAAACTGGCTTCTCTGGCTTGAGGCAGAAGCGGGGAAAGCAAAGGGAACAAATTCATCCTTCCCTGGTTTAAAACTGGCTTCTCTGGCTTGAGGCAGAAGCGGGGAAAGCAAAGGGGGCAAATTCATCCTTCCCTGGTTTAAAACTGGCTTCTCTGGCTTGAGGCAGAAGCGGGGAAAGCAAAGGGGGCAAATTCATCCTTCCCTGGTTTAAAACTGGCTTCTCTGGCTTGAGGCAGAAGCGGGGAAAGCAAAGGGGGCAAATTCATCTTTCCCTGGTTTAAAACTGGCTTCTCTGGCTTGAGGCAGAAGCGGGGAAAGCAAAGGGGGCAAATTCATCCTTCCCTGGTTTAAAACTGGCTTCTCTGGCTTGAGGCAGAAGCGGGGAAAGCAAAGGGGGCAAATTCAGCCTTCCCCGGTTGAAAACTGGCTTCTCTGGCTTGAGGCAGAAGCAGGGAAAGCAAAGGGGGCAAATTCAGCCTTCCCTGGTTGAAAACTGGCTTCTCTGGCTTGAGGCAAAAGCAGGGAAAGCAAAGGGGGCAAATTCATCTTTCCCCGGTTTAAAACTGGCTTCTCTGGCTTGAGACAGAAGCGGGGAAAGCAAAGGGAACAAATTCATCCTTCCCTGGTTTAAAACTGGCTTCTCTGGCTTGAGGCAGAAGCGGGGAAAGCAAAGGGGGCAAATTCAGCCTTCCCTGGTTGAAAACTGGCTTCTCTGGCTTGAGGCAGAAGCAGGGAAAGCAAAGGGGGCAAATTCAGCCTTCCCTGGTTTAAAACTGGCTTCTCTGGCTTGAGGCAGAAGCAGGGAAAGCAAAGGGGGCAAATTCATTTCCCTGGTTTAAAACTGGCTTCTCTGGCTTGAGGCAGAAGCAGGGAAAGCAAAGGGGGCAAATTCATCCTTCCCTGGTTGAAAACTGGCTTCTCTGGCTTGAGGCAAAAGCAGGGAAAGCAAAGGGGGCAAATTCAGCTTTCCCCAGTTTAAAACTGGCTTCTCTGGCTTGAGGCAGAAGTGGGGAAAGCAAAGGGAACAAATTCATCTCACACACACACAAAAAAAGGCATTTTTTTCCAAATTTATTCCGAATTACGAAAATTCCGACTGAACCTAACCATGCCTAGTAACTAGCAATCATATCCTGAGTGTTTTGATTATCAAAACATGGATGAAAAGCTGCCACTGTGCTTACACAATGGCCAAAACATTGCATAATTGTATCAAAATATGACACTCAGAATTCCAGCCAGATTTTTGTTTTACATGTTGCTAAGCATATGACTCACCGTAAAGGTTATGAATGCTCTATTTGTTAATGTGCAGCTTGTGGAGTCATGTCAACATGTGATAGCAACCCTGCATCTTTCATCATTTATTACAAAGCTCTGAAAACGCCATTCCCCAAAGGCTTGCATGAAAAAAGGCCAAGAGAGAAGAAGCACATTTAATACAAACTAGGTCAAAAGGAAGGAAGGAAGGAAGGAAGGAAGGAAGGAAGGAAGGAAGGAAGGAAGGAAGGAAGGAAGGAAGGAAGGAAGGGACATGTATCATATTCTGCACTTGCACAGCAAGCTTACAGACAGGCAAGGCAATTCACAAGGACTGGGTATGAAAAATTGGTTTGGCACACAAAAAATATTTTATGGTGACCTTACCATGAAATATGGCTGTGTGAAAGGCTACTTCTGCCAAGTTTAATCCAATGCACTTGAGGAGCCGAAAAAAATCTCAATTTTCCTCCCTTCCTGCTTTTGCAAACTCTAATTCTACCATGTTTTTTAAAAAATTTAGTTTTTATGAATTAGCAAAGCCGTAGTAATAAGAATTACATAGCTCATTTCGATGTGCAATATCCTGATAATGGCCCCATTAATATCCTGCGACTAGAGTTACTGAAGTGGCCTTTTAGATTTCACAGTCTGTTTCTGGAAGACGTATTTCGCTAAGTCTGCACCGTTAGCTGTTTTCCGTCAGACACTGCAAACAGATGGGATCCTAAGTATCCTTCTCTGTGCAGAAAAAAGTGTCTTTTGCCACAAAAGAGGTACTTTATGCCTTATGATGTGGGACGCATGGGAGACGTGGGGCCTTCTTAATACTGGATTTTATGCCCCATTATCCGTGTTAGTTGCTGTTCATAGGAGATCCATTCGTAACAATGCAGCATCTCAGCTGTTATATGTTTGGCCTCTGTGTTTATGCTTTGATGGTGATGGGTGTAAACATGTTTCAGGTTAAATCTGCTGCCATTTAATTCATCTATATAAATAAAAATGTAATGTTCGTTTGTGGGATTAACATAACTCAAAAATCACTGGACGAATTGACACCAAATTTGGACACAATACACCTAACAGTTTGACGAGTGTTCATCACCCCTAAAACACATGCACACATGCACACGCACACGCACACACACACACACACACACACACAAAACAGCAGAACGGACTTAAAACCCCTCAAAATACACTATATATCTATATAAATAAAAATGTAATGTTCATTTGTGGGATTAACATAACTCCAAAACCACTGGATTAATTGACACCAAATTTGGACACTATACACCTAACAGTTTGACGAGTGTTCATCACCCCTAAAACACACACGCACGCACACACGCACACACTCTCACACACACACAAAACAGCAGAATGGATTTTAAAAAACCCAAAATACATGATATCTATCTATATAAATAAAAATGTAATGTTCGTTTGTGGGATTAACATAACTCCAAAACCACTGGATGAATTGACATGAAATTTGGACACTATACCCCTACCAGAACAATGAGTGACCATTACTAATATCCCCCCCCCCCTCCAGAAAGAACTTAAAACCCCCAAAAAGCTAAATGATGATACTGAAAAAAGGGAAAAAAGAGGGAGGGGAGGAAGGGGAGAAAGAAAGAAAGAAAGAAAGAAAGAAAGGAAGGAAGGAAGGAAGGAAGGAAGGAAGGAAGGAAGAGAGGGAGAGACGGAGGGAGGGAAAGAAAGAAGGAAAGAGAAGGAAGCATGGAAGTAAAGAGCGGAGGAAGGAAGGTAGAGGTAGAGAAGGAAGAAAGGAGAGAAAGAGGGAGGGAAGGAAAGAAGGAAAGAGAAGGAAGGATGGAAGGAAAAAGTGAAGGAAGAAAAGAGGTAGAGAAAGAAGGAGAGAAAAAGGAAGGAAAAGAAAAAGAGGGGAAGGCAGGAAAGAGGTAGAGAAGGAAGAAAGGAAAGAAGGAAAGAAGAAAAGGGAAGGAAGAAAAAAAAGAGGGAATGAAGGAAGGAGGGAAAGAAGGAGAGAAAGAGGAAAGGAAGGTTGGCCACAGCAGCGAGTGGAGGGTACAGCTAGTGTGTGTGTGTACACACACATACATACACATATACTCATATACATATACACATGCACACATACATACATACATGTATACACAAACACACACAAATATACACACATGCATATACACACATATATACATATACACATTAACACACAAATATACACATGCACACTTACATACATACATACATACATACACACAAATATGCATATAGACAAGTACACACATATACAATATACATATACACATATAAACACACCAATATATGCAGACATATATACACATATGTATACACACACACACATATATATATATACATAAACACACATATATACACATATACAAAAATATAAACACACACAAAACACATATATACAGACTGGCCACAGCAACATGTGGCAAGGGATGGCTAGTAAAATATAAAAATATACACACCTCCAGGTCTCCAGAAATATTGGCTCCGGCCAGAATACCTGTGGCTGCGGGGAAGAAAATGGCAAACACTGAGAAAAACCCTTCGTCGCCTCTGAATTCTGGTCCAAAGTTTTCTGCAAATATTGAGGCTGAAAAAGAGGAGACATAAGTATCAGTTCAAGGCTATCTTGCGTATAATGAAACATCTCAGGCTCGATCTGCACTGCCATATAAAATCCAAATTATCTGCTTTGAACTGGATTATATGGCTGTGTAGACATCATAATCCAGTTCAAAGCAGAAAATCTGATTATCTGTTTAATATTCTGGATTATATCGTTCCAGGTTTTTCACATATAAGGCAAATAAATACATGAAAACCAGATTATTAAATACATTATAAAGTACACCATTAAAATCCTACAAATCATTAAAATGCTACATATATCAATGGTGAGATGCATCCTTAAAATACTACAGACTCACTTCCCTGGCTTTCCCCATTCACCCCTTCACCCCCCCTTGCCTCTCCCAAACTTCCCCCCCTCAAACCCCATTTTTATTGTTGTCAAAGAAAAATCACTAATAAAAACTTATATAAGGTAACAATATGTATAGAAAAATATCTATATTTCCAATATGTCCCCATCAATATAGGTTCCTTCCTTATTGGATAGAGTTGGAACACATGGAAGCATTTCCGCTTGAGAGCAAAATCTTTGGGCCCTTCTATGCAGCCATATAACCCAGAATATCAAGGCAGGTAATGCACAATATCTGCTTTGAACTAGGTTATCTGAGTCCACACTGCCATATAATCCACTTCAAGGTGGATTTTATACAGCTGTGTAGAAGGGGTCATACAGTCTCTGTACCCCTTCTATACTGCCTTATAAAATCCAGATTATAGCTGTGTGGAAGGGCCCTATATCACAAGTGCATTTGCATTGCTAAGTTATCCTGGGAGTTGTAGTTTTACAAGTCTTTAGCCTTCTCTGTCAAAGAGTGATGGTGCTCCATCAAATTAAAACTCACAAGACTTTATAGCATTGAGCTCGGTGGCGCAGTGGGTTTACCCTTGTGCCTGCAGGACTGAAGACCAACAGGTTGCAGGTTCGAATCCGGAGAGAGCACAGATGAGCTCCCTCTATCAGCTCCAGCTCCTCATGCAGGGACATGAGAGAAGCCTCTCACAAGGATGATAAAACATCAAAGTGGTGTCAAACTGGCAGTCAAAGTGGTGTCAAACTGCATTAATTCTACAGTGTAGAATTTTTTTTGTCATGTCAGGAGCGACTTGAGAAACTGCAAATTGCTTCTGGTGTGAGAGAACTGGCCGTCTGCAAGGACATTGCCCAAGGGACGCCCGGATGTTTTGATGTTTTATCATCCTTGTGGGAGGCTTCTCTCATGTCCCCGCATGAGGAGCTGGAGCTGATAGAGGGAGCTCATCCGAGCTCTCCCCGGATTCGAACCTATGACCTGTCAGTCTTCAGTCCTGCCGGCACAAGGGTAAACCCACTGCGCCACTGCAGTGTAGATACAACCACAGAAAAGAGTTGACAGGTGTTAAGTACTTCTTATGTGAGGCAAAGGAACCACTTGCCTTGATAATTAAAAAATCCTCTTGCCTTCTTTTCATTGTTGCTTGGAATGACAGTCCCAATGAAGAAATTGACGATAGCAACAAGAAGGATAACTAGAAGAACCACTTGGGCCTATAAAGGAAAGAAAAGGTTTTTAAAGTGATCTTGTTTTCAATATTCATTCATTCATTTGTCCAATCATTCATTATTTATTCATAAGCCATTGGGCAACTTAGCTGTCTCGTCTCAAAACAAGAACAGACAATCATCTTGAGCTCTGAGGATTACCTGGGAAGGAATCCCACTGGAGCATTGCAGCACACCAACATACCTGGGAGTCACTCTGGACCATTCTTTGACTTACAAGAAGCACTGCTTGATTATCAAGCAAAAAGTGGGTGCAAGAAATAATATCATACGAAAGCTGATTGGCAAAACCTGGGGATCACAACCAGACACAGTGAAGACATCTGCCCTTGTGCTTTACTACGCTGCAGCTGAATATGCATGCCCAGTATGGAACATCTCACCACGTTAAAACAGTGGATGTGGCTCTTAATGAGACATGCTACATTATCACAGGGTGTCTATGCCCTATGCTGTTGGAGAAATTATACTATTTAGCCAGTATTACACCACCTGACATCTGTCGGGAAGTAGCAGCCTGTAATGAAAGGACCAAGATAGTGACATCTCCGGCCCATCCCCTTTTCGGATATCAGCCAGCAAGCCAATGCCTTAAATTAAGAAACAGCTTCCTAAGATCTACAGAGATACTTGCAGGAACAGCCCAGCAAATAAGAATCCAAAAAGTGTCAGACTAAAACCCGGAGCCTCAATCAGTGGCTGATACCGGATGAGAAACTCCCTCCTGGGCACACAGAATACTGGGCAACTTGGAAGGCACTGAACAGACTGTGCTCTGGCACCATGAGATGCAGAGCCAACCTTAAGAAATAGGGCCACAAAGTGGAATCCGTGATATGCAAGTGCAGAAAAGATCAAAGCAAAGGCACCTACCGCAATGCAACCTGAGTCCTGCCAAATGCACAATGGAGGTCATTCTCACACCGATACCACAGGCACTCCAAGTGGCCAGCTTCTGATCAAAGGAAATCTAGCATAATGCCAAGTTTTTTACTTTGTTTGTGTCTTTTTAATTACATTATAACTGTATTGCTCCTTACACGATAAATAAATAAAATTCTTCTTCTTCTTCTTCTTCTTCTTCTTCTTCTTCTTCTTCTTATTATTATTATTATTATTATTATTATTAGAAACACAACAAGATGAGTCCACAGGAGACACTCTGCTGGATGTTGAATTGGATCCTGCTGTCACCTGGGATTGCAACATCGACGATCAATACTTTGTTTTTTAACACAACTGCGAGGTCAGGAGTAATGTGCTCCAAAACTCTGTCTGTCAGAATTAGGAAGTCCCAGAGGAGTTTGGCGTGTTCATTCTCTGTAACTTTTTCCGGCTTGTGATCCCACCAGTTCTTTGTCGCTGGCAGATGGTATTTGTGGCACAAGTTCCAATGAATCATCTGAGCAATGGTGTTGTGCCTCTGCTTGTAGTATGTCTGCCCGATCTTCTTGCAGCAGCTGAGGATGTGATCTATTGTTTCATCTGCTTTATTATTATTATTATTATTATTATTATTATTATTATTATTATTATTATTTGAAGCACAACAAGATGAGTCCACAGCAGGCAAGATCATTCTGCTGGCTGTTGTATTGGATCACACGTCGGACCAGTGGCGCGGTGGGTTAAACCCCTGTGCCGGCAGGACTGAAGACCGACAGGTCGCAGGTTCGAATCCGGGGAGAGGCAGATGAGCTCCCTCTATCAGCTCCAGCTCCTCATGCAGGGACATGAGAGAAGCCTCCCGCAAGGATGATAAAAACATCAAATCATCCAGGCGTCCCCTGGGCAACGTCCTTGCAGACGGCCAATTCTCTCACAACAGAAGCAACTTGCAGTTTCTTAAGTCACTCCTGACCCAACCAACACATCGGACACTTCCCAAGTGTCTAGGACTGCGTGATGTATCGGTGAATAATGTGTGCAGATCCCAGTAGGGTGGTCTTCTGCAGCTGGCAGATGCTAATCTTGTCAGCGCCAATTGTGTTTAAGTGCAGGCCAAGGTCTTTAGGGTCTGCACCCAGTGTGCCGGTCACCATTGGGACCCCCTTGACTGGCTTGTGCCAGAGTCTTTGCAGTTCGATCTTTAAATCCTCATATCATGTCAGCTTTTCCAGTTGTTTCTCTTCAATTCTGCTGCCGCCTGGGATTGCAACATCAACTATCCATATTTTGTTTTTTAACACAATTGTGAGATCAGGAGTATTATTATTATTATTATTATTATTATTATTATTATTATTATTATTATTACCACAACTACAATGACTTACCTTTGCTTCCCATTCCATACCAGCCACAGAAATCCCCAGAAGTATGACTACAGTTATGGCACCTATTATTCTGATATCATTGGTTGCATCTACCATTAGAGCATTGCTTCCCTGGAGGGGGAAGAAAAAAAAAGGAATGGAAAGATGATTAAGGACCTAGTTTTTGCAAGATAGCTTTAGCAGCCGCATAAAATCAAAGGGAATGGCTAAAGAGGGAATCGTCACACTCCATGGCTAATGAGCCCTGAGTTTCACATTTCTTATGCTGGTTGGACCTCAGTCATCAAGATTATTGGTTGGCTAATTAGAACCTTAATTCCCTTTAGCAATTCTGAACGTTACAGCACTGTAAGAAACATTTCCTCAGCCTGGTCGTCGGAGAAGCAAAAGGCTTACGAATTAAAATTTATTATACATTTAGAGAGTCCTAATGCCTGGATAAGGTTGCTGCTTAATGCATTTATTAGACAGATGATCGTGACGCATAAAATGCTATTAACCAAGGGTCTCCATCGTAACCATATGCAATGGATCATCATTACCTTGAGGAGCTCCACCACCGTTTCGGCAAACCCAACGACGTACATGGCTACAGCCACGGCGTTAGCAAAGGCAAAGATGAGGCCAATGGAGCCTCCAAATTCAGGTCCTAAACTTCTGGAGATCAGGTAATAAGCTCCACCTGTGAATAGAGCATAGTGACCAGTATCAGGACATGAACATTAAGTTGTTTCCAGATCTGGCAGCCTGCGATCGGAGAGGGAATTGGGGTCCTTTGCCCGGCTTGCCAAACAAACACTAGGGCTCTTGGGCTGGATGAAGTTCTATGTGATTAGAAGGTTCATTCATAATGTAAGAGATATGTCCAGGACCCTTGGAATACCACAATGATGAGTGTATCTCTTCCGGTCCTTCCACACAGCCATAAAACCCAGAAAAATCAAGGCAGATAATCCACAATATCTGCTTTTAACTGGGTTATCTGAGACCACAGTGCCATATAAACCATGGCGCTTCTAGACAGACCCTATATCCCAGGATTTGATCCCAGGTTTTCTGCTTTAAACTAGATTATATGAGTCAGCACTGCCAGATAAACAGAAAACCCAGTATTAGATACCGGGATATAGGGCCTGTCTGGAAGGGCAAATAATGTAGAATTTTATACAACTGTGTGGAAAGGGCCTTAGATCAGAGTTTCTCAAACTTTTTCAGCCGTGGAGCCCTTCTTGAAGCAAGTTGCTTGTGGAGCCACAAGAAATATTTATATATTATATCATATATTATATTATATACAATGTGTATATATATCCTGATTGGGGCTTTCTAATGCTGAGAATTCTGGGAAATGTAGTTCAAGACAGAGCCTTTTGCATTTTCTGGCATAGGGCTCCTCGCCTTCCCAAACTGCATTTCCCAGAAATCTGTGCTTTCCCAATCTTTTCCCCAGTGAACTCTGCTTTCTCCCTGCTGTTTTCCTCTCTTAATAGCAAGAGGCCATTAATTAAAAGAGGAATGGCAACCTTTTTGGCTTTGCTTTGCTCCTTTCACTGAAAATGAAATTGACTGTAGAAGGCTTCCGAGGCTTACAAAACTCAAACAAAAAAGTATTGGATAAGTTTCAATTTTTAAGTTTGTGCCCCCGTGTTGGATATCGCATCGTAAGTACGAATTTAATGAATTTGATCCGACTTACGAGTACTAACGATAATTTTGTACAATCCTGGTATATACATTACTGGTATATACGTTGCCATCTCCCTCTCAGAACTGGAGACGAGAGGAAGGAAGGAAGGAAGGAAGGAAGGAAGGAAGGAAGGAAGGAAGGAAGGAAGGAAGGAAGGATATATATGGAGAGAACGAAGGGATGAAATCAGGAGGAAAGCAGCTCCTACAACACCCAAGTAATGCTGAGTATATACATTAGTATAGATGTATATTGGGCTTGGTTAATGAAACTGGCTTTGGGAGGCTTCAAGGTTTACAAATTCAAACAAAAAAGTATTGGGTAAGTTTTGGTTCTTAAGTTTTTGGCATGGGCCATGCCCATGTGTCGGATATTGCATTGTAAGTACAAATTTAACAACTTTGATCTGATTTACGAGGACTAACGATAATTTTGCACAGCCCTGGTATATACATTACTGGTATATATGTTGCAATCGCCCTCTCAGAATTGGAGAACAGAGGAAGGAAGGAAGGAAGGAAGGAAGGAAGGAAGGAAGGAAGGAAGGAGAAATATAGGTAGATAGATAGATAGAGATATAGATATTAGGGGAGAGGAAGAGAACAAAGGGATGAAATCAGGAGGGCAGCAGCTCCTACAACACACAGGCAATGCTGAGTATATACATTAGTATAGATGTATATTTGGCTTGGTTAATGAAACTGACTTTGGGAGGCTTCTGAGGTTTACAAAATTCAAACAAAAAAGTATTGGGTAAGTTTTGATTCTTAAGCTTTTTGGCATGGGCCATACCCATGTGTCGGATATTGTGTTGTAAGTACAAATTTAACAATTTTGATCTGATTTACGAGGAATAGTAATAATTCTGCACAGCCCTGGTATATACATTGCTAGTTTATTAGTCACCATCTTGCTCTCAGAACTGGAGAAGGGAGGGAGGAATATATATATATATATATGTGTGTGTGTGTGTGTGTGTGTGTGTGTGTGTGTGTGTATATATATATATATATATATATATATATATATATATATGGAGAGGAAAAGAATGAAGGGATGAAAGCAGGAGGGAAGCAGCCCCTACATGAGCCATCTAGGAGGTTAAAATCATCTGGGGAGGTCCTGCTCTCGGTCCCACCTCCTTCCTAAGTGCTACTGGTGGACCCTCGCCTGTGAAACTCCCTTCCTACTGAAATTAGATCAATGCCCTCCCTTTTGGTAATCAGAAAGGAAGTAAAGACATGGATGTGGGGCCAAGCCTTTGGGCAGTAAGCAATGCAAAAACATACAGGATTATTTGCAATTGACTCTTGGAAAGGCCTCTGATTTCAGCTTCTGGATTTTTGATTTTATTATTTTATATGGCTTAATTTAATTTATTGTTCTATGTTATAGCTGTTTTTATACCAGTTATTTTTATATGTTCGCACCAGGACTGTGGTGCAGCTGGCTGGGAGTCAGCTGCATTAAGATCACTACTGACCGAAAGGTCATGAGTTCGAAGCCAGCCCAGGTCGGAGTGAGCTTCCGACCAAATTGTGTAGCTTGCTGTCAATCTTTGCAGCCCGAAAGACAGTTGCATCTGTCAAGTAGGAAATTTAGGTACAGTGTATGTGGGGAGGCTAATTTAACTAATTTACAATGCCATAAACATCTCCATCAAGCATGCAAAGAATGAGGAAGTACTTCATCGGTGTAACAAATGGACGGTGAAGCGACAGCTCCCCTGGTGGCCAGAATACCCTCATCAAAAAGCTGGAATGTTGAATAGCCTCTGTGTGTCTGTCTATATATGTTGTGTGTCTATGGCATTGAATGTTTGCCGGGTATATGTACATTGTAATCTGCCCCGAGTCCCCTGTGGGGTGAGAAGGGCAGAATATAAATACTGTCAATAAATAAATAAATAGGTTGTAAAGCATTGCATTTTTGCCATTAATTGATTGGAAACCACTTTGAGTCTCTCCCCCCCCCCCCCCAGAGAGAAAAGCAGTATATAAATGACGTAAATAAATGAATAAATAAATACAACACCCAGGCAACGCTGAGTATATATATTGGTATGGATGTATATTTGGCTTGGTTGACTCCGCTCAGTAACCGTTGCAGAATTCTTCCATATGAATGTGAAATGGACTCACCTCCTCTTACCACTCCATTTGTACATATGGCAGACATGGAGATACCTGTTAAAGTAGTGACTACCACACTCAGGCAAATGACTATGACTCCAAGACCTGAAAAAATCCCAGAAAAAAACATTTGACCCAAATACCTTAGCTGTATCATTTGTACTTAAGTCCTCTAACAAGAAGCTTCCATCTGCTCAGAAGAAGTCACCATCCTTCATGGAAGACAGACTGGATCTGTAAACACCTGGAATGTACTAATTCATCAATGGTAAAGAAAATACCTTGGAGTCACTGCATATTGGTGCTGCGTATCCATGTCGTCGGAAGTTTGCATAGATAAACATAAAAAAGAATGAAAAACAAGAGAATAGATCCAGGGATTGGACAATGGGATGAAGTTCTTTGTGTCCACCTCCTCCAAAGAAAGATAACCTGCAATGTTCTGAATATGTTTGTTAATATCTCCAAGTAAAGTTTGGTTCCATTCTGCCGTCGCTCTCACGCCTTCAAGAACCAGTCTGGACTTTGTGATTCACAAGAAGATTATGAATCAATGCATTAGATATGATTAATCTTGTTAGTTGTATGACTCACCTTCTGGTTCCCTTGGCTCTCCTGCCCACTGTATGCTTATTTTAGGATGAGCAAGCTTTGACTCTAACCCTGTTCTCTAAAACTAATTTGGAGATGGGAAGAAAAGACCCTAAAGATTTTTTTTACCTCCACGAACGCAACCATTAGTTGCTATGGCAGAAGTTGATAAGCCCGTAATGCAAGTGACCAAAACGGCAAGGAGGATTACGATAACTCCCAGACCTGTCAGCAATAGAAAGATGAAAAATGTGACTTTGAGATCGAAGGTGACCTCCCCCCGCCCCCCAGGACTCTCTAAAAGATGGTTCAAAATCAGGGAATTCATAGTTTTGCCAAGGACACCAGGCTGGAATAATCCCATAATCCCCTATCTCTCCCCCATGTGGGAACCTGAAGCTTTTTCCATGGCCCATGGCTCAACTCTTATGAACGTTCCCCCACTTTCATAAACTTTATGGAACTTTAATCAACTTTTAAAAGGACTTTGAAACACTTGGGAACCCTCTTGCCAAAACCCTATGAATTCATATGATTTTCACCTATCTTTATTGACTTTTGATGAACTTTGAATGAACTTTGGAGGGAGGACTGACATGGTTAATTGCATGATCTACCCCTTATGAATTCCTTGTGTGTCCCCTTCCCCATATCATTATATGTGAGTGTGTCTATATTTTGAAAAATGAAGGAAAAGCCACCTTCTTCATGAATCCAGCACCTCATGGCTCCAGGAAGTGTTTCCCAATTTCCTAAGCCAGTAAATCCCTAAACAAAGGACTCAACCAGAAACTCATTGCATCGACAATAAATGAATGGTTATTATCAGACCAGATCTCGGAGGGCAAAGGTTAGTCCATCTGGAAAGATAAGACCTATAGACATCCGAATCACTCAACACAATGAGGAATTAGGGTTTCACCACAGCCTTTTCCATTTTGACAACCCAACTGGCCAGAAACCAACATTAACTTCTTCAATTGACTCCATTTCTCAGGACTGTAAAAACAAAGGATGTAGCCTCTAGGGGCTAAACCAAGACATGAATCCAAAGAATCAAACAATAACCTTGGCTAGGCTTGAGAGCCTAAAGGTTATCACCCAGCCATTTGGCAAACACTGAGCACCTAAATCCTGACAACTAGACATTTCTTCATTGTTTCCCTGTTGCCCGATTTTGTCGATTTTGTCGGCAGATTACTGCAATCATCATCCCTTCCAGCTGGAATGAAATAAACAACTTGGTTGCATTTTCTTCAATTTATTTGGGAAAGATAGGGGAAATTATCTCTGGGTGCTTATTGTCTCACCAGGTGTCCGAATCCTCTTTTTGGGTCTGGTTGGCCTCTGCTTCAGCAGGGCCTCCTAAATTCGTGTTCGACATCAACTTCATCACAATTTTCCAAAATTGTTTGCTAAAGTGACATTGCAAATGAGAACCCAGGCTCTGGCTTTCATTGGGAGAACCTTTTTCATCTCTAATGCTGCAGTGATTCCTTTTCCCGCTGCTTCTTATTTTGTCTGTGTTTTTTTATAGCCTATGCAAGCCGTTTGGAGGGAAAGGATCAAGATCTTTAATCTCCCACATACATATATACTTCAGCTATCAAAATAGATGTATTCCTGAGCATTACAGCAAATTTGGTACTGGAGATAAAAAATAATGTGCTATGAATACGAATATGTTCCTACACCACGAAAGCAGCAGTTCCAAATGCTTCTGCAAACTTTGCATCAAAGCTAATACTATGCACATATGAAATGAAACAACCACATAGGATAAGCTCTCCATAAGTTTAGGAATCACTTGAAAGCTGAAAATGCACCAAGCAAGGCTTTTTGTTCCATCAGCCTCTACTTCTTCTGGTGTCCATTTAGTCCCCTTCTACACTGCCAAATCCAGATTATCATATTTGAATTGGATTATATGGCAGTGTACTCATATAGGTAAAGGTTTTCCCCTAACATTAAGTCCAGTCGTGCATTTCTAAGCCGAAAACCTGACGTTATCCATAAACACCTCCAAGGTCATGTTGCCGGCTGTTGGGGTTTGGAACGGGTGGGCACCGTGAAGGTAGTGTGTGGGTGAGTGGTGTGGGTGGAAGGAGCAACACGGAGGAACCAAAACACTCACTCCAACATTTTTTAAAGCCAACGTTGTAGCTGGTTTCTCTGGCCTCAGTGTTTTTTAGTCTGTGTTGCACATTGCCTCAAAAGAACTAGATCTCCCATCAATTCATAGAATCATAGAATCAAAGAGTTGGAAGAGACCTCATGGGCCATCCAGTCCCCTGCCAAGAAGCAGGAATATTGCATTCAAATCACCCCCAACAGATGGCCATCCAGCCTCTGTTTAAAACCTTCCAAAGAAGGAGCCTCCACCACACTCCGGGGCAGAGAGTTCCACTGTTGAACGGCTCTCACAGTCAGGAAGTTCTTCCTAATGTTCAGATGGAATCTCTTCTCTTGTAGTTTGAAGCCATTGTTCCGTGTCCTAGTCTCCAGGGAAGCAGAAAACAAGCTTGCCTCCTCCCTGTGGCTTCCTCTCACATATTTATACACGGCTATCATATCTCCTCTCGGCCTTCTCTTCTTCAGGCTAAACATGCCCAGCTCTTTAAGCCGCTTCTCATAGGGCTTGTTCTCCAGACCCTTGATCATTTTAGTTGCCCTCCTCTGGACACATTCCAGCTTGTCAACATCTCTCTTGAATTGTGGTGCCCAGAATTGGACACAATATTCCAGGTGTGGTCTAACCAAAGCAGAATAGAGGGGTAACATTACTTCCCTGGACCTAGACACTAGACTCCTATTGATGCAGGCCAAAATCCCACTGGCTTTTTTTGCCTCCACATCACATTGTTGGCTCATGTTTAACTTGTTGTCCACGAGGACTCCAAGATCTTTTTCACACGTACTGCTCTCGAGCCAGGCATTGTCCCCCATTCTGTATCTTTGCATTTCGTTTTTCCTGCCAAAGTGGAGTATCTTGCATTTGTCACTGTTGAACTTCATTTTGTTAGTTTTGGCCAATCATCTCTCTAATCTGTCAAGATCGTTTTGAATCCTGCTCCTGTCCTCTGGAGTATTGGCTATCCCTCCCAATTTGGTGTCGTCTGCAAACTTGATGATCCTGCCTTCAATTCAAGCCACTCTTTGAACACAAACTCTCCTTCCTAAAGTAGTGAAATCAGCTTCCAAGGCAAAAACGGCAGGGCTGCTTGTTATTTTCTTTGACTGCTGTGAGCTGACTAAGAAGACACTAGAAATTCCATATTTTCATGCCTATACTTCCCTAATTTGTGAAATCAGCTCAAAAGGCCCCAAAAGTTCTCAGGACTGTTTGTTTTTTCCTCTTTGTTTACTGTGAGTTGCCTAAGAAGACACTAGAAATCACATACTTTCATGCCTATGCTGTTTTTCACATATTGCGCAATCACATCTACCATTATTGAAGCAATTTGGAAATTTCAGAAATTTTGGAAATTTTGAAAAGTTCTGATTTTTTTTCGAAAAAAAATTCAGAATTCAATGTATTGTCGAAGGCTTTCATGGCTGGAATCACTAGGTTCTTGTGGGTTTTTTCGGGCTATAGGGCCATGTTCTAGAGGCATTTCTCCTGACGTTTCGCCTGCATCTATGGCAAGCATCCTCAGAGGTAGTGAGGTCTGTTGGAATTAGGACAATGGGTTTATATATCTGTGGAATGGCTGGGGTGGGGCAAAGAGCTCTTCTCTGCTGGAGCTAGGTGTGAATGTCTCAACTGACCACCTTCATTAGCATTTGAAGGCCTGGCTGAGCCTGGGAAAATCTTTTGTTGAGAGGTGTTAAGATGTGCCGTATACCATGCAGCTGTGGACAAGTCTACATAGGGACCACCAAACGCAGCGCCCAAACACGAATCAAGGAACGTGAAAGGCACTGCAGATTACTTCAACCAGAGAAGTCAGCCGTAGTAGAGCACCTGATGAACCAGCCTGGACACAGCATATTATTTGAGAACACAGAAATGCTGGACCACACCAACAACCACCATGTCAGACTACACAGAGAAGCCATTGAAATCCACAAGCATGTGGACAATTTCAACAGAAAGGAAGAGACCATGAAAATGAACAAAATCTGGCTACCAGTATTAAAAAAACTCTAAAATTACAACAGCAAAACAACAGAGGGGAAACAAACAGGCACATCTTAACACCTCTCAGCAAAAGATTTTCCCAGGCTCAGCCAGGCCTTCAAATGCTAATGAAGGTGGTCAGTTGAGACATTCACCCCTAGCTCCAGCAGAGAAGAGCTCTTTGCCCCACCCCAGCCATTCCACAGATATATAAACCCATTGTCCTAATTCCAACAGACCTCACTACCTCTGAGGATGCTTGCCATAGATGCAGGCGAAACGTCAGGAAAAATGCCTCTAGAACATGGCCCTATAGCCCGAAAAAACCCACAAGAACCTAGTAATTCGGAATTCAATTCTGAATCGAAACACCAGCGACCCCTACATCCGAAACGTGTTTTGAACCGTATTTTTTTAGTAGTTCGGGGTGTCTACACTTGGACAACACAGCAAAGGGCTCTTCTACTTGCACAAGGAGAAGATTGGCGGGTTACAATCTGCCATCAAATTACTAACAAATGGTAACTTTAGAATGAAAAACATAGCAATTGTCGCCACTGTTGTTACAAAGTAATGCCAAGCTCTGATTAAAGTTTAGATTAAAATCCCAGTTGTAAGGCCATTAAATAACGTTAAAACGAATGGCTCTCGCTCCTGGCTGTTTTCATACCTCGGAACAAACTAACACTTCTTGATGATGGCAATAAGTTACTAAATGGCCCTTAAAAAAAAAAACTAATTTTGCATGAAACCCCAGAGCAAAATCTTGGCAATGTCAAGACGCAGAGTTTTCATGGCAAAGCATATCGTTATATGTGCTCCCAGCTCATTCGGTATGCATCATAAAGCCGGCAAGCACCCCTTTGGTCAGGCCCGGTGCCAGGTGCAAACACGTAATAAGGCCGCATAGACGGGCAATGCTTCCCACCTCCCCCTCCATTGATTTCAACACGTTTCCAGACTATCCATTTTTCTCTGGAGCAAAAGGTTCATTTCAGGTTTCCAAATCTAATTATGCACAGGGGTTTCCAAACAGTTCACAAATGAATCCAGGAAATAATTTTTTTCCAAAAATGCCCTTGAAGCTTCTTGAAAAAGAGACATGTTGAAGTTAAATATATGCATGACTCCAGAAGTAGGATAAAACATTACGACTAATCCCTGATGTACAGTTTGATAGCCGATATATTCAAGTCTTAATCCTGATCAATATTATTTTTTTGGAGTTATCCAGACATTTGAAGGACACTAGGTTTCTGAAAATTTATATATATATATATATATATATATATATATATATATATATATATATTGCATGACTCCAGAATATATATATATATATACACACACACACACACATATATATAATGCATGACTCCAGAAGATATATATATATATATATATATATATATATATATATATATATATATATACATACACACACACACACACACACACACATATATATATAATGCATGACTCCAGAAGATATAGATATATATATATATATACACACACACACATATATATATAATGCATGACTCCAGAATATATATATATATATATCTTCTGGAGTCATGTCATATATAAATATCTATATAAATAAAAATGTAATGTTCGTTTGTGGGATTAGCATAACTCAAAAACCAATAGATGAATTGACACGAAATTTGGACACAAGACACCTAACAGTCCAATGAGTGTCCATCACCCCAAACACACACACACACACAAACCCCAGCGGAACAGATTTAAAAACCCAAAGAATACACCATATATACATATACACATACACTCATAGATATACACATGCACACATTCATACACACACATATATATGTACAAACACACACAAATGTACACATATACACACACATATATACATACACTCATATACATATACACATATACATGCATGCACACATACATGTATACATATACACATGCACACACATACATATACACATACATACACACATACACACAAATATGCATATAGGCAAGAACACACATATACACAATATGCATGTACACATATAATATGCATGTACACAAATATAGGTAAAGGTAAAGGTTGTCCCCTGACATTAAGTCCAGTCGTGTGAGACTCTGGGGTGTGGTGCTCATCTCCATTTCTAAGCCAAAGAGCCAGCATTGTCCATAGACACCTCCAATGTCATGTGGCCGACATGACTGAATGGAGCGCCATTACCTTCTCGCCGGAGCGGTACCTATTGATCTACTCACATTTGCATGTTTTCAAACTGCTAGGTTGGCAGAAGCTGGGGCTGACAGCGGAAGCTCACAGCACTCCCCGGAATCAAACCTGCGACCTTTCAGTCAACAAGCTCAGCAGCTCAGTGCTTTCACCCACTGCGCCACCGGGGGCTCCACAAATTTATACACATATACATACACACACACACACACACACACACACATATATATCCACAAACACACATATATACACACACAAAACAAATATACACAGACTGGGCCACAGCAACGTGTGGCAGGGGACGGCTAGTGTGTGTGTGTGTGTGTGTGTGTGTATATATATATATTCTGGAGTCATACATATATTTTTATAAATATATGCATGACTCCTCACCTATATATATATATATTCTGGAGTCATCCATATATATATATATATATATATATATATATATATATCTCCCCTTATGAACCTCTGAGGACTTTAAGATCATCTGGGAAGGCCCTGCTCTCGGTCCCATCTTCGTCACAAGCACGTTTGGCGGGGACGAGAGACAGAGCCTTCTCAGTGGTGGCCCCTCGGCTATGGAACGCCCACCCTAGGGAGATCAGATCTGCCCTCCCTTTTGACGTTTCGGAGGCAAGTTAAAACGTGGCTATTCCAGCAAGTGTTTACAAATACAGAGTAGCTAATATAGGAAATCGAATGACCTGGTAATGGAATTGGACAATGCTTGAGAATAATGAGACGCTGATGATGTTGCTTTTATTGCTTTTGTGATGTCTTATACTGTTTAATGTTTTTTATCTATATTATGTTTTATGTATACTGATTTGTTGGAAACCTCCTTGAGTTGCCAAAAGGCTGAGAAAGGCAGTATACAAATACAGTAAATAAATGTGTATATATATCTACACACACACACACACGACTCCAGAATATATATGTGTGTGTGTGTGTGTGTGTGTGTGTGTGTATTCTGGAGTCATGCATATATTTTTATAAATATATGCATGACTTCTCACCTATATATATAGAATCATAGAATCAAAGAGTTGGAAGAGACCTCATGGGCCATCCAGTCCAACCCCATTCTGCCAAGAAGCAGGAATATTGCATTCAAATCACCCCTGACAGATGGCCATCCAGCCTCTGTTTCAAAGCTTCCAAAGAAGGAGCCTCCACCACACTCCGGGGCAGAGAGTTCCACTGCTGAACGGCTCTCACAGTCAGGAACTTCTTCCTAATGTTCAGATGGAATCTCCTTTCTTGTAGTTTGAAGCCATTGTTCCGCGTCCTAGTCTCCAGGAAGCAGAAAACAAGCTTGCTCCCTCCTCCCTGTGACTTCCTCTCACATATTTATACATGGCTATCATGTCTCCTCTCAGCCTTCTCTTCTTCAGGCTAAACTGCCCAGCTCTTTAAGCCGCTCCTCATAGGGCTTGTTCTCCAGACCCTTGATCATTTTAGTCGCCCTCCTCTGGACACATTCCAGCTTGTCAATATCTCTCTTGAATTGTGGTGCCCAGAATTGGACACAATATTCCAGATGTGGTCTAACCAAAGCAGAATAGAAGGGTAGCATTACTTCCTTAGATCTAGACACTAGGCTCCTATTGATGCAGGCCAAAATCCCATTGGCTTTTTTTGCTGCCACATCACATTGTTGGCTCATGTTTAACTTGTTGTCCACGAGGACTCCAAGATCTTTTTCACACGTACTGCTCTCGAGCCAGGCATCCCCCATTCTGTATCTTTGCATTTCATTTTTTCTGCCAAAGTGGAGTATTTTGCATTTGTCACTGTTGAACTTCATTTTGTTAGTTTTGGCCCATCTCTCTAATCTGTCAAGATCATTTTGAATTCTGCTCCTGTCCTCTGGAGCTATTGGCTATCCCTCCCAATTTGGTGTCGTCTGCAAACTTGATGATCATGCCTTCTAGCCCTTCATCTAAGTCATTAATAAAGATGTTGAACAGGACCGGGCCCAGGACGGAACCCTGCGGCATTCTGGAGTCATGCATATATTTTGATATATAATATATATGCATGACTCCAGAATCAACTCAAGGATTAAGGATTTGCTTTGGGATGTTTCTATAGTATATATTTTTCTTCCCAATGTTCTCTATCCAGGAGAGTTAGGGCTCCCTAAATCCCTTTCTCTTTGCAATGAAGCCCATTGCTGGACTTGGGCAACGTGAAGTGGCAATTCAATGAAATTTCTGGAAAATTCCAGTATAGGTTGGGTTTCCTTGCCTTCGGATATAGCTCGGAAAGAACAGATGTGCCCTGCATGCCAATTCACACTTCAGCTTAAAGATTAATTGTGCTTTGGGAAAGTCACTCCTGTTTCTCCTTCATACAATAATAAAAAAAATATAATAATAGGAGAGAAAAAAGGCATACCGATTCCTGCTTGGCCAATAATCCAGGAGAGGCGAATGAACAGCATCACACCCCAGATATTCAGCATGCATCTCACCTAAACATTATACAAAGACAATGGTATCACAACACAACTGCACAATGCAAGTAGTATTGTCAAAGGCTTTCATGGCTGGAATCACTGGGTTGTTGTAGGTTTTTTTGGGCTATATGGCCATGTTCTCAACCTTCCTAATGCCGCGACCCCTTAGTACAGTTCCCCATATTGTGGCGACCCCCAACCATAACATTATTTTCGTTGCTACTTCATAACTATAATTTTGCTACTGTTATGAATCGTAATGTAAATATCTGATATGCAGGATGTATTTTCAAATCCCAAATACCCGATATGCCCAAATTGGAAAACGGGTGGGGTTGGGGGGGGGGGGTTGATTTTGTCATTTGGGAGTTGTAGTTGCTGGGATTTATAGTTCACCTACAATCAAAGAGCATTCTGAACTCCACCAATGATGGGATTGAACCATCTTGGCACACACAGAACTCCCATGACCAAGATAAAATACTGGTTGGGTCTGGTGGACATTGACCTTTAGTTTTTGGAGTTGTAGTTCACCTCCATCCAGAGAGCACTGTGGACTCAAACAATGATGGATCTAGACCTAACTTGGCACGAATACTCAGTATGCCCAAATGTGAATACTGGAGGACTTTGAGGAAAATAGACCTTGACATTTGGGAGTTGTAATTGCTGAGATTTATACTTTGCCCACAATGAAATAACATTCTGAACCCCACCAACGATAGAATTGGACTAAACTTCCCACACAGAACCCCCATGACCAACAGAAAATACTGTATTTTCTGATGGTCTTTGCCGACCCCTCTGACACCCCTTCGCGACCCCCACAGGGGTCCCGACCCCCAGGTTGAGAAGCACTGTTCTAGAGGCATTTTCTCCTGAGATTTCACCTGCATCTATGGCAAGCATCCTCAGAGATTGTGAGGTCTCACAACCTCTGAGGATGCTTGCCATAGAGGATGCTTGCCTGCCTCTAATGCATAGAGGCAGGCAAAACGTCAGGAGGGAATGCCTCTAGAACATGGCCATATAGCCCAGCAAGTAGTATTGGTTCAAAATATGTGAAAATAAATACCCTTCTTCAGCCTTACTAGCTATGATTTAGAGGGGCTCTATGACTTGGAGGGCACCATATTTGCAAAAGCAACTCTATTATCTTAAAAACTATGACAATCTGCCCTCTATGTTTGTGCGTTTGAGTTTTGCAGATTGGATGTAGCATATCATAAAGCCAAGAGGCAGTACGATTATAATTAAAAGTGGACAGAAGTATATATAATCATATCTAAAAATAATGGGGGACTGGAGTAACTATAACCCTATGTGAAGGATTGGTGTTCCAGGCTTTAGCACATTGCACCAAGGCATAATTTGCAAGTACGACCCTAACGCAACTCTGTAAATATTCATTGCGAAAACCAACAATGTGACATATTAGCCATCGCAAGTGAATCCACAAGAATCTGTACAGTTAATTAAAACATGATTCTATCCAGCATATCGTTCAGACTTTTCAACGAATGCATCCAAATGTGATTGTCTGTATAAAAGATATATTTTGCTCACCAGGACCCCTTTCACCCATCCAAATTTCACAAAGCCGCCTTTGAGTTCTTCCTCCTTGTTGAGTTCGCCGTCTCCTCCACTTCCATCCAGTTTGGCAAATTTGTCGACTGAACCAGAAGACACTGTGATGTTCTAAACAATGATTTGAAAAAGTAAGTATTATGTGTTCTTGACTTTCAGAGAGCTATATACATGGGATTCTTTAGGACCATAGAAGGAGACAATGGGTGCAGAACACTCAAACAACAGGGGAATTCCAGACAGGAAATAATCAGGACCAGCAAACACGTCCCAACAAATGGCTCTGTGATATTATCAAAGGCTTTCATGGCTGGAATCATTGGGTTGCTGAATCCCAACAAAGGATTCTCCCAGGCAGCAACCAGCCAGGCTTTGAAACTGCAAGGCCTTTCAATGATAATCAAGGCGGCCAATTGCAACATTCACACTTGTCTCAAGCAGACAAGAGTATTTTCTCCCACCCTGGACATTATTCCACAGATAAATAAACCTCACTTGCCTAGTTTGCAACAGACCTCACAACCTTTGAGGATACCTGCCATAGATGTGGGTGAAATGTCAGGAAAGAATGCTTATGGAACATGGTCATACAGCTCGGAACATTCACAGCAACCCAGAATTAAATAAACTATCCCTACTTAGGAAAAAAAGCCCAGTACCTTTTTCTGATTTTATTTATGTATTTATTTATTTTATTTACCCTATTTATACTCTGCCTTTCTCCACCCCAAAGGGGACTCGAGGCGGCTTACATATAGGCAATTATTCAATGCCTTAAAACACATACAATTCCAATGACATTAAAATTAAAATTAAAATGAAATTAATATTAATACATATTAAGCATTTAAAACATTGGGTTGTTGAAGTTTTTTCAGGTTGTATGGCCATGTTCTAGAAGCATTCTCTCCTGACATTTCGCCTGCATCTGTGACAAGCATCCTCAGAGGTTGTGAGGTTTGTTGGAAACCAGAAAATTGGGTTTCTATATCCGACAATACATTTCGACAATACATTTAAAACGTTTATAAACATTACATTCAATTGGACCTAGCTTAATTTCAGTCCTGTTCATGAGACAGTCGTATAACATCCACATTGAACTGGATTGTATGGCAGTGTGGACTCAAGTAAACCAGATAATGTGGATTATCTGCCTTGGTATTCTGTGTTATATGGCTGTGTGGAAGGGCCCAGAGACAGCTTTGGCCCTCTTTAGAGATGTAATTTTTTGCTGATTTAATTCCTGAAGGAAGCAACGAGTAGCAATATTCTTCCTGCTGGTGTAGGAAAGTCATGTTAACCTATTTGTCTGTACCCAAATGTCCAATGGCTTTGATCCACAATGGTTAAACAGAAAACTCTCTCCAGATTGGGTCCTTAATTTTAAGGACATTGTTCAAAGTTCTTAATTTATTTTTGGTGCTTTGGTTCATCTTAGTAGCTCCCAAAGGGTTCATGGAGTAGTTGCCACCAGCTTCTGCTTCTGTTATGATGGCTACTCTGATATCTTCTGTATTTCTGTTCATCTATATCAGGCCTGGGCAAACTTTGGCCCTCCACAATTCCTAACAGCCTCAGGCCAATTCCTTTTCCTCCTCACCTGCTCAAGCTCCCTGTTTGAGCGGTGATGGCATGATCATCAGCATAGATTAAACCCTGTCCCTTTTTTTATAATTTTTTTATTGATTTATCACATTTATTACATACTATTGCATTTTGTACATCAACCTCTTTAACATGTTATTTTATTGTTTTGCTTTGACATTTCCCCCCCTTTTCTCATTTTTCCTTTTTTTCACCACAGTGCTCCCCTCCACCCGTCTCAAGCCACCATTCTTACATTTCATCTGTCCAAAATTTCATTTCTTCTTGTGACGGTAATTTTCCTTCCTTATTTTTTAATCCATTTACCACAAATCTTCCCCATACAGCATCAAATCGCTTTGTTTCCATGCACCTTTTTTAACCTTTAATATACATGTCAATTTATCATTTGTTGCTATTTTCCATGCTTCCTTATACCACTCCTCTATTTGTATATTCATTTCTTTTTTCAATTCCTTGCTATGAGCAGTCTTGCTATAGTTAATAAGTTTGTTATCGCTTCTTTATCCTCCTTTTTCAATTGCTTATTGTTATATAATGATAGTAAGGCTATACTAGGACTTTTATCTATTTTCATATTCATTATAATTTCTATTTCTCTAAATACTTTCTCCCAAAAATTATTTACATATTTACATTGCCACCACATGTGTATATATGTTCCTGGTTCTTGACACCCTCTCCAACAATTTATTGAATGATTTTTATTCATATATGCTCTTCTTACCGGTGTTAAGTACCACTTCCATATTAACTTGTAATAATTTTCTTTAACTCGTATCGATAAATTTTTAAATGTCTTTGTCCCCATAGTTGTCGCCACTCTATTTCACTTATTTTTATCCCTAAATCCTCTTCCCAAATCTCCTTAAGGGTACACTTTTTTATTTTTTTCATCCTTCATTTCAATTAGTATCTTATAGATTTTGCTAATTATACCTCTCAAGTTTTCATGTTCTTCTACAGCCCTTCCCTTCTGTATTATTTGTTCGAATTGGTTGAGTTGGCTTCCATTTCTATTATTTTTTTTCCAGTTTATTAACCATTGTTCTAATTGTATACAATGAAACCATGACAATTTTATTTCTTTAAACTCTTCCAACATTATTTCCCTCTTCATTTCCACCTTTCAAACCCTGTCCCTTCTAATATTGACTGATCATTTGTGTAAATGTTAAACACTGATGGTGCAAGCACGCTCCCCAGAGGCAGGCCGTTCCTCTGTCTTTGCCACCTGCTTCTCTGACCTTGGAACTCAACAAAAAAGCTCCTGTTTTGTAGCAGATAGCCTATGAAGTGGGTGAGGTGGTAATCCCTTGTGTGTATGTGTATGAAGGGGAAAACAAAAGGCCTGAGGTTGTTAGGAATTGTGGGAGTTGAAGTCCAAAACAATTGGAGAGCTGATGTTCACCCATGCCTGATCTACATCATTCCCTGTCAAAATTCCACTATTTGACAAGGTGATAGTGCTAGTGCCTCAGCAAACTACAACTCCCAGGATATTGAACTATGGCAGAGTGTTGTCAAACCGCATTAATTCAGCAGTGCGGCCAGACTTTAAAACAAAGTCCTCCCTCCCCGTGTTTTTGACATACCTTTGACAGCTGCTCATGGATCTCCATCAGGCTCGGTCTGTTCATTTTGACTCCGCTGACGCTGCCAGAGTTTCGGTAATAATCAATTTTAGGTACGACGTCCATTGTATTATGGCCGAATGTCTTCAAATAATATGTGTTATTATGAGTGTCATAGGGGTGAAAGCTTCCACCGGTTTTAGTAGAGTCTCCATTTGGAAAGGAGTTGTCGTATCCTTCTCGGTTTCCTGGCCTGTAGCTGATTTGGAGTCTGTTGTTGGCATCCGCCGCGAAGGACGTCTCTTCGTAACGTTGGGAATCAGCATCTCCCTGAGGATGGGTTGTGTTTTCATTGTTTTCATTAATGACATTGACCTGAAATCGATTCAGGTTGGGATCTGAAAACACATTTGGAGAATTATTCATAGACATATTTCCGGTCAATAGATGTTTCAGTCCCGGCTCTTGCTATTTCGGTGCCTCAATATTCCTGGTGTTTCATTCAGCAGCTGCTTCCAAGGAAATTCTTACGCTATCATCTTGAAGTGACACTGGACAACTCTGTCAAGAAACACAGAAAACACAATGCACCATTATTGAAATTGCTAATAGGTTGTTGTGAGTTTTCCGGGCTGTATGACCATGCTCCAGAAACATTCTCTCCGGACGTTTGGCCTGCATCTATAGCATTTATCCTCAGAGGTTGTGATTGCTAAAGTCTTTCCAAACATTACGCCGATTACCTTTTCACTCAAAGACACCTCAGTGAGACTATATCAGGCATAAGCAAAGTTTCTAACTTGGGGGCCGCATGGTGGGCCGGAGTGGGGTGGGTGGGCCGGTAGGAAAGGGAGTTCTCAAGGGGGGTTCCTAAGTCCCCTCCCTGCACTTCCCCCTCCCCCTTCTCTTGAAGAAGAGATGGGAAACATTTGGATCCTAAAAGGATTGGCCTTGGTCAGGATGAGATGGTGGGCGGGAGAGAAAAAGTGTATCCATGAGACCCAGTATTGCCTTCTCCTGATATAGAATCCTAGAGCTGGAACAGACCCTCAAGGACCATCCAGTTCAACCCCCTGCCATGCAAGAAGGCACAATCAAAGCACTCCCAATAGACAACTTCTATGGAAAAGCCTCCAGAGAAGGAGACTCCACCACACTCTGAGGCAGTCTATGCCACTTTCCAACAGCTCTGACTCTCGGGAAGTTCTTCCTAACCTTTTCAGTCAAATCTCTTTCCCTGCCATTCGAAACCATCGCTCCCTTGTGCCCTGGTCTCTAGAGCAGCTGAAAGTCAGTTTTCCCCCTTCCCTCTTCCTCAGTGGGACACCCCTTTAAATCTTGAAACATGGTTCTCATGTTCCCTCTCAATAATAATAATAATAATAATAATAATAATAATAATATGCCAGTCCCAGTGGTGATCGGCACACTGGGTGCAGTGCCTAAAGACCTTGGCCTGTACTTAAACACAATTGGCACTGACAAGATTACCATCTGCCAGCTGCAGAAGGCCACCTTATTGGGATCTGCATGCATTATTCGCTGATATACCACAACATCCTAGACACTTGGGAAGTGTCCGACGTGTGATCCACTACAACAGCCGGGAGAGCGATCTTGTCTGCTGTGGACTAATCTTGTTGTGTTTCAAATAATAATAATAATAATAATAATAATAATAATAATAATAATAATAATAACTTATTTATAACCCATCCTTATTTCCCAAGGGTACTCTACGTTCTTGTCTCCCAGCTAAACATCCCCCAGAAGGAAAGGAGGAGGGAAAAAGAGAAGGAAGAAAGGGAGGAAGAGAAAGATGGAAGGAAGGAAGGGTGGAAGGGAATGGAGCAATTTTTCTCAACTTTTCTAATGCCATGATCCCTTAGTACAGTTCCTCAGCTTGTGGTGACCCTCAACCATAACATTATTTTGTTGCTACTTCATAACTGTAGTTTTGCTACTGTTATGACTTGTAATGTAAATACCTGATATGCAGGATGTATTTTCATCTACTGGTCCAAATTTGGCACAAATACCCAATATGCCCAAAGTTGAATACTGGTGGGGTGGGGGTGGGGATTGATTTTGTCATTTGGGAATTGTAGTTGCTGGGATTTATAGTTCACCTTTTTTTTGGGAGTTGTAGTTCACCTACACCCAGAGAGCACTGTGGACTCAAACAATGATAGATCTGGACCAAACTTGGCACAAATACTCAATAAGCCCAAATGTGAACACTGGTGGAGTTGGGGGAAAATAATCTTGACATTTGGGAATTGTAGTTGCTGGGATTTATAGTTCATCTATAATCAAAGAGCATTCTGAACTCCACCAATGATGGAATTGAACCAAACTTGGGACACAGAACTCCCATAGCGAACAGAAAATACTGGAAGGGTTAGGTGGGCATTGACCTTGAGTTTTGGAGTTGTAGTTCACCTACAATCGAAGAGCATTCTGAAACCCACCAGTGATAGAATTGGGCCAAACTTTCCACACAGAACTCCCATGACCAACAGAAAATACTGTGTTTTCTGATGGTCTTTGGTGACCCCTCTGACACCCCCTCATGACCCCTCCAGGGGTCCCGACCCCCAGGTTGAGCAATGCTGAAATGGAGGGAGGGAGGGAGGGAGAAAGAGAGAAGGAAGGAAAGACAAAAGGGAAGGAAGGAAAGAGGGAAGGAAGGAAGGAAGGGTGGAAGGGAAGGAAGGTGGGAGGGAAGGAGAAAGAGAGAGGTAAGTAAGGGAGGGAGGGAAGGAAGGAGGAAGGAAAGAGAGAAGGAAGGAAGGATAGAATGGTGAGAGAGAGGAGGGCCTCAGAAAAGAGCCCAAGGATCTGCATCTGGTTCCCAGGCTTGGGTTTGCCCATACCTGAACTATATCCTTTCAACACAAAGCTATAAATGTACCAGCATTTTAAATAGTCTAAACCTTGCACTTCTCTACCCCTGAGAAATAGTTTTGCAAAAATCCCAGAATGGTGTTGGATAAACAACCAAGTGGGTAATATATATATTTTGTTGGCTCTCATGCATCGTGGTTCATTTAATTAATCGCTTAATTCCAGGGAAACGTTCAAGCTGGAATTTCAATCAGAGACAATCGCTTTAGTAAATAAAATAAAATAAAATAAATTGAATTAACTTGCCCCATTTTGATTGCAAATTTCCAGTTTAATTCATAACGTAATTGATTTTAATTAGGATCCCCTTGCTGCTTCGTGCTCCTGCTACCCGAGGCAATTGCCTCATTTTGCTTGAAATGGGGCTGGCCAGGTCGGGAAGCAGATCACAGTGTTCCAGACTCCGTTCCTCTCATAAGGCACTTTCATTTCCAAAAACTTTGCCTGGACTATGAGCTGAGTGAAGCAAGGAATGAATGTTAAGAAAGAGAATTCTAGAATCCTAGTGTTGGAAGAGACCTCGTGGGCCATCCAGTCCAGCCCCATTCTGCCAAGAAGCAGAAAAATCACATTCAAAACATCCTTGACAGATGGCCATCCAAGCTCTGTTTAAAAATCTTGGTTGGTATTTTTAAATGCATTATAACTGTATTCTCAATTTGCTTCTGACATCTATATAAATAAAAATGTAATGGACGTTTGTGGGATTAACATAACTCAAAAACCACTGGACAAATTGACACCAAATTTGGACACAAGACTCCGAACAACCCAATGTATGACATTCACTAAAAAAATGATTTTGTCATTTGGGAGTTGTAGTTGCTGGGATTTATAGTTCACCTACAATCAAAGAACATTCTGAACTCTACCAGTGCTGGAATTGAACCAAACTTGGCACACAGTTCTCCATGACCAACAGAAAATACTGGAAGGGTTTGGTGGGCAGTGTCCTTTGGTTTTGGAGTTGTAGTTCACCTACATCCAGAGAGCACTGTGGACTCAAACAATGATGGATCTGGACCAAACTCTACACGAATACTCAATATGCCCAAATGTGAACACTGGTGGAGTTTGGGGAAAATAGAATCTTGACATTTGGGAGTTGTAGTTGCTGGGACTTATAGTTCACCTACAATCACAGAGCATTCTGAACCCCACCAACGATAGAATTGGGCCAAACCTCCCACACAGAACCCCCATGTGGGCCACAGCAACGCGTGGCAGGGGATGGCTAGTGATAAATAAATAACCATAAGTCAGTAGGTAGCTTGGAAGGCAAACACACAGATATACATACATGGCAATTGAGGGTCCAGCCCCAAATAATGCAGCGCAGACTCATATAATGCAGATTAACGAAGATTGGGTTTTGCATTCCCTCCCCATGTTTGCCTTCTATTTTGTAGACACAAACAGTAGCAGACACTCTGACAGCCAGGCACAAAAACTCCAAGGTTGGGCCTCATTTAAGATAACCAAGAGTCAATACGGGGATGTTTCAAGCCAGGTCAGGCAGATAATGTCATGATTCCTTCAAGACAGCAATCAATTTGCCATTGATTAGCAGAGCGAAGCAGAAGGGGAATGAAATTTCGGAGAGTGCTGCAATCCCGAGAATCTAATTTTTCCTTTCATTTATCTGAGTGCAGCTGTCTGGATAAAGATGACTGCAAGAAGTTGGGGTTGCAATTTTAAATGGATTTAACTCAGGAATGGGCAAACTTTGGCCCTGCAGGTGTTTTGGACTGCAACTCCCACAATTCCTAACAGCCTTGGGCTTTTTCCTTTTCGCCCTCAGCCGCTTAAGCGAAGAATAGATATGTGTGTTTATTCCATTCTATCAAAAAAAAATTTTTTTTTCCAGTTTTCATCATCTGGTTTAACAGTCTGGACTGTTTAATTTTCTTCAGTTTGTCTAACTGTGGAAGCTTTTAAACAGAGGCTGGATGGCCATCTGTCAGGGGTGCTTTGAATGCAATATTCTTGCTTCCTGGCAGGGGTTTGGACTGGATGGCCCATGAGGTCTCTTCCAACTCTAGGATTCTATGATTCTATGGTTTGTTTGTTTTTTGCTTCTTTTAATGTCCATAATATCCATCTGAATTTGGTCTCACGCATATTCATACCATTTTCAAGTGTCCATTCCTTTTTATCTTTGCAACCCCCCCCCCCCCCCCCGGTCCTTAATTCTTCTATCACCAACAAAATTGCATATTTATATCAAATTTTATTTTAGTGTGGAATTTAACTTGGTTTAGGATTTGATTCCAGAAATTTTACATCTCATCACACTCCCACCATACATGTGTTACATATTCTTAACCTATTGCTCCCCTCCACGTTTTTGTCCTAGGAATTCAAACCCCTACCCCGCCCCCTTGTACGAAGGTCAGTTTCTCACCCTGTCTCTCTACGATAGTGTTTCTCAACCTGGGAGTCAGGACCCCTGTGGGGGTCATGGAGGGGGTGTCAGAGGGGTCGCCAAAGACCATCAGAAAACATAGTATTTTCTGTTGGTCATG